CATGACCTCTCTGATATAATCTACAATCATATACTGTTTAAAGAGTCTTACTACGGAAGCTTAAGTAACCCACTAGTACATTTCTGACTTCCCATGATCTCAACTACATAAGGAATTTAATCTGCCAGTATACAAATGAGAGGTTTTGCTCAGCTTATGGAATTGGCTTGCCAATTCTTTATTCTGTTTATGACTTAATCAGGTTAATATAAAAGGATGTCGAAGTACAACCTTTCTCTACCAAAATTATTTCCTTAAACAGAGTCATTTAACTTTAAAAACAATCGAACGAGATGCCATCAGAAGCTGAGAGGCACCTGATATCAGAAGATATGGAAATAGCAATTGAGATAGCAAAAATTATTCTGGCAGATTTTGCCTTCTATGCAATCGCTTTTGTATGGCTGTGCACGTACCTTGAAGAATCACACCCATGGTGGTTACTTTCGCTTATAATTCTTGCTGTGGTTCCTTATGTTTTTGCTCACCTCACACGTAATGGGTATATTGTGTTTTGAGGTTTGGTTGCAGATATTGCATATAGAGGGATTTCGGAGTGTATTTGATTAAAATTATCAACTATAGAAAGTAGAAAATATAGATGCATTACTGAAGATTGTTATAGCTTTAGTAAGATTTACGTATACTGGTAATAATTGTCTTTACTCGGTCTTAGGCAAGATATCACCTCTTCACGCTCATGGAAACAAAAATTCCTTCGTAGTCTTCACCGTTCTTCATTGAAATGATTTGTTCAGCTTATGAAATTTGGTCTGCCAATTATTTATTCTGTCTATGACTTAATCGAATAGATATAAAAGGATGCCAACCTTCAAAGTTTTTCTTTAATCGGGACAATATCATAGAAGGCTACGTACTTTAAAAGATATAGCGAATAGGGAGATAACAGCCTCCATGCCACGCTTATCAAATCAGAATGTTCCGGAGGTGCCGCCTCCGTACTCGTCACATGGTTCTGGTGGCCCGTCGATACCGTCAGCAAATAATACACAAGTGAATACTAAGTCCAAAGATGCCAATGTAAGTACTAAGAGCGTTATTCAATTGTTGGCGTTCGGTTGCTTTTTATATTTTTTCTTAATTGCAATTTTTCTACTATGTGTGACCATCACCAGAGAAGAATCATACCCATGGCATTCATATGTGTTATTTTGTCTTTCTGAAGCTGCTTTGTCGGTTATTTATTTTATACATAGACTTAAAAAGATGGAAAGAGTATAGCTTTGTTTCTATGGTGTGTGCGGGTACTGGAAAATGCCAGAACTACCGCATGGATTTGATAATCACTGAGTGCAAAACGAGCATTCATGTTCAGTCGCTTAAAGTACCAACAAGTTCAGAATGTTGGATACCATCGGGCGTAAATACTGAAGTGGAAAGAAGGAGGTTAAATGATGTTGAATCCCAAGAAGAGGCTTATCCGAGAAGGGCAACGAAGGATGAGATGTTGAGTGGTAAATGAAATGTAAAGTAACAAGTCACCGATATTTAGGGAATGAAAAACCTGGAAACGACCGGGGATTCTAGGTACCTAGATATAATACGAAATTAGTATAAAGCTATATATGTCATATCAAACTATAGTAAGTCATTATCCAGAAGGCTATGCTACAACGCACGTTTTGAGCAATTCATGACCTCTCTGATATAATCTACAATCATATACTGTTTAAAGAGTCTTACTACGGAAGCTTAAATAACCCACTAGTACATTTTCTGATGACCTATGATCTCAATTACTTAACGCATTTGCTGTGCCAATATATTAATAAAAAGGTTGTGCTCAGGTTATAAAATTTGGTCTGCAGATTCTTTATTCTGTTGACGACTTAATTTAAGGGACATAAAAGGATGTCGATATACAAAGTTTTCTCTATTGAAATTCTTTTGTTGACAGTAAAGATACTATAGAAGTCATTCTACTTTTGAAAAGAAATTATTGAATAACGAGATGGCCAATTACTATGACGATCCCAAGAGAATGAGTGGAAAGGAGGCGATTCAGGTTTTTGGATCCATTCTTTTTAGAATTTGGTCATAGGAGCGATTGTTTTTGGTATTGCTGAAGATTCATCCCCATGGCTCATATATGTATTAAGTTGTCTCGCTCAGGCTGTTTTGTCGGTTGTTTACTTTGTGCTGAGATAGCTTTGTTTCTTTGGTCTTGCGCTGTTACATATTGCAAATGTAGCAGAAGGTTTTACATTATGGTGGTAGCATTATTAGTAGAGGTGATGTTCATTAGTGCTATCAGCTGAAATAACAGTGTAGTATAAGAAGTACCAATTATGTTAATAATATGCAGAAATCTGATTTGAATATCGTAAAACATCATTTAATAGTATTCTTCGTAGAGTGATATTAGTACTGTGGTAGTTTCCAGTAGTATCAGTTCCGTTAGAGTTAGACAGTAATGGTGAGTGTTATCTGCAGGATATTGGTATGGATAATTATAGAGTACGATATTGACTGTAGTTCACCATTCGTATAGTGAATAGTATATGGTGCATATAGTGTAGTGTATGTGCAGTGTATAGTGCAGTGTATAGTAAAGTGTAGATGATACATATAGTATATCGCACTCCTTTTGTGTAACGTTCATCATATAAATAATCTACCATACAAATCAAACACCACCAATAACCATCAATTGAAATCAAGTCATGTCGAAACCAAGAAGTCGTAATAGTCTTCTACTGAATCAGAATAGAAGCACGCCCCCCAACACCAGCAAATATGAACTTTCACAAATGAAATATGAAATGGATCATCCCAATATCCCACTCTTCCCATTAGAATCATCTTCAACAATTTCACCAAAGGACTCATCATCATCATCATCCACTTCCACATATCCAGATTACAAGCCATGGAAGGACCACACACAATTATCGCCCTCCGGACAAAAGGAAGAGTACGAAAGAGTCAATAATCTGACATTTCTAACCAAAGGATATTTTGAACCTTCTCAAGTATCTAATGAATATTATTCGGCCCGAACGTTTATCCAAGCCACAATCTTCTCTTCCACTGAAAATTGTAACAACGTTTTAAAGGAGTTATCACAGCATTTGGTTAATGCCTATAAGACTAGAAACGAGGTTATCAACAAGATTAGATACGAGTCACATTCCTTTAATATTCCTCCAAGGGTTACTTTAACTGCACTGAAGAGAGAGTCTTGGTTACGGGATCTTGCCAGTCCAGATGTCCCCTTACTGAAGATATCGATAAAGGTCCCCCATGGGATTCGAAGCAAGGTGTTGATAGACATCTTGGCCACCAGACATGTTCCTATTACCAAAGCACTTTGGTTCACCAAATGTGTATTGTTTGGAGAATGGCTTTCCTTGAGGAAGAAGGGGTCTGGTAAGAACTCTAGTGGTAGTCCAAGTGGTAGTAATACTACTATTGCCCAATTGGAGGTTCATTGGCTACAGGAATGGTCAGAGCAGGTTTCTGATTACATCTATAAATATTCCAGAGAAATGAATAATGTACTGTACGAGAAGAAGAAAGCTTATATGGATAAGTTGAGCTACCTCTTACAATATTGTCAACGGCTTTACATTGAACAGCTTGTTGATAAAGTATTCTTTTTGACTACGATTATTCAATATTTCAAACGATGTCTTCCTATAGACCCCAGTCAGATAGCTTCATATTATGCCTCACGACCTGATTCAGAGGAGTCTGGTGATACTACTAGTAATAATAATCATAGTAATAGTAATATGGCTGGGCTTGAAGGTGATGTTGACTTGGGTCATGGACAGAGACTTATGGCACTAACCATGTTAAAGATCTTTTGGAATGATATATTGAAACATGATTATCTATGTAAAGAGTTGAGTGAGTTACTTTTGTTGAATTACTTTACAGTACAAAAGTCTCCTACTAATTCGTCCAAGGGAGTGACCAGCAGCAACAGTAGTCACTCCCAAATCTTACCTTCTAAATTAAAGAATGCATTATTAGAACAATTGGCCAATACTATAAACTATTTGTTCAAATATAATGCTAATGTGTTTATAATGCCTGATTGTTGGATGTTGATCCAAGAGTCTTTGAAGCAGATTCTACTTTATGATTCAACAACCAAGTTCCTGAGTGAACAAGAGAAGATCAAGTTGAATGAACAGTTTCAACTCATAAAGTATCGAAATGAAAGTTTAATGTTGAATATGAGAAATGGTATTTCCATTAGCAAACAAGAAGGAAATACTCATTCCATTTTGGATCTATCTAAATTATTGAATGGTGGTGGTGGTGGTGAAGGCGGTTCAGCGACTATTATAAGTGAAGAAGCTTTACTAAATCGAGGTCCCAAATCTGATTTCCTTAACTTCATTCGTCAATTAGATCTTATGAAATTAGATGATGAGTTGGCAGATTTACTTCTGAATATCAGAAATCCAGATTATTGGGGGTTATACTTAAAGGCTATGTTCTATTGGTGTATTTCATCTTTCAGAAGATCAGACAATGAAAGAATTTCCATTGTCTGTAATTTTTTGAAGAAGAGAGTATTCCAAAACTCGAATCAGCAACATTCTACTGCCAAAGTTGAATTTGAAAATGAAATATTGGAAATTCTTTATGATTTACCCAATGAAAGTAAAGAGGTTGGTGTCGACATGCAGAAATTGTTTGTTCTTATTAATGAGCTTTATCGATTACAAATCATCACCATTTCTTCATATTTAAGAAGACTAATTGCTTCAGGAATCTTTTATGTTATACCAGGAACCGATTTACTCTTCAATCAGCAAATAACTATGCACTTATCCATATTACAGAATCTACCATTGATGAATAATAAGCAATGTGATAATATCTTGAGGAAATGGACTCCAGATCATTCGAATTATCAACTGAAATTTGATGATGCCAAAACATATTTAAGAGAAGCATTTACAGAAAGGATCTTATCCAACACGGTTGGACCGGAGTTCTATCAATGTGTTGAGTTCTGTAGGGCCCAAAAAGTTGGACAGAAATTCTTGTTAACCAGTTGGTTAACAAATGAACTTAAAAATGCTATTTCCGATTCTCCGAAATTGATTCATATGACTCCATTGATTGTGTCTCGATTATATGAATTTTATTCGGTAGCTGACAACTTGTCGTTATTTTTCAAGGTATTAATCAAGTTCATATTAAGAAATGATGGTAAGATCATCATCTATTACTTGGACACGGTATATTTGATTTCCAAATTAATTATTAGGCATTTCAAATTGATGAAATTCATGCCCAAAACAAACTTGGACAGTCCCACCACAGCTTATGAATTGTTTGAAGCCATTATAATGAATTATAAAGACTTGCTGAAACGGGATATAGATTGCTTTGACTTTGCTTCTATTTGGAAGTTTATTGATAAGGTCTTTGACTATGAAGGTGATAAGGAAGAATACGGTGGTGGAAGTATTAATAACTCCAAGAATTCAAAATTCATTGATGGGGATCAAACTATTGTGGATACACCAATGAAAATGAAAAGTGATGGGAAATCAAATGATAAATATACATATACTGAGTTCTTTAACGAATTACAGATCCTTAATGGAAGTAGTCCATCTGGACTTTTGGCAGAATCGGAAATTGGAGAATTTGCAAATAAACTTGGGATCCAATTACTGGAAACATCTCTTGAAGGTATCATTACGGGGATACTCCAATTCACATATGAGAATTTTAAGTCAATGGATGAAGAAAAGGAATTTGGACTTCGAAGAGTATTCAAATCTCTCAAACATTTGTATGGTGAAGTGTTGATTCACCAAACTCAAGCAACAGCGAATGGTATTTGTTGGAAGGATGTCTCCTCAGATTTAACGGTATCTTTCATGAAATACTTGGTGTATTTGGATATCATATCATTTGATTTTGCAACAAAAGTATTTCTTGAAGATGAACAAGGTCATTTGAAGTACTTTGATTTAGTGTATGGAAACAAGGAATCAGAAGAGTTGGAATTTAGTCCTCAAATGCTAACCCTATTGAATATTTCAAGAGAGAAATATTGTGCTAAGAATCACATAATAATGTTTGCTGCGATAGTAAAGAATATTAAGGATTCTGTTTATGAATCGAAGGTCTTTATTCAATTTAGACTGCAAGTTATGACTACTTTCAAAAGAATCTTATGTGGTGATACAAAGCTTTTCATTCATGTGTTTCAAGATTCCCTCTCAATTCAAGATCAATACTCTTTAATTAATGATCTCCTTGGTCTTCAAGATAAAGAGAGAATTGTGGATTTGGAATCTTTAATGGCATTCACATCCTTAATCAATGAATATAATCTTCCTTATCTTCAAGTTCTTTCCAAATTTGTGTTGGAACAACTGCAGGCTACTTTTGATCGTTCTCGGTTCATAAGCAACATAATGAACAATGCACATCCGTTGATCTCCAGTACTAATTTCTGTATTGGGGAATACCACAATTACTTGTCGTGGACAGTTATGGTTCAGATCTTAGAGGGGGGGGAAGAATGGGTCTTTAAAAATATTCGTATTGATGCAGATGGTTCCAAGGGATACTTTGTTTCACTTCGTAACGACGAGGGAACGAATTTACTCCCCATTGTCAAAGATTACTTGAAGAAGTTCTCTGCCAATTGTTGTGGAGAAGTACAGACATCTGTGGAGACATTCGTACAATTTGGTAGTATGCTTGATAAATTATTGGTTGTTGCTAACTCCGATAATGTTCCACTTCAGAACAAAGATATCTATGATGGAATATCTATTTTATTGCGGTTATTGATAATTCACAACCCAACTCTTACGAATGTTGTTCTTAACACGGATGGAGAAAGTCTTAAATTCTATCGTCATTTAGTCAAGTTCTTGCACTCGAAGTTCTTGGTTCATAATGAGAAGCTCCGGATCTTATTATATGATTTGCTCTTGATAATGAAGAGCCTGGTATCTCAAGAACTCATAGCCAAATACGATGGGGTCAATAATAGTGTTTCACCAGAAGCAACTACAGACAACAACAATGTTAACGCTAATACCGAGGGTGGAACAAACAACAGCAACAACAGTAATGGCACAAATACCAATAGTACTGCTGCTGCTGCTGCTGCGAATACTACTAATACTACGTCAACAACCTCGTTTGCTTCTACTGCTGCTGCACATCTTTCCACCATATTTGATATACCTGAACCCTCGTCAGATAACCCTCTTGGTCCGTATGCCTGTGATGACAGTGTCACAAGCGTATTAACACTTAGTGAGGATGAAATCTCCAGCTCAGGCGATATTCATGCTGTAAACAATGCTGGATATAGACTCCGCAGTTTGAATGGAGAACAATCTACATACTTAACCGGACTCTTATCGGCAACAGAGATTATGTCCCAACCACCGGTTACAAAGAAGTTCACAATGAAGAGCTATGAGACATTAGAATCCACAAAACATGGGATAAACCTGGCACGGATAAATCTTCTGCTTTTCAGTTCTTTTACTACCAAAGAGAACCCACCATGATATTCGCTGGATATGGTTATTTTCATCGGGGTGTTAGTTTTTACATTAAAATTTTAGTAGTTATAGGTGTTCCGTAGTGCATATAATTGAAATTTTCCGCGAAAACGTGCAAAGAAAACGTGCACAAAATAAAACGGAAACATAGGTGGTAATTTCATTTACAATAATAAACCTCTATTCATTATCACCAACTCAATATACTACTGACTCAACTTTCCTTATGTCCGAAGGGGTGTTTGATATTGAAGAGACGGAATGTCTCATGGAGTCACCCTCCTTTTTAGAGCACCATGACAGGCTTAACTCCGTTGGCGAAAACGATAACGTCATTGGTGGTGATGCACCTGTACCTATGAATTCACTCCACCACCTAGCTAGTCAGAACTTCTCCTCAGAGTCACTAGGCAGTAGTTCTGAGTGTTCGTCGTTAATGAACAGTCCCGGAGTCATATCTTCTGGTGGTGGTGGCAAATATAGCGGGACTCGTCAGTATCCCAGAAGGTACTCCAACAATGTACTGACTACCAATGGAGGTGGACTATTCAGTGGTGCTAATAATACAAGTCCTGTTGTTTATGGTAGGACTCCACCGTCTGCTAGACCTCGGCCCCGATCGGCGATCTTCTTAACAGAGTCTAATTACTCTATAGCCGAGGATGGACCCTTGTTCTCTCCGTTAGATTCTGCTACTGCTAGATTTCCTGGAGCATCCCCATCACCTAACATCGACGCTTCCAAACGACATCTGATTTATCGTTTGGACAACGGCAGTGGTCCTATTCTCATTCCGACCCCGCTGCCGATACCGGTGATGCAAAGGTTTGGCCCTGGTGGGGGTGGAGGTAGTGAGTTTGATTCCGGTGCCAGTCCAGTAGCCATGAGTCCTCCAAGAAACACAGCCCGTTCTCCAGCAAGAAGTCCTTCGCCGATAAGAAACAGTTGGGGCGGGAGCAGATCGCCTATTAGGAAGTCCAAGTCTCCGGTAAAATATCTGCCTTTCAACTTTCAGCTGCAAGAGATGGGCCATTCTCATTCCGGGTCCATAAGTCTGAAACCTGCCCATAGAAAGGGTCACAAATATAAGCACTCCTCTGTGTCTATGAACTTGTTCCAAGAACCTCCTCCAGCATTGAGTGTGACCCAACAGCCTTTAGCCATAGCTGAACTGTTCCCGGTACCTAATCTTTACGAGGCACTTTCTATGGTCAAACCTCAACAGAAACTACGTCTTTTGTGGTCCGTGTTCCATTTAACTCTCGCTGCTGTTATACTTATTGTTGGATTTAAGTTCAAGTTCTCTCCGTTATCCACGTTGGCACATCTTGTGTTCTACGACGCTTTAGGTTCTTCCGTTGTGGTGTTTGTAGATATAATGTCGAACTTTGAGGTGTGGAATACTTCTTCTATTGTGTACCCTTTTGGTTTGGGAAGACTAGAAGTGTTGGTAGGTTTTGGATTGGCTACGTCATTGATCATGGTTGGTGCAGACCTAATTAGTCATTCTATTGAAGAATTCGTCATGACTATTGCCATGTCTACTGGTGCTCATGATGAGGTGGACCTGCAACATCAGCATCTGTCACATCATATTCATGATGATCATAGTCATAACCCTAACTTACGTATTTATGTGGCAGTGTTAATGGCTACAGTTGCAATCACCCTCTCGTCTCAATTTATATTGAAACGTGATAAGTTTGGTCAAATGATGTCTACACCTGAAGGTATTGTTGGATCCAAAAAGAATAAGAAGATCAATCAACAAAGTATCTTGGATTCAGGTAATAAGGAAGTTTATGAGAACTCTTCCAAGAAAGATAAAACAGTGGAAAGTGTTCGATCTTATTCTAAAATATGCAAGGAGCATCCAACACATTTCCTTACCCTTTGCTATTCTTTTTACTTACTTGTGATTCCGTTTATTCCTACAGATTATTATAAGGATATTGCAATCGATATCAATGAAGCTACAGAAGGGGTGGTTGCTCTTATGCTTTGTTATATTGGCTGGAGAGTTGCTAAAACTCTAGGAGGGATGTTACTTTTATCTTATCCTTATTCAGATTATGACTACCATGTTACAAGAGCAAAGATCCTTCAAAAGACTTTTGAATTGGATTCCTTTAAGAACTCGTATCTGGTAGATAAACTTTTTATCACCAAATTCAATCTCCATTTGTATATCGTTGGAATGCTGATAAGAATGAAGGGGGCCAGTATTGATGACGAGTCTCGGGTTCGTTTTGAGATAAGCAGGGTTATTAATAAAGTATTGGAGTCCACTGATCCTAACGCCAAAACAGAGATTACCATTGATATTAACAGATTTTAATCTATTTGAAGCTTTATTATATGACTATGGCTTCTACTGAGTCATTAACAACATGTGACACATCGCTACAATTACAGCATATTATGAATCACAGCAATCTATTGCAGTTATAATCGTATTGGGCCCCATATAGGTGTGCATATAATGTGTCCCAATTAGGCAATTTCAAGTATGAGTCAAGCGCGATGCGGTATCAGCTGAAAATTTTCAACCTATAAATTAAAGTCAATGGTATCGTCCACTCTCTTTCCTTTGAACTTCTACGACTACACAGACTTTACGTAACAATGTTGAAGACTGTTTTGAAGGGAAAGCTGACCATGAAGAGCGTATACAGAGCTGGAACCTGTATGCGTAGATTTCATGGTGGTGTCGTCTTGGGAAGCACTAATACCTCACAGTTCATTAAGCAAGTATCCGAACCATTCACAGTTACCACGTATGCTCGTCCTGAATTGATTATTGAGCGTGGTCAAGGCAGTTACTTGTATGATTATGAAGGAAAAGAATACGTTGACTTTATGTCTGGGATTGCTGTGACTTGTTTGGGGCACTCTAATCCTGAAGTCACTGACATCTTGACCAAACAAGCCCAGAAGTTGATTCACAGTTCCAATTTATACTACAATCGTCCTGCCGGTGATCTTGCTGCCAAGTTGGTAGAACTTACTAAGGCCAGTGGTGGTATGGCTGATGCTCTGCGTGTTTTCCTTTGTAACTCGGGTACCGAAGCAAATGAAGCGGCATTGAAGTTTGCTCGTAAGTATGGGAAGACTAAGAATCCTGAAAAGTATGAAATCATCACTTTCAAGAACTCTTTCCATGGCCGTACTATGGGTGCCTTATCAGTGACACCTAACCCCAAGTATCAAGAACCTTTCGCTCCTTTAATCCAAGGTGTAAACGTTGCTGAAGCAGGGAACATTGACTCTGTTAAGACTCTTATCAGTAAGGACAAGACCTGTGCCGTTATCATTGAGCCTATACAAGGTGAAGGGGGTGTTAACTCTGTTGACCCTGAATTCTTGGTCGCTTTAAAACAATTATGTGTTGATAACGATGTTATGTTGATATATGACGAGATCCAATGTGGATTAGGACGTTCAGGAAAGTTATGGGCTCATGGGTTTTTACCAGCTGAAGCTCATCCAGATATTCTTACCATGGCAAAGGCTTTAGGTAATGGGTTCCCAATTGGAGCAGTTATGATCTCAGAAAAGGTTGAAAATGCTCTTTCAGTTGGTGACCATGGTACTACCTATGGAGGTAATCCACTTGGCTCAGCTATTGGATCATACGTTGTTGATCAAGTTTCCAATAGTGACTTTTTAGCTTCTGTTGGTGAAAAATCAAACAAATTTTTAACTCGTTTCAGTCAAATTGCAGACAAATACCCAAACAAAGTTTCGGCTGTTAAAGGTAAAGGTTTACTCATTGGTTTACAAATGGTGGATGAAGTTGATGCTGGTTCTGTGGCTTCTCTTGCCAGAGATAATGGCCTCTTAGTTATTACTGCTGGTATGAATGTTGTTCGTGTTGTACCTGCATTGAACATTCCTGATGAAGCCATTGAGAAGGGTTTGGATATTTTGGAACAAGCCATTGCTGCTGTTCCTTTCAAACAATAAAAAGTGTATATTATAATTAACCAAATGGGTATACTCAAATATACTGTGGCCCACAGTAAATTGTATACTTGAGTGTTTTGTGTTTCGCACGATTTGATCTATAATCTCAAACAAAATATACATACAAACTATTTCGTAATGCCACCAGGTCAAACACTCTGTCATCATCAATGACAGTAACCTTCAGTGTACCTCGGTTCGACTTGGACTACTGTCTTGAGCAGTTGCTTAAGCATAAGCCCCCGCGGCTATTGCCGCCACAAACCATCGAGCAATTGTGTCACATGCTCAAGACTGAGTTGTTAAAAGAAGCCAACATCATGAGTCTACAATCACCCATAACAATTGTAGGAGATATTCACGGGCAATTCCACGATCTATTAGAGATTTTTGAGATTGGAGGAACGCCCCCTAACACCAACTATCTTTTCTTAGGAGATTATGTTGACCGAGGTTACTATTCCATTGAGACCATACTGTTATTGATAGTGTTAAAGCTTCGATATCCTCAACGGGTTCATCTTATTAGAGGGAATCATGAGTCACGTACCATCACCACCAATTATGGGTTCTACACGGAGATAGTTACCAAATACGGGGGTAATACCGAGGTGTGGTCACATATCACTGATTTATTTGATTATTTACCCTTGGGGGCAACTATTGATGGGAATATTTTTGCTACTCACGGAGGTTTATCTCCAAGCTGTCAGCAATTGGACCAGGTACGAGCCTTGGACAGGTTCCGAGAAATACCACATGATGGAATAATGGCAGATTTGGTATGGTCAGATCCTGATCCAGAAATTATGGATTTCAAATTATCACCAAGAGGAGCAGGCTACCTCTTTGGGTACGACATTATCACCAAGTTTTGTAGAGAGAATGATTTGATCCAATTGGTGAGAGCACACCAATTGTGTAATGAAGGTTATATTAGTTATTGGGGAGGTCAATGTTTAACTGTTTGGTCTGCTCCAAACTATTGTTATAGATGTGGTAATAAGGCAAGTGTGTTGGAAATAACCCATAGCAACATGCAGTCTAAAACAAATACTGAGAAACAGCAGCAAGTATTACCTGGTCAATATTTTAATGTTTTTGATGCTTCACCAGAAAATGATATTGATACTGAAAGTGGAAAAGGGGTTAATGGGTTTATTACTGATGAAAATGTAAATGACTCCGAGATTTTTGCTGATTTCTTTAAAAGCATTCATAGGGGAAAACAGGCCGAATACTTTTTATGAAAGTATGTGGTTTTTAAATTTTTAATGTACAATGTATCAATGTTTTATGGGTTCAATGCTTATGACTTGTTTTTTTTTTGTTGATAGTTACTATTTTTACTGTTGGATTGGGATTATTTAAAGAGGATGTATATATATGCTTATATCTATACATATCGTATATACTCGTAAGATCAGACATGTATGTACGTATGTATATATGTACGTATGTATATATGTATGTATGTATATATGTATGTATGTATATATGTATGTACGTTTGGCATCGCAATTTACGAGTAATAAAGCTCAAAGTTAAATCCATCGTGTACCTCGTAATCATCAAGTGAAATATGATCCTTATAGATTTGATTACCCTTTTTCAAAACTAATTTCTCGGCAGGTGTACCAATCTGAAGGGCGATCATCTTTTTCAAATCCCCAATGGTATCCTCTTCAAGACATTTGACTCGGATTTTCTTACCTAATCTGTCATTGGCATTCACTTCTATCATGGTGGTACACAGCAAAGAAGGAGTAGATAAGAGAAGGTTATGTTTACGCATATTGTGCATATATTTTTAAACATACCTTTTAGATGCGGGTAACCCAAAAAGAATGTCTTTCCAAAGAGGAAATGTAATTACATGCGAACAACTTTGGCCTTAATTGTAATATGAGAACTATTGTCTGTTTCAAGGTAACGTTCAAATATTAAACTTCTGTTGACAAGCCACCGACTTTACTTGGGTCACCGATGCATCCACATGATGTTTTAGGTTATAGTATTAAAACACAGGACTTGTTACATCTATTGTAATACCAATACCGCATTGATAATAATGCGAATATTGTAATGTTTTTCAGCCGTAAAGCTACGATGTGTGTGTGTGTGTGGATAAATTAAGTGCATATAGTCAATTTGAACAATCTACTGATTAAATGTATCGACCTAAAAGTTGGTTGTTGTGCATATGCCGAAAAAGTCAGATCGGAATATTATTATACATGATACAAATAAGGTACCCTGAATACTCCTTTTCTTGATAATTTAAACGTTTGTGTGTAATTTCCTTTGGCCGCCCCTTGATACCAACTTGAGGTTGTAGTCTCAAATGTGTCAAGACCTCGAAACATACGCACATACATGCATGTGCCACATATACGACATGTGTATAACAATAAATAAGGATTGGACATTAAAGAATTAACTAGCATAAATGATAAGCATATTTAAACACTGCTAATTTACTCTTATTTGTTGGCAAAGAGCACTTTAGTTCGACTCTACATATTATTATGACTCCTTGGAAGCGAAGGCTGTCAAAAGAGTTACTTTATGGTAGTTATCAAACCCCCCAAGACTTTGCGCAGTGGGGCACTTGGACTCCTGTTACTGAAGGTGCGGCAACTCCTCGGCGGGGGCTGTTAGCCAAAAGTATACTTACTCGATTTAGAAGAAGCTCAGGTGACTGTGAGTCACCTGCACCCACCCCTGCTTCAACTCCAGAAACTTTTGACCATTTGTCTCATTCTCTTAAACAAATCTTAGGATCAGAAAAGGGCCCACATATTAAGCCATATTCCTTTTCTCAATGTCAAAACCAGGATTTCACAGAACTCCTATCAAATGAATGTGCCATTTGTGATGAATCGATACACAATAGATTGGCTCTGGAATCAATACGTTTTTTAAAGTGCGGCCATTCTATCCACGAACAATGTTTAAACCTTTTGGTTGATTATCAACATCAAGTTCAAAACACTGGTGATGTCTCTGAGTTAGCTCTACATTGTTCTAGTTGCAATAGCAACATACCACTTGGTAACCAGGATGAAACTCTTTTCTTACCTGGATGGAGAGAATCGATGGTTTCTAATACAATGACATTAGAAGTTACAAGAGAAAGTATGTTGCACCATAATAGAGTTGGGGGAGTAGCCCTCGTGCGTTCACCGCTGCCAGATCTCTCGATTCACACTACTATCGCCGAAATAATGAATCCAGACATCAAGGACTTGTGTACCCGGTTCATGTTGCGAAAGGCTCCTACGATGCCATTGCATCTTCTAGAAACGCTTGGGGATATCAGAATGGTAGATAGATTGGATATCTCCGTTAATGGGAACGATTATGCTCCATGCTCAGTGTTCTTATTTGCAGACCATATAGTTTTCGTTCCGGATAAACCTTTAGCCGAGTATCACGTGGTCAGCCTTACTAATCCTGATATTGATATCAATGTATCTGGGATCATAGTTATTCGTCCTGGTAATGCTGGATCATTAGTAGACGAAGTTTGTCTTGCTTCAGAAAGAAATGAAGTGATACAAAAATGGGTCATAGGAGTCATTGATGGTACGTTGGAGTTCCCTCTTGAGCTTTTCAGTTCAACCATTAATTTGGAAACGGTTTCAATACGCTGATATATAGGAATTATATACATTATTAAATACAAGCACAACCTCGTTTAATCATCACCTCTTTTGCTTGGGTTGATGTTTGCAGAAGTAGGTTCTTCCGCTTCTTCAGGAACTAAACAATCGTTTTCCTCCAATAAATCGGCCAACTCGCCGGTCTCGGCCATACTGGAAATAATGTCGCACCCACCAACAAAGTCTCCATTAACATATAATTGGGGGATCGTAGGCCATGAGCTGTACTCCTTGACTCCGTCACGTAACTCGGGATCTTCTAAAACGTTATAAGCAGCAAACTTCTCAGGATCAACTCCTTGTTGTCCGAGGATCTGTACCGTCTTTTTGGAAAAGCCACATTGGGGGTAATTGGGGGTTCCCTTCATGAAAAGAACCACCTTAGAACCTTGGACTGCTTTGTCTAAGGCATCTTTCAACTCTGTGGAGATGAATCTGGTGGATTGGATTCTGGTGGAAAATGCACCAACCTTTTTTGCGTGTTAGTTAGTATTCGGTTAACAAGGGTGTTACATATGTATCACTTCAGAAACAACACGTACCAATCTGCGATTAAATAAGGATCTACTCAACATCTCTTTCCCGTTAAAACTAATGAATTAAGCAGAAATGAAACTATTACTAAGAACTCATTACTATCCTTTGATTCCAATAGGCGAGAAAAAAATTGCACAAACAAATTGTCACTGTCTGCATATAACGTATACACCCTAACACCAGGCTATGGTAAGGGCAAAAACAAAATGATACATCATAATACACTCCATAATTGTTATACATCACATTACTTATATATATAACTTCCGTTTATTTATACAAACACATGTCTGCACCCCCACCCCCACCACCTCCACCTCCAGCGCCTTCATTAGGGAGTGGCCCCCCACCTGCGCCCCCAATTGGAGTGGACGCCTTACTAGGTGATATCCGTAAGGGTACCAAGTTGAAGAAGGCAGTGACAGTAGATAAATCAAAGCCAATGATTGATTCTAATAGTGTGCCCACCATATCGACTCCTTCAGTGGCAACTCATAGTTCTTCTACCCTAAATGCTCCTCCTCCATCAGGAGTTCCTCTGTTAGGAGATATCTTTGCTGGAGGAGTCCCCAAGTTAAAGCACGTTAAAGACAATCGAAGCAACATCATTCCTCCTTCAGCTCCTCAGATTCCAATTCCAACTAACAATAACAATACTAAAGCTCTGCATGCTCCTCATTTGCCCGCTTCTAGACCCCATGCTAAAGTATCGGCACCAGCAGCGGCTCCAAAAATAGTGGCTACTTCTCCACCTCCACTTCCTACTTCTGCTCCCCCAATTCCCTCCTCTGTACCACTGGCACCGACTTCCAATCACTTGAGGCCTCCAAAGCTTCCTCCAGCAAGACCTAAAAAGAGTCAGCATTTGAAGTCAGCCTCCATCAGCTCAATCAGCTCACAAGACAGTACTCACTCCGATACAACTCCTCCCCCTCCTCCACCCGCACTCCCGCTGTCTCTCCCACCACCACCTCCTCCAATTCCTGGCTCAGTTCCTCCTCCTCCTCCTCCTCCTCCTCCACCACCAGCTCCGGATGCTGCATCCGCTTCCACTCCTGCTCCCCCTGCTCCTCCTGCTGCAGCTCCAGGAGGTTTGCCATTCTTAGCACAGATTAACGCTAGAAGAGACGAAGCTAACGTTGTTGATTCATCAAAGTCGACACCTCCCAAAGCTCCTTCTGCTCCTCCAGCACTTCCTTCAATGGCTCCTCCAGCACTCCCTTCAATGGCTCCTCCAGCTCCCCCACCAATCCCTGCATCCATCCCAAGCAAAAGTTCGGTCCCTTCAGCTCCGCCCGTTCCTGGTAATCTTCCATTTTTACAGGATATCAATTCCAAAAGAAGCAACGCATTTCTGGTGGAGTCTTCTGTTAAATCATCTTCAACTGCATCTTCTACTGCCCCTCCCCCACCCCCACCCTTACCTCCGGTAGCTCCAAGTGCTGTGCCTTCAACTCCTTCTGCTCCACCTCCACCTCCAACGAATTTGTTCAGTGCAACTAAATCTTCAGTTCCCCCACCAAAGACAGCACCTGGAGGAGGTTTACCATTCTTAGCAGAAATCAACCGTAAGCGTGATGATTCCTATGTTGTCGATGGAAGTTCAAGTGGATACTCAACGGCATCAGAGACCCCAACACCAACACCAGCTTCAAGAGCTTCTGCTCCTCCACCATCTGCGCCCCCAGTTCCATCCCAAGTACCCAAACTCCAAATGAACAACACCCCCGCAAAAACTCATAGTCTACCAAAGGTTAACATTCCCATCCCACCAGTACCCAGCTTCAACAATAGTCATAATATTGAAGAGTCAATAAGGGTTCCCCCACCTCAACCACCACAAGCAGCTCCTCCACAAGCAGCTCCTCCACAAGCAGCACCCGCATTTTCCAATGAACCTGAGGACGAGCCTACCGCACCAAGTATACCTTCGAGTTTGCCACCAAGTCTTCCCAACACTGCTCCTCCGCCTCCATCGATTGCACCCAAGAAAGCCAAGGCTCCTCCCCCACCACCTCCACCACAAGGAGCAGCTGCTGCTGCTGCTGCTGCTGCATATTCTTCTTCTTCTATTTCACGGCTTGACGCGCTTCAACAGTCCGGGGAACAACTCAGAAGAATGGACGCTCTGCGCTACACAATTAACACCAATGGGAAACTGACAGCGAAGATCGTTATTGAAGATAAACGGTTCAAGTTTGTCAATGCCAACTCATTGCCCAATCCTCGGAGATACGGAGAAAGAGGCCATGCCATCAAGTTGTACCCCAGTGGACGTGGATCATCTGTCCCATTAGATTTGAGTCATTACGCATAACGTCTATAAAATCTATACAAAGTGTGTTTACCTTTATGGGGACCAGATTTGAATGACGTTGTCATAAAAAGAGCATGTGATTATTCGCTCACCATCAGCACTCCAATCTCCACCATAGCACATACTCTTGTGATCCCCTATGAAGTATTTGGTAGCTTCAAATGGTCTAGACTGGTCCTTGGTCAGCTCAAGCACCCGAGCACCATCGTACATGCAACAAGCCAACACTTTACCGTCTTTCTTTGGGTTGGGAATCAACCTCCAGACTCCACCACCAAGATTCTCCTCCAACACCGTTTTAGGAGGTGCTGGATACAACTGGGTTCCCATCATTCTGATATCTAAAGCCCGGATATGGTCGTCGTAAGATCCTGTCCATATTTGGGTTTTATTAGTGTTCCACAGAGCCCTGGGAGTAAGAACAGAGACCACACCTGCATTATGGTTTCGAGTACTTGTCCATATAGGCTCTCTCGTCCTTGTATCATGAGCTATGAGCTTGGCATCGTCTCCACCTGTGAAGACTACGTTCGTTAACGGATCCAAGCACCCGAATTCTCCCGACCAACACTCCAAATCATGACAAGTATCGAACGGTTCCCAGGTTCCTGTCTCCAACCGGAAAAGCCCTGCTTCTCCGGAAGTTGCAGTGACCAAAAGTGTCATATGGTTGATTTCACTAAAGAAGACCGAAGTTATAAGGGTTTTTTCATCAAAGATTTGATGCTTTATCAATTGATGTAACTGTTTGGGATCTTCACTGTTCCAGACCCTGATTTCACCCGTGGAATGAGCTGAAACAAGTCTGGTGCCTTCACGGTTGAATTTTATATCCAAGATAGCACTTTCGGTAGCCAATGATGTGATTCTTACTGGGTTTTTCCCATTCGTGGTACAGTACACTTCAAGAGATCCATGACGAAGATCACCGGTCTCAAGCTTATACGTTCCCACCACAAATGTGTCTTGATCCAAGGGATGATATCTTATGCAGCATGGGGGAAGTTCACTATGAACTATGTCTAGTCTAGTACATGTTGGTAAGTCTGACATTGTTTAGTAGTAGTCGTAATTGTTGTAGATGGGGGCCATCTCATCGTTTGAAGTATGATTATTTGGTAATATAATTATTACGTAATCAATGGACATAAACTAGTCACGTGATTAAATATTTTAGAAAGTGAAAAATAAATCACCACGTTAACGGGAACCACCATTACCAAACAGTCTTTTCCTATACGAACATGGGCTTATGGGAAAGATGGAATGCCTTGCCTCGTAAGGTAAGACTTTATGTGGGGTGTTCTACATTTGTCTTTGCACTTGTTAGTGATTATGTACTGATGAAGATTGCCAAAGAGCAAGGGTTACGGAAAGAGATTATGATTAAGTTGGAGCAAGAAACCAGTGAAAACGCACCAGTTTCCAAGTGATAAAGGAGGTTCCATTAAGAAAGGGTTCTGTTAGGACAGGTTCCATTAAAAGAGGTTCGGCAGTTCTGCTGCTCAGTATTATAATGTCTCTATAAGATATTCATTAAACAATTGTAAATAGTATAAATAAGGTCACAAGATATAAGAAGAGATTCAATTAAGCATTCAATAAACCTCTTTGGATGTAATCCTTTCTGATAGAAGAAATAAATTCCAAAAATTTGGCAGGATTAGCATCTATACCTCTGGTGTATACAAAGGAAGAAGCCAAACGAGTAGCGAAAATAGCTCTTAAATAAGCTTCTGGAACTCGTTGTAAAATGTTATCGATACCAACCACATCCAAAAGTAGTTTTGGTAAAGAATCCAATAAGACAGCATTACGGAATCCAACATCATCATTCCATAATTCTTTTGAATTGGCCAATTCATCACCCAATTTGTTGATAGAAATAGACAATTTATCAGACAATAAAGTGATTGGAGTACCAGACAGTTGATTTAAAGCCCAAAGGGATTCAAATTCGGCTTGAGCATTGGCAACAATCTTTTGTTGAACTTGTTTAACATATTCAGTGTAGAATTGAGGCTTTTCCCCAGTGACAGAATCAACACACATGTTATTCAAGAATCCCTTATCATCAAAGGCCAAAGCGGCCAAAACTTCCAAAGATGATGAAGTAACACCACCTTTATTGGTTGAAGCATCTTTGAAAACAACAGCACCAGCCTTTTCCAATACCAACTTGGCAGATTGAGTGATGAACAAGTTTGCACCTTCCACAAAGTAAGGAATAACAGACTTACCGGTCTTAGAGTCAATTAATTCTTCAACATTGTTGGTATCAATGGCTGCAGGTCTACCACCACAAGGAACAAACAAATCAACACCATCTATACCATAAACTTCCTTAACCTTAACATGGAAAGTGTTTCTAAAGGCAACACCACTGGTAATAACAGTACCATTTGGTAATTTGACTTCAACATCATCAACTAATACAATGTAACCATCCTTAGATAATTTAGAACGGTCGTAATGGTCAATCATGACTCTTTCCTTTGCCAATCTAAGTAATTCAGTCTTGTCTAATCCATGAGGATCACAAATAACCCCTGAACCATCAACAAGACCAACATACTTTTCATCACGAGATAAAAGGATTTCATTGGATCCCAAATCACCATCTGGACCACCAGTTTGAATCTTACGAATAGTAGCATTATCAATGTTCAACTTTTCATAAAGCTTGTTAACATACGATCTAACAGACAAAGTAGTCATTCCATATTCATCGTGAGGAATACCACCAATTTCTGGAGACTTCCCAGTTAAGAAAGACTTCCACCAAGGAGCACCTCTCGATCTAGCATGTAAAGTTGCCCAATCGGTATAACCAGCAGTACCTTCATCAGGACCAAGGAAAAGAATTTCTGGCTTATTGTATAAATCAACATAAGCTTCCTTAGAACCGGGGATGAATTGTTTCAATAATAAATCAATTAATGAATCAATATATTTTTCAAAGTTTTGCTTTGGCTTATCTTGTGCTGCACCTGGGTCCAATAAGATGACACCCTTGGACCCGCCTTCAGGGATATCTTTATTCTTCTTTTGTTGAGTAGAAGCCAAGTTATAATTTTCATCAAACAAATTACGAACATTGACGTTATAAGCATCAAGAGATCTGGATCTAACAATTCTAATACCACCTCTAGCAATATCTCTAAATCTAATGTGGAATCCTCTAAAATCAGCTCCCACAACAAAGAACATTCCATAAGGAATTTCAGGATATTCAGTTTCTGGAAGGAAAGATGGATCTAATCTAAATGATAAAGCAACCTTAGTCAGAATGAAAAAGTTGGTTTTCAAAATAGATTTGTTGAACATGTACAAGGCTCTCAAGACAACAGCATGATGTTCATTTTGAGAACATTCTCTTGATAACAAATGTTCAAACTCTTCTTCAGTACCAACCGAAGTGATTTGTGACAATCTTTGATAAGATAAAGTCTTTTCCATTGAAGAACGAACATAATGAACATCAGCAAATTGACGGTATAATTTACGTACAATATCTGATCTTAAATCAAAAACTTCCTTAATGAAGTTTTGAGTATAAGTTTCAGCTCTCAACCGTTTCTTCAAGGCATTCAACACTTCAGCATGTTGTAAGGAACGAGAAGCATCCAATAAAGTAGACAACTTATTGAATTCAGGTCCCAATCTATTCAAGAAATGGGTAACAAAGATAACACCACATTGAGCATAAATGGATTCTTGTAAAGACAATTCACCCTTAATGAAACGATCATGGAAGAAATTGTGGGGGATACAATATAAAAGTGATGCTTCCTTAATCACTTGATACAAGGATAAATCAACCAATGGGTTTTTGGAGTTAGAAGCCACATACATAGAAATGATAGTGACACCGTTAGCAAATTGTTCCACGTATTTTCTTGTAGTGTGTAACTTGTAATAGTTAGCCAAATCACTCAAGGCTGAATTATAACGAGCCAGAGTCTTTTGACGATAACCAATAACAACTCTATATTCTTCGGTATCATCAATTGAATAGTGTTTAATCACAGGACCGGTAGCTTTCAAAACTTCTTTAATAATTTCAGAATAAACCTGTTTGGTATTTGGTGAAGCAATCTTCAAAAAAGTAGTGTCACCAACCTTATCAATATCAGTTTCATCTTCTGAAACACCTTCATTTGCATATAGGTTCTTGTAGACAAAATGACATTTAACAAATTGGTTCTTCAATCTGTCTGGGTTTTGTTGAGCAATACCAGCAAGAATTGGATCAGTAGAATGGTTCAAAGGAGCAGAAAAGTATTCAGCTCTGTAGGAAGTTGAAGAACCTGAAGATGATGGATCAATGTATTTATCATCAATGAGTTCATCAAATTTGTTTCTAGAGTTTGGTCCAGCAGTATCAAAGAAAACAGCATGATCATCAGCTTCTCTCTTGTATTGAATCAAAGGAGGAAGTTCTGAAGTGTTTGAAGCAGCACCAGCAATAGCAAAAGCTTGAACCTTTGTGGAATACAATGAATGAATGTGAGAAGCAATTTCTTCAGCAGATTCTCTAGCAAAGAAAACGTCATCAATTCCTAAATGTTCATAAAACCATTTAGCCTCTGATTCAATCAAGTTTTCAGGAATGAACCCGGTGGAATCCAAAATGTCTAACACTTGTTCAAATTGTTCCTTCTTCCCCGTAAAGGGGGTTTCAATGTATCCATGTCTTAAACTCACAGACGTAGCAGACTCATTCGAAGAAGTTCTCTGAATGGTAAGTCTGCTAACATCAGCTGTAGCACTTGCAACTGAAGCAACCATTATTGTTGTAACAGATTAAAGTGATTTGTCTTTGTAAGTGTGACGTATCACTTTTTATGTATTTCTAGTGTTAGAGTTGGGAATTAAATAAAACGACACATCACCTCTATTTATAGTTTAATTTGACGTGACTTGGTCACAGAATATGTGTAGTGATTGTGGGGGAAATAACAAGTGGTTTTGTGGCGTTACTCGGATCCCGTTTTGAAGGGTACCGAAAGGAAAGTGGCCGTTAAATTAGGAAAGTACCAGGAAAAATATGTATAAATAACTATTAATGTTCATCCTAATAATTGCATCTCTCATAACGGGACCCTCTCTAACAAAATCGTCTAACAAAAACTAAAAGACTGTCTAATAAAATATCTCTATACCATTTAACTAACTAACAGTCTCAATCTTTACAATTGATATTGACAAGAATCTCATTAACAGCCGTTCCGTCTACTTCAACCCAACAACGTTTATTCATCACCAGGTGGGGAACCTATGTGGCATTAAACTTACATTGTGTGGCATTACATTATTCGTTTTCAGTCACACCTTATGGCATTATGGAATTTAACTATGAGACTGTCATATTTTTCTTGTAGAATCTAGACTATTATTAGGCTTTCTTCTTTGGGGGCCCTTCTTGACGTCCAACTTGGTTCACGGCATTCAATTTCCATAACGCCTGTTCCGCGCACACCGGAAACTTCTTACCCCACGTCCGCGCTACCATGACACTTTTATCCTAAATGGTCCGTTGTCCGCGACAAGTGCCGCTAGGTTTGAGGGGATTGTATGCAGTTTGTGCTCATCGCGTCCCAAAAGGGAAATAAATCTGGGGAAGCCCCTATGTCCCGGATTTTTTACTTCATTCAAATGCCGCTAATACAAACTCACCAGCCGTTAAGTTACTGAAAGGCGGTGTCGGGATCTCTATGACGGACATTGGCTCATAAGAAATGTCTTGTAAAGTATTCTCTTCAATAAAGTTCTGTGGGGTATTGCGGAACAAATCAGCTAGAACTATGTTTTGAAAAAAGTTTCATTCATGAAGAGTTTCTTATTCTGCGTTCTTTTTCGTTCCCTAATTAATTGATCAAAAGAAAACCCTCCTTAACTTGCAACCTCGTTTAGCGGGACCAAGTTCAGAATACGTTGAAAAAAAACCACAAAAGAAAAATATAAACGGTGGTGTTACCGATTGGTAAGTGTACTACCGTCGGTTTCCTCTTATCTAAGACGGCAATAATTAAACAATCTCTTATCTACAATTGTAAAGATATGCAACTACACATTGGATAGTTATTCCGGTACCTTCTTAAGGGGAAATGATCCATGTCATCTCATCTCATCTCTCCCATTTCGGGAAACCTTTCTGATTTATATTATCATTTATAAATTATATTTCTTATATGCAAAACTTCTTAGTATCCATAATCAAACAACATCGATACACTTTCTCCATTGTGGATTCTTCTAATTGATTCGGCAAATATCCGACTGACATCCAACACTTGAATCTTATCACCCAATTGCTCAATATGTTCAATCTGAGGCACACTATTGGTGGTAATTAACTTATCAATGGCTGATTTATTAATCCGGTTGATGGCATCTCCACTGAAAACACCATGGGTGACTAAAGCAAACACATATTTGGCTCCTTGGTCTTTCAATAACTTAGCAGCACGGGTTATAGTATACGAAGTGTCCACCAAATCATCAACTAAAACACAAACCTTGTCCTTTACATCACCAACCAACATGGTTGTTGCTACCACACTGTGTCCACCAATGCTTTCACTGCCACTGTGATGCTGATGATGATGATGGCTATGATGTTGGTGATGGTTATGGTTAGAGCTGTTGATACTGGAACTCAAACTCAAGCCACTGGCACTCGCTATGTTTGCAACATTGGAATTATACGTTGGGTGATTGTTGCCGTGTGTTGATGTAGTTCCCTTAAACACTTTGGCTCTTCTTTCCTTATGAATCAAAGCAAAGGAACATCCCAATGAATCTGCAATCGAAGTAGCTCTCTTTGCTCCACCACTATCAGGAGACACAATCACACAGTCTTGGTAATTGGGGATATATTGAGTGATGTATTTCTTGAGTAAAGGTTTCAGATACAAATTGTCCACTGGAACGTTGAAAAAACCTTGAAATTGAGGATCATGTAAGTCCATTGTAATACATCTATCGGCTCCAGCTCCAACAAGAAGATTGGCAATCAAAGTCCCATTCTGTGCTATCCATTGCTTGTAACCCGATTCGGATTTTCCATTCAGATCAAGTTGTTCAAAGATATTGGAATTGGTATAAGCAGCATTCAAGTGGCCTGTTCCGATTGGTGCACCAACTTGGGTGGGAGCAGGTTGCGAAGACACTGGTGTAGTAGATAAACTTGATCTTCCACTGGATGGTTCTTCATTAGGGAGTGTAGGGATAGGTTGTTTCAATGAGAAACTATTAAGAGCAGCTCTCTCTTTAAGAGAGTCACTATTGGGAAAGGCAACAGGATTTAATGCCAAGGGAGAAGTAGCTATCTCGTTTAATCCAATTCCTTGTCCGGAACTTCCTCCTAAAGGTCTGGGAGTTCCCGGAGCCAGTTCAAAAGTATACAGTTCTTTCTTGGTAGAAATGGAGGGAGCTCCATTCCCTCCAGACTTATAAGGAACATCTGCTTGTCTGGAATAAGGAAAGAATGGTAGAACAGCAGTGACACGACGAGCCGATGCAGTTTTGCAAGCTGCAATCATAATAAGCAATTCAATGAAATTATCATTCACATGACCACAACCACTTTGCACAATAAATACATCCTTTTCTCTAACAGAGTTCTTGATTTCAATTGATGTCTCTCCATTGGAAAACTTGTTGCTGAGAACTTGTCCTTGTTCTATCACCAAGCTACGACAAATAGCTTTAGTCAAATCGGGGTGACTGAGACCCCCCAAAACAACCAAGTCTCTCATATCAAGTCAGAACCTGCACAAGTAGTTCAATCGAATCTTACCAAACCGTATCGAATCGAATCGTCGTTGTATCGGGGTATTGATAAGCACATGGGTCGAGTTCATCTCGAAAATTTTCCCTTTATGTGACCTGCATGTAATATCGACAACTACCCCCTAACACCAGATTTATACTCTTACTTCATAATTACCTGAATTTGAAGAATACTTTACCCACTTTACTGTTCGATAATTCGACCGTTCGTTCACCCGCAAATACTTCACTTGTAATCCCAGACATGAAAACATGTTCAAGTGGAAGCTTAGACGAATAGGAGGCTTTCTAGCATGAATATAAGCAGAATTAATAGCCACACACGCAAGCTGGTCACTATCAGTAGACGTACTAACTTCTAAATTAAGGTAATGATCTTGTCCACCATAGAACTTTCCAAAATTCCAATCAACCACCAGATCTTCAGGCACATATTTGGCATTTCCTCCGCTGGCACTAGTGAAAAGTTCAGATTTCAATAGGGTTGCTGGAACAGGAATCTTCATAGACACATTGGTGGCAGATATCTTCAGAGAGAATAACGATGAAAGTCGAATCAGATACTTTATTAGCCTATTACTTTGTTCCACTGCCGAAGTATGAATCTCAAATGGAAGCTGTACATTTCTATTGCACTGGTAACTCATGAGCTGGAACTCTCCATCCGGAGGTATAAATTCAATCATCTTCTCTGTGTGGAACTTTTGTAGTTCAACACAGTCATGGAATCGGCAATCATCAAGTTCAACCCTGGAATCTCCATCAACGTCAAGATCGTCGTTGTAATCGTCAACGTCAACGTCTCCAGAGAACTTTGCATTATCATTCAATCCAAATCGACACACTGGCATTCCCAGTAACTTACACTTCATCATGATCTTCCCATTGACATAGCCTCTTAATATTTCTCCCTCTGCAGTCATCAACATGTTGATATGTTCCTGGACGTTCAAGAAGATCTCGTTCCGTCTGTACTTGATTCCCGTTTGTCTCCAGGGCACAACTCTATTCTCGTTGTAGTACCCATCATTGGATGATAAACTGGTTTTATCCTTGCTATTTCCATTACCACTACTACTTCCACTTCCACCACCACCAAGACCACTAGAAGACCCCCATCTCATTTTCATCCGAGAAGAGCCTCGACTCAGTGAGCTCTTGGACGACTCCTTGTTGATGCCAAACCTCTGTTTCAAAAAGCCCCAGTCCAAATCTATGGGGAACCCAAACTCAACTATCTCATCTAAAACATCATATACAAGCGAATACAGTGCCAATATTCCATGACTGGTAAGTTCTGTATTCTCAATCACTCCACTACTTAATACTCCATCTGTACAATCCTTATCATCACCATTGATTCCTCCTCCGGTACCATCCGATTTCATACCCGTAATCAGATCTAAAGCGGCTTCGGCCTTGTGGTTCCCGCCATTACGTGTTCTCCAATTGACTATAATGCTCTGTAATATCACTTTCAACTTGAAAAGAAACTCGAGGATCAAAGAACAATCTTGATTCGACCGGGCCACAGCACAGAGCCAAATCTGACCTGTCTTAATGTAAACAAACGATGTAGACCCTAAAGTCAATACTGGCGAACGTACTTCCAAAGCTTGGGTCCCACTTGATCCTCTTCTTCCGGCACTACCTCCACCCCCTGATCCACTAAGCACCGATTGGTTGTTGATAACTTGGATCCGGAACACGTCCCCGACATTCCGTCTGATTCCTTCCCGATAAAGCTTGGTGATGAGAACGTCTCCTTTAAGATCGTAGATAAAGATTCCGGAGATCATCTTCCGAGTTATGTTCCGCTTTAATTGAGTATAGTAAACGCAGAAATAGATTGGTATTTGATGTTATATGTTTTTCCTATGCTCATTAGTGGGTGTGAGGGTGTGAGGGTGTGAGGGTGTATTGATGTATTGGTGTACGGATGCAAAGTATATAGACATTATGACAATTTTTGATAAACACAAAATTATATAGTATAAGTGCTGTGTAATAATATCTAGGTGGCAAGAAGTTGAAGCTATAAAGTGCAAGCCAAAGTCCACTTTAATTAACTTTTACTAAAGAAAGAGAGAATTTACTGGGAAATATAAAATACTCATTTGTACATAACAATCTGAACGATAAGTTAGAGTCTCCCTAATGAACGTATTAATACGTTGTTGACATTGATTATGTAATTATACCTTCTTCATGTGTCTATCTTTCCGATTATGGTTAGCTTTAGATGCCTTGCGTTGTCCATCACGACGTTGCTGATTCTTTACAGAGTCCTTCGAGGAAGCATACAGTTGATGGTGTTGTTTGGCAGCGCCACCGATATCCAACGAACCGTCATCACGGTTGAAGAAATAGTCATCTTCAAACATTTTAAACCTTCTTGAGCTTTGAGATAACATACGAAACCAACCTTCAATTTGTTCATGTGACCATTTTGTCTTTGCGTGTATCTGTGCACGCGTTGGAGACTTACGTTCCAGTTTCTCAAATATTCCACCTCCATTCTTCTTGTAAAGGGCAAATAGATATCGTTCCTCGACCGAAACTCCACCAGCTTGACCACCTACTTTATTACCACCTGAACCAGAGTTACTGCCATCGTCAAGACCGGATGTGCGTTCCTGATCATCGTAAGTATCATCAGGTTCATCTTCGTCACTATCATAGAGAAGACGCATTGCGACATCAAGCGACCTTTGCTTGAGTTCCTGTGATTGCACAGTATTCTTTTTCTCCCGTTTGAGTATCTTAGTGGGTCCACCTTGGAACCGAGCCAAGTCCGAAGCAGGCAATGGGACTTTGGCGGCCGTGGTTGAAGATGGAGGCGGTAAGTTTTCGAGTATACTTGGGTTTTCCAACACTTGATGTACGATTTCTTCCACTGTTAAATCAGGTTTGCTGGCTATTAACCGTTGAGAAACATCAGCGTCTACTCCAAACATGTCTTGAATGATTTGTAGTTTATATGAGTCGACTTCAGGACTTGAATCGACTACAGCACCAGGCGCATTACCGAAGCTAATTTGACTTAAAATGAGGTCTTTGGCGCCTGGAACAAGCTGGTCAAAAGCTTCAGAAGTAGCCACCATAACGAACAACGAATAATCTTGAGCTAGTTTATGGAAGCCATCCAGATCTAAGGCATGCAAAAGGGTTTTCAACTTGTTAACTGTTAACAGAATGAGGGACACCACCATTAAAGAACGTAAATTATCATACTTAAGATCAGGGTTGAATTCAGCTTGAATCAACTCGATCCAATGGGAATTAACAAACTGCGACAGAAATGTAGAAGAAGACGAATTAGTGCTAGGATTATTATTATTATTCTTCTTTATAATATTGAATCCCCCAGTTGTGCCACCAGTCCCCTTTGATATGACCTGTTTTGCTTTGATTGATTGACCAAGCAAATGAGATAAAGTCTCCAAATCAGAAGCGTAGTCAAACTTATGTTGCCGTATCAAATGGATCAAATGGTTCTGCAAGGGCAAGATACTTGAAATGTTCTTCAGTTTCTTGTTGTTGTTGAACTTCAGGATATACGTTCCGTCAACTATCGTTCTTACAAGAGTAACGTTCTCTCTGACATACAACTTGATAAACGCCCATACATGCTCACTGGTCAAGTTTAGCTGGACTATTGAGTAATGCTGTATGATGGCAAACACAAGACACCGTAGACTCTTCTCGTTCTTGACGATCTGAGGGTTGATGGCTCCAAGGGAAAAGAATCCTGGATCGTTGGAGTGTTCGTGAAGATATACCTTAACGAATTCCGAAAGCTGGTGTTGAGATTTAGTGGCGAGATGTGGAGGTGATTTCAGTAAAAGGACTTTGAATAGTTGGATGTACTGGTATTGTAAATTGACCCATATCAACGGATCAACGTCTATTAAAGATGAACGAAGTTTGAAAGGAGGATAATGAGGTATAGGAATGTTTATCGGGTCCATTGGTGTATAATTGATAGAAAGAAGTTGTTGCAGTGGCGGCAATTTCTCAATCATTTAGAAGCAATTTGGCATCACCAAAGTCACGTGACATAACACGTGAGAATTTTGATTAGTATATTTTTATCACGTCCATTACGGGTCAATACTGGGTGCAAACAAGGTAATTAATAAATCGTCAGTAAAAGTCCCCAGGCTTAGTCAATATAAAGCATTGATTTTATTGCTTCACTGGGCCTCAGAAACCAATACATTCTTAACATTTTGCAGTAGTTCAGGATTAAATACATATAGTCCTGAAGATAAACCCAATAGAAATCCAAACAAAAAAAAAATAACAAAATCAACTGCCAAAATATCTATACATATCAATCCTTCTTCTTGCTAGTGAACTTAGCCCCCAGCTTTTTATATCAACTTTATCATGTTTCTTGATATCATATCTTTGTTCAACCTTTTTCTAACTTGGTTACTGAAATGAATAGACTTTGGTAGCACCAGATCACCTATATTACAGAATAATGAAATCAAAAGTCCACTAACAGATGTGAGAAAAGATGATATGGAAATGGTTATCCAGTCTTGACTTTAAGAGTCTGTACCGCATACAGGGCCAAAAATATGATAATGCTTCTAGCAAACCAATAGTAGTTGCTTTTATAGCCCCCTGGAGAAGATATCATCTCATTTGGGTACGATCGGGCACAAAACGGGGCTCTCCCAATTAGGTAACATATGACAATCTGTTAAAACATAACTTTACTAGCTCGGAAATGAACCATTAGTCCATTTCGAATCGAGTGAAACCATCTGAAACAGACAAATACAACTTACAGCCTTAATCATTGTAGAATAATATCATTGAAAAATAATAAAACTAAGTTCGATACTTTAATAGATGTCACGGCAAAACATATATGATTGAATTTGTGATACGGTCAACATTCACCTCCGGATGAGACATACAGACAGCAATCAAACAATATACGTATGTGGCCTAGTTTACTAAGCCATACCATACTGTGAATATCACATGTGAGCATAATCTAACTTTTGATTAGTTGCAAAATGTTCTACCGTTCTCAATAAGGGCTCTCAATAAAGGTATGTAATTCATTAAGGTATATCATCATTAGATATAACAACGTCTAAGCTTCGTTGGATTGGAGCATTGGAACTGAATAGATAAATGGCATACTGAACGGTTATATAATTGTCACCACTTTTGCACGATTAGGAGGTTGGGTCACCTTTAAAGGATGAAAATGCTACGAGAAGGGAAATATGGAAATGATCTTTATACTCAGCTTACCTCCTACGCCTATATTTGTACTTGTCTTCATAGTCAGTTTCATAAGTTAGTGCTTGCTCTTCCCCTTTAGCCATGTCGACCAAATACGTCAAAGAAATTAGTATTTCTGAAAGCCCTATCAGTGATTCCATCTAATCGACTTCTCTTTTCGTTTTCATCAATCAATTGGAAGCTCTCTTACTCATTCCCATTCATACCCATCTTTTCTATAATATTAACAATGATATCATATAATCATATACCGCACAATACTTTTCTCAAAACACATTTACCTTTATCATCTCCTATTGCTTGTTTTACATTCTTTCTAATATTCATAGTGATTATGTGAATTAATTGAGGTTACTACAGTGGCCACGCTTTCTTTTCCAAGAGTTTCTCTTAACAAACTCTCTTCTTATTGGATCATTTATCGATACTCTCATGCTTAGTGATATCTAACGCCCTTTGAGCAGAGATAGCAACTATTTATTTCCACTATCCACCCATTAGATTTTGTCTCTCAACGCTGATTTTATCTGTTGAATGGAATGTTTAGACACCGAAAAATGGATAGAAGCGCTGCACGAGATCACAGTCCCAAATAGATAACAACTAAAATCATAGATAGCACGACACGTATTTGATAAAGGTCTTGCCGCTATAGTCGTATCCAATCACGTGACCATAATGCACATAAAAATAACAAAAACCCCCCACTATTTATTGTACTATGAGCGTTGTCTTGATACTGTTCAAAACTCCATTCGGAACAGCAAAACACGATGCTGCTAATCTTGACAGTGTGTGGTTTGGACCTAGTTGCTTTTACAGTATGGTGGTGTCAGTTAACTGCACACGACAGCAGATCTTAGATGAGGCTTGTTACGGCGATGGATGACATATAGCAGTAGAGAAGTTTAATTTTGTCATCTGCATAAATAATCAAAGACGTCTCCCGACATTGTGTATTCCTTATCATCTTACACGGTAATTCCCGCCTTCAACCACAGGATCAATCCCCGATCTAATGTGGGCTTTGATATGGCCGAAAGTATGATGTAACGTGTCTGCAAAACGCTCCATGGAAATCCCTTCATTTCGGGAATAACGATCTCACGATAATCTATTATTAAACTAAAAGTATCTTGTGACCAAATAGTTAACCTTCGTGTGACCTTTTACTTGAGATGAGCCAAGATTAAAATGGAAACAAACCTTTTTTCACATAACCAAGTAGGTTTTGGTTTCGTGTCTGATACGGGTTCGTAAATCTGACATTTGGGCCATTGTATTTGTCTAGGTTCCCCTTTTATCTAAAATTTTCTTGGCGAAAAACACATAGCAATAACTGTATGTATAATAATTGTCCACAATTCATGTGTATTGTTCCCTGTGATAAGCACATCCAAGTTTGTATTAATTGATATTTAGTCCCTCAAATCTAACAACAGACAGAAAGTCTTTTGAACTTCAATCCATTGCAGATTCTGATAGTACCGTTGTCTCCACTCTGCAAAAAGCGGAGTTAAAAAAGATAGATATCTGTTTGCCGGTAAGACAAAAAAACAAAAATTGGCAATCGGACCGCAATACAGCAAGCGTCGCGCTTACGAGCACACTTGGAATCTAATCATCATTGTAATGTTAGCAACCTGAAAAGAACTTGAACCACTTTTATAATAATAGTTGAGTATAGTGTCTGATAATGTCAGCAAAGACCGCCTACATCTCCGACATTTTAGAAAATGTAGAAGGGAATGCGAAAAAGGCGAAACAGAACTAAGCCCCACAAGACAATTAGTGGTTTCAGTTAAACTTTTACCCGTAGAGCTTATGTGGGGGAACAAACGAACCTTGAAGTGCCCAGAAAATGTATGAAAAAAGAAGGTTCTATTACTTGATCAGACAACCAACTCCCAAATCAGAATATAAAAGCTTAATGGTAGTATTAACCGGTTTTCACTAAGAAACAATACAGTGTCTCTTTTTTTTTTAAAAATTGCGAAATGGGTCAGAGTAGCGTTAATAGGAGAGAGAATTTAGCGGGTAGCCTAGCTTAGTATGTACGCAATTCTATGTTATTTTACGACAACACCTCGGACCTGCATAATGGAAATTTGTGCTACATATACAACGGCAGTTAACCAACATACTGGAACAAGAAAAGAAATTCCGTCGGCTCATTTCCCGACAAAGATGGATAACAAGGGAGTGAGATGTGTTGCGAAGTTACATTGAGAACTAAGATTCAATAGTTAGAGTATTATACGCTATCCAATTTCGGAATAGGCAAAACCAAACGTATTTGCGTAAGCGGCCATCTAGTTTAGTCAACAGAGGAAGAAATAAGTTTCCCCCAAAATGGAAGCTGGTAGGGCCTGCAGTACGACATTCCCTCGTGACAAAAGCCCTAGCCGTGGATGCAAAATTAGTGGAAGGCTTTTTCAATGGGAAATATATCCAAATGCCGGCAGCTTTCACTAAGGTAAGTAGTGACCTGTAGATGCGGATACGACTGAGTAAATAGTTAAAAGCCAATAATCTTTAAAGGAGACGGTTAAAACTAATCATTGCCCTAACCATGATCTGATCTCCGTTTCAGGAGAAGTGAAGCCATACGAGGCACTACTATTATTATTTTGGTGGTAAGTACCCTCTCAAGAATTTTTTGTCGGGTCAAGGTTAAATGTCAGAAAGTCTGATGACGTAAAGGTCAAATAGATGTATGTCAAAGCAACATATTTCTTGGATGGATTGCACACGAAGGTTTATTTGTTGCAAGTTTTTTTCTTTTTAAACTACTCTTTTATTTTTGGCTGTATATGTAAAAAAAGCTTCGTTATTGTCGGGTGACCATATATCTACAAAAGCATATCCGCATTTCTCATTTAACAACTGACACGGGTTTAGACAACGTTATATACTAGCATTTACCGTGTCACAGCGATATATACCAACAGAAGCAGACACATAGCAGACACATATAACCACCATCATATATGTGTATCTAAAAAGTAATATTTTGTCTGATTCATAATCATCATTACTATTATAATTATAGAATAGCTGTTATCATCAACAGATCGCAATTAAATATATACATCCTTTGATCCATTTGTTACAAGCAGTATATAACCACCAGACAGAAAGGATATGTTCTGGCTGATAAGACGCTTGCATTTACGCGTTATAGTCACCGTACTCCTATTTCTATTGGTATCGTTTGTCTTTTTAACTACACAAGCCCAAGCACGGTACCAGCCCAAGGACTACAGAAACAGACATTCGCTTTTCAACACAAACCAAAATGTATATAATCCAGCAAGTGAGCACTACGTAGAGGCCGACTACGAGGAGCTCGCTAAACATTTACTAGACGATGAAAGCGGCCTGGTTTCGTTCGAAGGAATGGACGATTTTTACACCAACAACAACAGGCTTACTACTTCGAAATGGTTTGAACTGAAAGTACAATCGCTATTACAACTGAAGATCCGTACGGATTTGGACGACAATCTCTGGTCGCTTCAAACGTACCCCTTGGCTGATACTCGGATCGAGATCCCCGAGTACTATTTTGAACCAGAAAGAAGATACAGCCGTCCGCCTATCCAGCCGTTTGATCCTCGGTTCACGTTGGGTATTTATATTCATCACATCCAGCAACAATTGGATCGGGACCCCCATGGAATCGTCAAGCTCCCGTTCCATTGGTACGACTGGTTAGACATGTCAGTTTTGAACAAGTATCTTTTGTCGATCCCCGGCGAACGTCCGGACTGCTCAATGTTTGACTCCCGTGTAGCCGAAGAGGAACACGAACGTAAGAAGTACAAGAAGGACCACAACGGTAAGGACGAATGGGATAAGTCGAAGCATCGGTACTCTGCCAAAAACACGTGGGAGTTTTGTGTGGATAGTCGGAACGGGTCCCTTATTGATGACGGGTTCAACGAGTTCAAGTTGCCCTTTGGAATTACCCGACAAACTGGGAAGGCGACTGAACCCCTTCGTCAAATCTTGGGCAAAGCTCATTTGTTTTCCCACGGTCTTATCCCCAATCGAATTTTCTTCATGACCAAAACAGGGTACTACAGCGTCACCATCGAGGGGAAGAAGAAGCTTTTGGAGTCAGGGATGGTTGATGATTATTTGCGGTATAATGAAGGGTATATTGATACTCTGGAGGGATTTCAAAAGTTACTTAAACTGCATCCTCCAAAGGAAGATGAAGTGCTTAATAATTATACCTTGACCATCCCTCCAGAACGGTTCGAGTTCAACACCAAGGAGATCATTCATGATTTGGACCATAAATATCTAAAGACAAAGGATGAACATGACTATGCTCTTGCGTTACATTGGGGGACATCGTTCGGTACAAGCCCTCCAAAGCATTTCAATGAAGCCAGCATGGTTCATACAACCTTGGGTGATCATTACGACTGGAGATTCTTTACAGCTATCCGGTACCATGATCCAGAACAGACTTTAAATTTGCATCGTTTGATCCGTGTATGGCTTTCATTCACTCGTAAGATCGGAGTGGCCACATGGATTGCTCATGGATCTCTTTTAAGTTGGTATTGGAACGGTATGGCATTTCCCTGGGATAACGATATCGATGTCCAAATGCCTATTATGGATTTGCATAAGTTATCTCTTCATTTCAACAACTCCATTGTGGTGGAAGATTTGGAAGAAGGATACGGTCGTTACTATTTGGATTGTGGTGCTTTCATCGGTCTTCGGGTTCAAGGAAACTCCAACAACAATATTGATGCTCGTTTTATTGATGTTGATACTGGACTTTATATTGACATTACCGGCTTGGCAGTTTCCGATACCAAGAGACCTGAAAGATACAACAAAATGCCCTTACCAGATACATGGACAGACGAAGACAAGAACAACAATTACAAGGTTAACAAACAATTACAATTGTATAACTGTCGGAACAATCATTTCTCCAGTTTGGATGACATTTCTCCCATGATAAAGACTTATGTTGAAGGTGAAGTTGCTTACATTCCTCGCAACTATACATCTATGCTTTCACAAGAGTACAAGCACGGTATGGATAAGACCATCTATTCCCATTTCATTTACATCCCCAGTTTAAGAATGTGGATCCCCGAACGAGATATCAAAAAGTATTTAGCGTCTCCTAAGCTTTGGGTTAAGTTTTATAGTCAAAATAAAGACTATGTTAGTGGGAACACGAATCATACAGAATATGATCAATTGGTTGAAAGCTTTCAAAAATTAAAGGTTGACGAAAGAGTTCGGGAAGAAGATTTGGATAAAATTGAAGATTTGACTGCCAAAAACTATTTGGAATTTATTCATGAAGAAGATCTGTTTTTACGGTTCTTTAGTCTGCGTAAGTTCACCAGATTCCATGACATTGAAATGGCCAAGTTGGAGAAGAACAATAGTGCTTATGAATTATACGGAGATAAGCTATCTTATGCGTTTGCTCCTATATTGCATGAACCTACGCAGTACCAACATCGTAAGGAGTACACACGGTTCAATGAAGAGGTTGAGAGATATGGGCAATTGGTGGAAGAATATAAATATAATTCCAAGTATGCCGTGAGTGGTCCGACTCAAAGAGTAAGTACACCTCAAGACAAGAAGGCTGAAGAAGAGAAGAAGAAGGCCGAAGAAGAGAAGAAGAAGGCCGAAGAAGAGAAGAAGAAGGCCGAAGAAGAGAAGAAGAAGGCCGAAGAAGAAAAGAAGAAGGCCGAAGAAGAGAAGAAGAAGGCCGAAGAAGAGAGGAAAGCTGAAGAAGAGAAGAAGGCCGATGCAGAGCATAAAGCTGAAGAACAACTTAAAGCTCAAGAAGACCGAAAGGCCGAAGAACAACGAAAAGTAGATGAATAACGAAGGACCTAAGAACGAAGGGCTGAAGAACAGAATTCTGAAGCCATTATAGGTGTTAAAAAGTGGTTGAAGAAGATCAATGATGCTTCACGTAAGTATTAGTTTAAATTCGGCCGAATGGAGAAAGCTTGAAGTTTCAAGAGGTTCTCATCTAGACGTCTCAGGAAAGTTACGGCTGAAAGGAAGAAAGTCAAAGGTTGATACTGACACAACTATATTTATACAGTTCAAATATAAAGGGCCAAAGCAGTCCTTTAATAAGAAGAGAGTTTCTCCCTTCTTTTTTGCAAAGTGCAATGTTATAGAGTTTTGGTATTGGATTGGCTTGTTAATTTAAAGTAGTTTTACAAATTTATTAAACAATAATAATAATAATAATAATAATAATAATAATAATATACAACGAGAAATCTCCCTACTCAGTTTCTTTATTCTGCCAACTTCTTTTCGGCTTCTTTGGCTTGTCTCTTCCACTGCTCGATTTCTCTATAGGCTCTTTCCAATTCTTGCTTCAACTTCTCGTTGGAGTTACTCAACTCACTCACGGCCTGCTCCGTTAAAAGCTTTTCCAAAGTCCATTTCTCCATGTTGTTGCTTTCGTTCTCCTTCAATCTCTTGATGTACTCTACGGCTCGTTGTAAGATTTGAGCTTTATTGGTGTCGCTGGTGGGGATTAGTTGGGCCAATTCCTTGATCCCCAGGTTGATGCTTTCTCTTCTACGACGTTCCACCTCCTTGTGGTTCTCCTTGCGTTGTTTGTGCCATTCTTCCGTGCCGTGGACCGGCTTGATACTCTGAGGAATGGGCGTGATGGTGTAGGGACTACTGACAGAGGGAGCACCTGATTTGTAGACGAAATCTGCCTGCTGTTGTTGGTGTTGTTGTTGTTGTTGTTGTTGTTGTTGTTGTTGTTGTTGTTGTTGTTGTTGTTGTTGTTGTTGTTGTTGGTGTTGGTGTTGCAGTGTCAATTGAGACTGTTGTTGTTGGTGTTGTTGGTGTTGTTGAAGCTGTTGTTGATGTTGTTGTTGCTGCTGCTGCTGGTGTTGCTGTTCATGTTGCTGCTTGAGTTGCTGGACAGCAGCCGCAGCCGCAGCCGCAGCCGCTGAAGGTCCATCGTCCTTGTGTTGATCAGGTGACGCGATAGAAGCAGCAGCGGCCACAATCGCCGCTGTGGCTACTTGATCATCATCTTCATCGTCTTCTTTACTATTGGGAGCGTTGGAGGAAGAATTGTTGGAGTGATGGTCTAACAATTCCGAGTCAATGGCCAACTCTTCTTTTTTTGGTTTTTTGTTGATGTCTGAACCAGACTCAGTTTCCAAGTCTCTTTTACTCATAATTGGATTGTGTGGGTTAATGCGAAGAACGTGATATTGATCGGAAATCCAAGTCACGAGGAATCCATCCACTTTTGAAGGATTTTGGGTTTGGAAATTGTTGATCATGTGCTTTGCGAGGGGGAAGGGACATACCGGTTCTGATAGTTACCACGACCCCGCGTAAGTGTCAGCATGAAACATAACATAACATAACAGTGACAATAGTCGTGTATCGAGCCATATTTTTGGTTTGTCGTTTTATTTTATTTTTTTTTTTAGTCTGGGCTTTACGATTATTATATGTCCGCTCGCTAATCAACCGCCGAGAAATTGATCAGAACAATAAAAACAGACAGACAGACATTTATCCAGATGTCATTACCTTATATTACACCACATAACGTTACTATTGTCATGTACACCGTTTCAATCACACGACACCAACGATATCGGTCTTGGGACACAACTGAGTTGACCATATTCAGTTTGTACTGTATATAGATCCAGTCTCGCGCGCTACCAACATACTCCATCTCCGGTTACATGAGGTCCGGTTAAAAAGGTTACATATCCGCATACTGTTCCGTTCTTTATGCACTTACGGAGCTTTCCCCAGGTTGTACGCCTCACATATCGCCCGCTATTCGCATATGCGCTTATTGGACATGAAGACTCGGGCTTTTTATAATATAACCAAATTCAGCCCATAGGTTTAACTAATGAAATAAAATGTCTTCAATTCTTTACAAAAAGTTGTGTATCAATATAATCAGACACACATTAATTAATTATGGAGGTGACCTTAGGAAGGTTTCTCTTTGAGAGATTGAGCCAATTGAAAGTTAACACCATCTTTGGCTTGCCAGGCGATTTCAACTTATCGTTACTAGACAAAGTTTATGAGGTAGACGGAATGAGATGGGCAGGCAATGCCAACGAATTGAATGCTGCGTATGCCGCAGACGGATATTCTCGGATTAAAGGATTAAGTTGTTTGGTAACAACGTTTGGAGTTGGAGAATTATCAGCTTTGAACGGAGTTGGAGGGGCGTTTGCCGAATACGTGGGGATGCTTCATGTGGTGGGGGTACCTTCCATACTGTCACAATCGAAACAGCTTTTACTTCACCATACTTTGGGTAATGGAGACTTCACTGTGTTCCATAGAATGTCTAATAATATCCTGCAAACCACAGCTTTCATAAGTGACATCAATACTGCACCCAGTGAGATAGATAGATGTATAAGAGAAGCATGGGTGTATCAAAGACCGGTATACATTGGGTTACCTGCCAATTTGGTTGATTTAAAAGTCCCAGCACATCTTCTAGATCAACCATTGGATCTTTCCTTACGTCCGAATGAGCCTGAAGCCCAGGAGGAAGTGATCCAAAACGTCTTGAAGTTGGTGGAAAGGGCTCAGAACCCCATCATCTTGGTAGACGCGTGTGCTTTAAGACATAATTGTCGGGAAGAAGTGAAGGAATTGGTGAATATCACCAATTATCCTGTTTTCACCACACCAATGGGTAAATCCGGAGTGAATGAAGATCACCCGAGATTTGGAGGAGTTTATGTCGGGACACTTTCACATCCTGAAGTCAAAGAATCAGTTGAATCATCAGATTTGATCCTTTCTATTGGTGCATTGTTGTCCGATTTCAATACGGGTTCATTCTCTTATTCATACAAGACCAAAAATGTCGTTGAATTCCATTCAGATTACACCAAAATCAAACAAGCCAATTTCCCCGGAGTTCAAATGAAAGAATGTCTTCAAATGTTAATCTCCAAAATTGCACCTCTTGTTATCAACTATAAACCGGTTTCTGTGCCATACGTTCCCGAATATAATACAGCATGTCCACCAGAGACGCCTTTGACTCAAGAATGGCTTTGGACAAGAGTGTCACATTGGTTTAGAGAGGGTGACATTATCGTCACCGAAACAGGTACCTCGGCGTTTGGAATAATCCAATCAAGATTCCCCAATAACACCATTGGCATCTCCCAGGTGCTATGGGGGTCCATTGGATTCACAGTGGGGGCGACCGTGGGGGCTGCCATGGCAGCTCAAGAATTGGACCCCACTAAAAGAGTCATTCTCTTCGTGGGGGATGGGTCTTTGCAATTGACAGTACAAGAGATCTCCACCATGTGTAAATGGCAGACTAACAATACCTGGATGTTTGTGTTGAATAATGATGGGTATACCATTGAGCGGTTGATCCATGGAATGAATGCGACATATAACGACATTCAGCCTTGGAAGAACCTAAAGATCTTGGACTTGTTCAACGCTAAGGAATCAGAATCAACGAGAGTTTCCACTACTGGTGAGTTGGAATCATTATTTGAAGATCCTATGTTTGCCGTGCTGAACAAGTTACGGATGATTGAGGTGTTGTTACCTCGGATGGATGCTCCTGCCAATTTAGTCGCCCAAGCAAAGTTATCAGAGCAAGTAAATAACACGTAAAACATACATAGTATTGAGTATAAATACATATTGTACTTGTATGCATTTTTATCTCCACCGGCTTAACTCCACCCACAATCAACCCAATTTTTGTGTAACGAATCAATCAGCTTCACTTTTGTGTAACATATATGATAACAAAAATTTTCAAGCATAATCAACAGCTAAAACCGCCACTCGTCTTCTTTCTTCAATCAATATCATGTCTGGATTAGTAAGCAATGCGGCCATCCAAGATGCTCAGCTCTTGGTGCCCAAGCTGATTCTTCTCCGTCCGTATGTGTTGCCATTTACGGTGATCTACCCCGTGTTCTTCCAGGTTTATACCAATCATTATGACACGTATATTAAGGGTAGAGAATGGACGTTTGTGTATTTGATCACGCTTGTGTCGCTCAATGCGTTGTTCTGGTTGATGCCCCATTGGAATCTCGGTGTTAGGGCCAAGTTCAACTATACCAAGGTGTCGTCAATTGATGACGCCACTCATATCCAAATCACCCCTGCCCCCAATAACGGTGTGGGTGATATATGTCAGATCAACAGAGAAACGTTCCACGATGGCGAACAACAGACTTCGTTCTTGTACCAAAAGAGAAGACACTTGTTCCATAAGTCCACCGGTAAGTTTGCTCCTCCTGAGTTTTTGTTTGACGAGTTGCCTCCATTGGAAGTGTACCAGAACCATAAGGGGTTGACTGGAGATTTGGAGAAAATGAAGCGGAATTACGGTTTGAATAAGTTTGATATTCCAATCCCTACGTTTTTGGATTTGTTTAAGGAGCATGCCGTGGCTCCATTTTTTGTGTTCCAAGTGTTTTGTGTGGCTCTTTGGTGTATGGACGAACAATGGTATTACTCTTTATTCTCTTTATTCATGTTGGTAGCGTTTGAAATGACTACGGTGTTCCAAAGAAGAGTCACCATGTCTGAATTCCAAAGTATGGGGATCAAGCCTTACCCCATTTATGTTTATAGAGATGATTCTTGGATTGAAATCCAATCCACAGAATTGTTACCTGGTGATCTTGTGTCCATAACAAGAACTGCAGAAGGTAGTGCTCTCCCATGTGACTTGTTATTGGTTGATGGCTCAGCCATTGTTAATGAAGCCATGTTATCAGGCGAATCCACTCCATTATTAAAGGAATCAATTAGATTAAGAACTCCTTCAGATAATTTGCAACCAGAAGGTTTAGATAAAAATTCCATCTTACATGGTGGTACTACCGCTTTACAAGTCACTGCTCCAAAGAATAATGAAGTTCCTTTGGCTCCTGATAACGGTGCACTTGCCGTGGTATCCAAAACCGGGTTTGAAACTTCTCAAGGGTCTCTTGTTAGAATGATGATCTTTTCAAGTGAAAGAGTATCTGCTGGTAATAAAGAAGCTCTTTTGTTTATTTTGTTTTTGTTGAACTTTGCTATTGCTGCTTCGTGGTATGTTTGGGTTGAAGGTACAAGAATGGGTAGAGTTCAATCTAAATTGATTTTGGATTGTATTATTGTTATCACGTCGGTTGTTCCTCCTGAATTACCAATGGAATTGACTATGGCTGTTAACAATTCTTTGGCTGCGTTACAAAAGTTTTATGTTTATTGTACTGAACCTTTTAGAATCCCATTGGCTGGTAGAATCGATGTTTGTTGTTTCGATAAAACTGGTACTTTGACAGCTGAAGACTTGGTTTTTGAAGGGTTAGCAGGGTTTAAACCTGATGATATCCATCATTTGTATAAGGCTAACGAAGCTCCAGAAATTACATCTTTTGTATTAGGGGCCGGTCATGCCTTGGTTAAATTGGATGATGGTGAAGTTGTTGGTGATCCAATGGAACAAGCTACTTTACAAGCTACTCATTGGGAAGTCGGAGCTAATGATACTGTTCTGAGAACTTCACCTGAAGGCAAATCCCAAAAGATCAAAATTTCAAGACGTTTCCAATTCTCTTCTGCCTTAAAAAGATCTGCAACCATTTCTACCATTAATACTTTACCCAACAAACACTTTGTTGCAGTTAAAGGTGCTCCTGAAACTATCCGTAACTTTTTGATTGATGCTCCTGAGACTTATGAAGATATTTATAAGTCTTTCACAAGATCTGGTTCTCGTGTTTTAGCTTTAGCTTACAAACATTTGGAATCCAACGTCAATGTGATCAAAATTGATCGTAAAGATGTGGAATCTAATTTGAAATTTGCTGGGTTCATTATTTTCCATTGTCCATTAAAAGATGATGCCATTGAAACCATTGAAATGTTGAACAATTCTTCTCATAGATGTGTGATGATTACTGGTGATAATCCATTAACTGCTTGTCACGTTGCTAAGGACGTAAAGATTACCGAAAAGGAAGTTTTGATTTTAGATGCTCCTGAAGTCCACCATAATGTGAGTTCCGAGGAGAATTTGGTCTGGAGAAATGTTATGGAAACTACTATTATCCCATTTAAATCATCTGACAAGATTAACTCGGATTTGTTTGATAAATATGACATTTGTATCACTGGTTATGCCTTGAATTATTTGAGTGAACATGAACAAATTTTAGAATTGTTGAAACATACTTGGGTTTATGCCAGAGTTTCACCAAGTCAAAAGGAATTCATTTTGAACTCTTTGAAAGATGCTGGTTATAGTACTTTAATGTGTGGTGATGGTACCAATGATGTTGGAGCTTTGAAACAAGCCCATATTGGTGTTGCACTTTTAAATGGTACTGAAGAAGGTTTACAGAAAATTGCTGATCAACGTAGAATGGAAACTTTACAAAAGGTTTATGAAAAGCAAGCTCAAATTATGTTGAGATGGAACCAACCAGCTCCTCCAATTCCACCTGCTATTGCACATTTATACCCTCCTGGACCTGCTAACCCTAAGTATTTAGAAGCCATGGAAAAGAGGGGTATTGAAATCACCAAGGAAATGAAGGATGCCGTTAAGATTGCTTCTGCTAACCCACAAGTATTCAACTTCAAGGAACAAAACTCGGCCGACAAACCAGGTATAACTGATGCTATTTTGGGTGCTATGGATCAGGCAGAAGGTGAAGATGAAGCACCAGTTTTGAAATTGGGTGATGCTTCTGTTGCTGCTCCATTTACTTCTAAATTGGCCAACGTTAGTGCTGTCACTCATATTGTTCGTCAAGGAAGATGTGCATTGGTTTCCACCATTCAAATGTACAAGATTTTGGCGTTGAACTGTTTGATTTCTGCTTATTCTCTTTCAGTCTTGTATTTGGCAGGGATGAAATTTGGCGATTTCCAAGCCACTGTTTCAGGTGTTCTTTTATCTGTTTGTTTTATTTCTATTTCCAGAGGTAAACCCTTGGAAAAGTTATCGAAACAAAGACCTCAAGCTGGTATTTTCAATTGGTATATTATGGGATCTATTTTAGGACAATTTGCTATTCATATCACCACATTGATTTATATCACCCGAGAAATCTACATTTTGGAACCCCAAGAACCAAAAGTTGATTTGGAAAAGGAATTTTCACCTTCGTTATTGAACACTGCCATGTTTTTGCTTTCTTTAGCTCAACAAACCTCAACTTTTGCAGTCAACTACCAAGGGGAACCCTTTAGACAAAGTATCAAAGACAATAAGGGAATGTATTATGGTTTACTTGGTGTTGGAGCTTTAGCCTTACTGGGAGCCACTGAATTCTTCCCTGAATGGAATGACTTGATGAAGTTTGTCCCCATGACTGAGGTGTTCAAGTTCAAATTGACATCGACCATTTTGTTTGATTTCATTGGCTCTTGGGCAGTTGAACTTGTGTTCAAGCATTTTTTCCTGAACTCTGACGCAGCAGACATTGCTGTTAGAGAATAAAATTGGTGATAATTAATACAACAAAGGAATGCTATAGATGATGATGATGCTGATGATGTTTTTATTACCTTATTACTTAACCTATACCTTTTTCCCGATGAGTTGAAGATCATGGTCTCTTTGAAGCTTGTTGATGCTAACCATGAGTGTTTCATGATACTTGACGACATTAATTGACGGCAATCGATTTGAGAGCTCCACTATTGAATTTTGAATCACTGTCGTGTCTGATTTGAACTTGAAACTGTCGTTAATTGTGTTGACTAATTTGATCATCAGATGATTGGTGGATGAACCTAATTGATAAAGAATATTATAAATGGGTATGAGTTTACTTTCAATGGTATCAGTTTCCGTTGGTTCCGGATCCTTTACCGCTAATTTGGAGAGTCTTTCCTTTTCTTTTATTCTTTCCAAGACAGTTGAAGATGATGATGACTTGGTTGGCGATGTTAACTTGAATTTAGTTGATGTCGGTTTAATGATTTTATTACTTTTGAATCCCGACACCCGAACACCAACTGAAGAAGAAGAAGAAGGAGAAGAAAAAGAAGTTGGTGCTCGGGTCGGTAACTTTAAAGCATCGGGATGAGTGTCTATCCATTGGTTAATCTTAGTAGTAAATAGAATCTTTCTTTCACTGAACTGTTTTGTAGGAAGTCCAATTGTGGCAACTGACGCCGAGGAAACATTTCCAAACACATAAAGTTCGCTATCAAATCCCAAGATGGTTTCTAGTCTCGCTAAGTCTACCCGGATTTGGCATAGCTTGGTTGCTTGTTGGAGCACGGACATTAGCAGTGGATCTTTGGTATGAGACGCGTAATGGAGATGGAGGACATTTTCAATCGCTCCAAAAATCGTACAGACGCGTTCAAATGCAATGGGTTGGATTTTTCTATGTGGTTTGATCTGGACGCTCCTCATAAAGAAGACGATGAAGTTTATGAAGAAGTAACTAGTGATGAGTAACCATATTTCATGCTGAAGTTCTGGTTTTTGTTATAGAACTTTTCAGACACAAAATCAGAATTATATGCATGATACACGTAACGGATAAACTTGAATGCAAATCTTTGATGTATACGAGTTTATAAATACGAATACACATTATACATAAATACGAATCAATGGTACATATATAGGAATATAGTATACATATATACGAATACACAAGTCATTATGGTCATTTAAATTTATGAAATTTTTGTAGTGACGTTCGTAAGGTCTGCTTTGTTCAGACATGATTTCTATAAATATCCACAAGCCAGGAAAAATTCTATATTATCACAATCTTTCTAATGTTACTGTCCATTCAACTTTCGGTAATTATCGACAGACATAAAACGACATTTTTTGCAACTTATTTTGATGCATGTAATTTCATATCATCTAGCATATTAGTTTTTAACTCCGCCCAGCGCTACCACAAAGTTAGCGAAACCCGACAAAAACTGAAAAATCATAGACTTGCCATAAACCCTTGATTCATTCCCCATTCTATTCTCTTCAACTAACAAAAAGCATACCCATGCAGTTTCTTACAGCGAAGACTTTGCTTTATTTCCGCGTCATCTTATTGACTGTCGGATGCTTCCTTTTGGTAACTGACCCCGAGTACTTGAGCAATGCCGGCTTTGTAATGCTCTTGGGACAAGCGATGGAAGTAACATATGCTCCATTAGAAAGCTCCAATGCCATAATAGGACTCTTGGTGTTGTTTTTGGGGATTAATGCCTTGACGGACGTGATCCCCTTGCTTGCTGATAACTTGGAGTTCTTTGAGACCATCGTCCCCACGAGATTGACGGTGTATTTTGCGGTTGCTGCCTATTCTTATATTGGCAACAGTCAGTACTTTAGTACCAGTTTGGTGTTTGTGTATTGTTTCTTGGAAGTGTGGATCAACTTCTTGATCTTCAACAACTTGCGGGACGAGAAGTATGTTCGACTCAAGAAGTTTGTGGAGGAGAATGTTGACAAGATCATGGAGGTAGAAGGTGAAAAGGTAGTCGTCGTTGAAGACTAAAAATAACTGTTGAGGACTATTATTTTTAGCCAACAAAATCAAGTATAGACCATTGTAACGACTCCTTGACATCTTCAAAACTGTTGACTGTAAGTTGCAAGCAATTAGTGCCTTCAAAATCTTGGTTCAAATCAGATTCACTGGAATATTTGACGATTGTAAGGTTAATCACATAGGGAACAAATATTTCATTGGTAGTTAATTCTGTATGGATCTTCATCCATTTCTCTTGTTTATTCTTTAAGGTCATGACGATTTCTGAAACCGGTTTCTGAATGGACCGTTGGAAAATATTTCCCGTAAATGTTTTCAAGTTTGTTAATTTGTCAAGCTTGAGGGTGGCTTCAAGTAGTTGGTCTTTAAATTCCAATAATAATTCGTCCAACATTTTCTTGATGACCGTAATATAAATCTCATGTCGGATGTTGCCTAAAAGTGGCCGGAGGATCAATGGATGTGAATTCTGTTGTTTCCATTTGGTGAACAGAGTTGGCATCTTTTGTTTCAAGCTCAAATTATATTTATAGAAGCAACATAGCATCGTTTTCAAATAGTTAAGTATCGATTCACATTTCTCGTTATGCATCGATGAATAGGAATTGATATTCTGATACAAATCAATATCGTCCATATTATTGTAGTATTCATCAAACGGTACGGCTTCTATCTCTATGATTTCATCTTTGATCTCAAAAATAATCTTATTGGAGATGATCGAAACATTATAGTTGATCAAGGTCTTTGCTTCTCTGGTTAAAAAGTAGAACAAGTCCTCTTCAAAGAGGAAATATCGAGCCTTCTCCAAATCGTTGACTACTTGGAATCGACTACTATTGAAAGTCTTTTTAAAGCTGGAGATCCCTGTAACCATAAACTCTTCGTCTATCTTATTGAGAATCTTCACTTGAATGTACTTGTACGTCTTGTTAGCCACCCGAAAGTTCAGTAACGATGCTACAGGCGTAAAGGTTACATGTCCAGTGGTCTCATCACTTCTCAAGATCGCAAGCCCTTTATCATGGTAGATGGAACCAGCATCTCCATATCCAAATTTCACACCAATGGTCTTCCCGTGTTTGAATAACACTTCATCATCAGCAAGGACCACGTTGATCATCTTCCAATAGTGTTCTTCCTTCTCAACTTGTTGCTTTAACTTAACACTGGCTTCCTTAAACAATTTGGTGATCTTAATAACGGCTTCATACTTCCAACCTTGCCCTACTTTGGAAGTATTACCATCTTTATTACCATCATTTCCACTGGCTCCCTCCTCCTTCGTCAATTTGTCACTACTGAGTGACCCCAAGGGGATATTCTTGAGCAAATGAGGGGACATCGTAGACTTACCTATGTTCTGCTTCACAGAGGCTATGAGCAAGGAAACAAAATCCAAAGATAACGACGTCTCGTTCAATGCAAGTGCAACGTTCTTGGCCAAATCGGCTCGGTTCTTATTAAACGTGTCTATTTTAGTGGCAGTACTGCCATTGGAACCCCCTATGTCAATGTTATCTCCGCCGACAATGTCTGAGTTACAGACGAGAGAGTCACCCGGTACAACAATCGGGATGCCATCTGACATCTGCGAAGAAGCTTCGGCGGCTGCTTTGATCTCGTCCAAGAGCGACTCCTCGGTGACATCAATAAACAGCTTCCGTTCAAGAAGGATCCGAGGTATCAATTCCTCGATCGTGAGCTTGTCTTCGTCAAGAAGAAACGCGTCACGTGTGTCGTCGCCGTATATTTCCAGATCGAGACTGAGTCGTATCTTATTCATGGTGGATCAAAGATGGAAGGAAGGAAGGAAGTGGTGATGTTTATTTTGGTGGTGTAGACGTTTTTCTGTGTATAAGTAAATTTTTGGCAAAAATAACGGAGGTGGGAATCGAACCCACGCGAGGTCATCGTGGCACAGCGGTCAGAACTTCAGAAAGTATATGAACTGATAAGATTGTTACTGATATTACATTAAAATAGGTTAATAAACTTGTAACTTAATAATTTCTCTTTAAACCTATATTACATATATATTCTATCCACTAGTAAACAAAACCCAAGATTTTACCAGAAACATGCTTTCTTCTGGCTTCTTCATGGTCCATGATACCAGCAGAAGTGGTCAAGATAACATAACCAAATTGTCTAGCTGGTAACAAGTTGTCAGTCCATCTTTCAATGTCACCAATCTTGACATTAAATCTTGGAGAAATAACTCCACACTTGTTCAATCTACCGTTCAATTGAACAACAATCTTTCCTGATCTGTGATCATCGATGTATTCAAATTCTCCAATGTAACCTGAGAAATGTTAGTATTAAATCACAACAGTTTATAATATAATTTGATCAGCTTCTTGTTTAAAGAGTAATAGTGGGGTTTATAATGGAATGGAAAAGTAAACGACCATGAAGGTGATATCAAAATAGCAAACATCGTCGTGTAAGAAGCATTTCCACATGGTTGTTCTTCCGAATACTTAAAAGACAGAAAGGGACTGAAGACCGTTCAAACCATCCAGTTATCAATTCGGTGTGTGGGGAGGTTATAAGATTCAACTTGAAGACTGACCAAACAATTATTATAACAATATTAATACATACCATGCTTTTGCATAACAGATAAGAACTTGATGATAACCTTGGAAGAAGGTCTAATCAAAACTTGTCTCTTACCGGTCTTTTCGGCGTTGTTGATGGCATTCAAAGCATCAGCTAAAACAGAAGATCTAGTCATATTAAAAGAATTTCAAAATTAACTAAATAACTTGTTAGTACCAAAACATGTATATTGAATGAATACATGTAGATAGTATCCACACATATTACATCCATATATACAAGCCACATGAGTGTCCATAGTTCAAAGAACAGGATTCATGAGCCATATCCATACAAAAGGGTATAAGGAGTCTCAACAACTACTACTTCCCTATGTTGAAAAAGAAGCACATGCTTGCTGTTGAACAGATCATCACCACTGTTATAAGATGGTGCTAGGGTGTTACCAACTTCAACCGTGTCTAATGTCTTTGAGAGCTCCATATTCCTTTGTATTAAATGACGAAGAACCTTCTGGAAAAGGGGAAAAAGGAATATCCTCAATGCTCAGCCTGTAGTACTAATTCTTCAATACATACATTTGCCAAACGGTTGTCAAATTTGCTGAAGGAAAGAAGAGGAAACAGAGAAGAGATTAATTTTAGTGGGTGATTCAAGTGAAAAATTTTCCTCCTACAAATATATTGACGTAACACACGACTTTCACTAGAGAGCTACCAATAATCATGTACACGACTTTGGTGATCTTTCTAGTACAAAGTGCTTGGTCTGTAAAGTACTAACTACAGTATGTTTGTTATTCAGAGTTAAGCACTGGTTATTTAATGGATCGACAGAGAGAGCTATCGCTGGAGCTATTCACTCGCGTTAAGCCACTATGCGTCGAGCTATCAAAGGAAACATTGGGCCCCGGAACCATCAACTTAGATCACACCGGTAGGTTGTTGCAAAAGCTAAGCAACGAACTTAAGGTTCATTACGATGAGTATAATCAAAAGGGGTACTTGCTATCGGACAAGCTAGCCGATTATATTTTCATGCCGCTAAGCGGGTTACTTAAACGAGACTCCTTGGTTAAGGGTGATAGCAATACTACTAAAGGTGATGGTGATAATGATGATGGGGATTCAGTGGCAATAATAGGCCTGATACTTTTCATTATAGGTTTCTTATTAGATCACTGTTGGCGATATTCCCCAGATAACGACACCAGTAGTCTACAGGACCAATTGTTCCCTCTTGTGTTGTATTTGGTTGAACAGAAGCAGAAGCGACCTGTTGACTTTGATTTCACAGTCAACGGAGTCTACTGTGTAGGGACACTACTTGATATTCTTCCTGGTGACTACTTCACTACTGGTAATCAGAAAAGATTGGCATTACTTGGAAATACCATAAGTTATCTCTTGGATACGTTGACCAACCTGACATCGCCAGTGACTCAAGAAGAGTTACAACTCGTAGAGGATATCTTGAAGATCGTCCAAAGGTTGTTTGCGTGGAAGCTTAATGCCGATCAATTGTCGATGGTTCTTCCCGGAACGGTTTCCAAATTAGTTAACTTTGTCATTGATTCCAAGAGCGTCCATTTTACAGTGATAATCTCCATTATTAAGGTGTTGAAGGAGTTAATAGTGAAGGTTTTCACTATAACGAACATACAAGTGGATATTGAACGTAAACCCGAGTCACTTAACGATTTATGGAATACATATGTGAAAAAAGAAGACACTACGGCATCAGAATCTGCTTCTGACTCATTTTTAATAACGCATATTGTCAGCAACGAAGGGCCTCGTACGGACAAGTGGTTAAGAGCAACGTCTCAACAACTTAAATTGACTCTAGTGGCTTTCTTCAAGCATTTGATCATGTCTTCCACCAATAAACGGAGATTAGAAACAAAACCTCAAGTAGTGGAAGAGATCATCTCGTTTATCGAGTCAATAGTGGCTAATTGTTTCCTCAGTTTATTCAATGAGATTTATCCGCTTTTGATCGACATTGCTTCTTTGACTCTTGACACCACACACTTTGCCAACGAACAACAAGAGAGAAGCCGATATAGGGAGTATTCCGAGCTCTTTATTCAGCCACAGAATTGGCAATACAACCAAGTGATATTTGATTTACTTGAGTTGAAATTAAAGGACATGATATCATCCAAATTATCCAGTGTTTTACTTCTGGCAGACGACGACAGAGTCAAGGGCTTTTTCATAGGCTTGAAGTTTCAATTATTCCTTTTCCAAACAGTAAATAAGACACTACTAGAGCTTAGTTCCGAGTCAGTGGTAACAGAAATGGTATGTGATATTGTTCAGTTATTGCAACTGAATGTTGTTGAGTGTGTTGCAACTGCCGCAACCCCAACAATACAATCTAAAGATCTTCTTCAATCATTGAACAGTTCTGCTGCTTCATCTTCTTCCAATAAGCTTGATAATATTGAACTTCCTTCTTATGTCAATGCCAATAAGTTGGTCAAAGTCGATACCAAGAAGAATCTGAAACAAATGTCTAAACTGGAATATGTTTCCAATTTGATGATTCTCTCCAAGCAATGGGAGAACGACGACATGCTATCGTTGAAAGAAGACGGAAAACTGGACGTTAACAAGATCTTTGACAAATGGTTCAGTGTCTCTACGGAGAATAACATTGAATCATTTTTAAGGTTTGTTTCAAGTATGATTGGTGATGTTAAATCATTAGATCTACTTGAATCATTGGGTGAACCCCAGTACGATACCATGAACAATACCGTGTCACTTTGGATAGCAAATACTTTCTTGAGTTCCTTACCAGACAATAGTAGTAATTATATGGTGGATGACTTCCTTTACTTTGATGATGATGAAGATGAAATTGAAGTTAAACAACCAGTATCGACTGCACAGCCCGATGATCATAGACTTAACTTTTCCTATTTTGTCATGTACAGATCTCAAGAACTCATAGATAAAGTCAGTGATCTCATTCGAATGCCAGAATCAGTCGGTTGGTCCGGTGCCGGTAGTGAATACCACAAGTTGGAAATGAGTTATGCCACGGCCATTTCATCCATTGGTATCTTATCGAAACAGATTCCTCATGAAGATTTCCAAACAGACTTTCTTATCAACTATTTATATCCGTTATTAGAGGCCCTTACGTTCCAACAGAACCCATTGATTCAAACTCATGCGGCGTCCTCTGTGGCCCAGATCATCAACACCCATTACGAGGGCTCCTTCAGGAAGATGATAGAAGCAAACCAGAACTACATCATTGATGCCATTAACTTAAGATTAACTGTAACCAGTGAATTGGCTCCTTCACTACCTGGGATCTTATTGATAATGATGAAGATCTGTGGATTACAGTTGTTCGCTAAGAACCAGTTGGTGGACGTATTATCCCAGATGTTTGTGTTGATTGATAATTACCATGGCTACTCGTTCTTGGTGGAGGGGTTTTTTGTGGTATTCCATGAGTTGGTTGCACAGATTTCAGGAGAGTATATGAAGAAGCAGCAGACTTTTCAGATACAAGGAAGTAAAAAGGACGAGAACAGCTCCAGATATAAACCTTGGGGTATGACTACCATCAACCAATTGGTTCAATTGCTAGATGATTCACAGAAATTAGTTGATCCGTTTGAACAAGACGTTGACTTGGACAAAGAGTATTTTAAACGGAAACCTGACACTCCTTTTGATGAACAGGTGGCGGATTCTGACGATGAAATCGATTCTGATGATGAAAATGATCAAGGTGAAGCTTCTGATTCTAACGAGTGGTCATGTTCCATACCTAAGAACATTTATATGACCATTCAACGGATATTCACCTACGGTTTAAGGCTTTTGAACCATGAGTCGACGTCTCTTAAAGTCCAAATCTTAAAGACATTATCAGAATGTTATCCTATTTTATGCGAAAACTATTCACTAGTTCTTCCGATTATTGCTGACTACTGGAGCAACTTACTTGTGCTAATAGCAGGCAGCACTACACTCTCTGAATTCCAGGAGAACCAATGGGAACAAGTGTCGTATGAGACAGTGATGTTGATTATCCCAGCATTGGAATTTGTTATACATATTATAAATCACGATAAGCATGAAGGCTTTTTATCCGGAAGGTTTCTCGAGTCCTGGTCTTTCATTTCCAGCCATTCCCCAGTGTTCAAGAAGGAAAAGTCTAAAATTGGAAAGCCTAACCAATCAACAGCCGTTACTTCTATTCAAATGGACCCTAGGATGCGTTTCCTTTATCGGAAGTATTTTCTAACCGGGTTGATAGTGTATGAGGGTCGTATACCTGATTTGAAGGTGATTGAAATCTTAATGAGAATACAACAACTAGGAGGGATTCCACAGGAGATGGACCAATTGTTAACTCGAGACATTAGAAATGCCATGTGGGTAATAACCAGCAGCAGCAGCACCAGCTTAATCTGAAGACATAAGATCATGAAGAACAGCTTTACGAAGTGGAAGAGTCTGTTGACCCTTTGGAAGTGCAGCAACTTTGGAAACGGGCGACGACGCATCACCAGAGCCGGCACCAGCACCGGCACCGATTCCATTCGGCTCTTGAACGGTTTCTTCAGGATAAAACCGCTCTTTATCTTTCTTATTCAAGTGGATTTTCTTCTGGGTGATCAAGTCACTTATGGGTTGAGCTTTAGGCACCGTATCGCCTAAAAAGTTGAGTGATTCGTTGGTTGACGTGGCAGTACTGACATCTTTATAAAGTAACTTCTTTCTCTTGTCCAACTTGGCATAAACACTGGCTTGTTCTGTCAAGTATTGGATGAAGAGTTCAGTCGCTAAGCCTGTGGCATATACTGCCGAATTGGAGCTTGAAATGTATTCGGTATCCAAACGGAAAATCCGCTTAATCTTGGATAACGGCAACGATAATAACGCTGACCCTTCCTCCTCGACCTCAGTGTCAACATCAATCAATTCAATGCCTTCAGCGACATCAAACAGTTTGACAGCAACTTCATCAGATACTTCCTGGTTGACTTCTTCCGACAATTTGACTTCTGACTGTCTGACTTCTTCGTGATCGTCCACTTCCATTGACTCGGGGTCGACTCCTATGATTTCCACTTCAGGTGTTTCCAGCATAATGAACTACTGAAGATATGGGCAATTGAGTTTGGTGATGAAATCAAGATCGATTTTGACTACGCGACTCGTACTGCACATAACCCATCGACTAGCTTAGTACTAATGTCAGCCAGAGTTAACGGGCTATACTAATAGTATGAAGAGTGAACTGTCTGCTTCCATTGCACTAAACCAAGTACGAACACTTGCTGCTGTCTTCTACAACTATAAGACATTAAACTGCGACATTAATAGTCCTCATTCCAGTGATTTATTACTATATACATGATAATCTACTGCTCAGCTTCCTTCTTCACAACTTCAGGATTGATATACTCCTCAAGATACCCATTCAGTGCTGCATCCACCAGATCATAGTTCTCGCCATATTCTATGAAATCAACAATCTTTTGCCATGTCAAATCTGCTGATTTGAATCCATCGTCATATCCAACAAATTGTTGACGTACTTGAGGAACAAATGGTGAGACCAAGGGCTTTAAATTGGTTTGACCCAAGTCCAGTGGTACAACATACGTCCTTACTTTGGACCAGTTAACAACATATTTACCATTGCTGTTCAATTTCCCGTACCCAGAAGACCCTGTACCCTTATAATAATGCTTGTTACCTTGCTTGGTAGTCAATGGGTGTCTTTTAGACCCAGTCTTCATATACCCGTACCATAATTGGCCGTCTTTGAATGTTTGCCAGGGCCTTCTCAACAGAACTGCAGACGACTTATGGAAACTACGAACGACTGATGCTTGCATTATGTATGTATCAATATGTATACAGTGATCAATGTACTTAGTTACATTACATTTACTAAAGTTTAAAATTTTTTGAAAATCATTTAAAAGTAGTGCACAAGACAAATATAAATCACGTGATCAACGAATCACGTGGAAAGTCACGTGTAAATTGAAATTTAGCAACATAAACATTTGAAAATATTGTACCCCTGGAATTCCATATCTTTGTATAAAACCACACTTTACCCTACACTTTTCTTCTTCTTACTCATTTAGTTTTTCTAGTCACAATGACTGAAATCCCCCAAACACCACAAAACACCGGTTTCTGCAACCCACAACACGGCTATGCCGACATTGAAATTAAAACCATAAACTACTCAGGCAATCCAACTCCCTTCCCCAGAGAACAAGGGAAGATCAACGATTTTATACTGAGCCACACAGATTCTGCACACCAAAAGAAATACGCCAAAAGTCTTTTCAGCTTTCTCGTCAAAACTCTTTGCAAATAAAGTGAAGGACGGCACTATAACTTTGGACTGGCTAATTTGCTTGCTACGATTCTGCTGACAATCTCTATAGCTCCATAACTTGATTGGTACCCAGCACCACCAAAGCCATAGCAATGGATTAACCAAGGACGAGTAGAGTCCAGTTCAATTCTGTATCCGTTCTCTCTAAAGGGACGGAACCCAATGTTAACCTTTACGATGTCAATTGATGGTGAGTTTCTCTTGAATCTCGAATCAATGAGCTCTGGGGCACATTTTATTGCTCTTTGAATAATTCTTTTGGTTAATTCTGGGTCTTCTTGTGTTGACTCACAATCCCTCTTAAAACACCCACCAATAATGGTACCGCCCTCCTTTCGAGGCATTATATATAGGAGTTCGTCTGGATATTCTGGTCCAAATGTTTCGATGGAGTATTCCCTTTTCACATTGTTACGTACCAAAAGAGTTTGCCCTCTAACAGGATATAGGCTCAGTGAATCATTCAACCCTTGCAACTTCAGTGCAAGCAATCCTGTACAGTTTATGACCAAATTAGTACTCTTATTGTTGTCATAAGCATCGTTGATATGGTGAATTTTTATCCGTTTGAATGTGTTGCCCAATTCAAGGTTCCGTTGAAGCAAATATGACAAATAAATTGGGACAGAAATGACTATGCCTTTAAACTCATAGCCAAACTTACAATATGGTGGAAGTTTGCCTTTATTGTTATCATCATACATTTTAAAGTCATCAACCTCATTGATAAACCATGGAAGCAGGTCTGTATACTGTTCAGACTTTATGGTATGAACTCCTGCTCTTGGTTCAATATCGGCCAACTCAAGGAACTTACGATAACCCACCATATCTATCTGCTGCACAAGCTTATCATTTTGGTCCGCAAAGGAGTGCCAATCTGCACCAGCAAATGGCGAGGTATAATCTGTGGAGATATCACCCGGTAAATGAGCTGCCCATATGGTGATGTTAAGTTCAGGATGTGCAAGTTTTAATTGGAGTCCAGCGGTTAGACCAATCACACCAGCTCCTACGATTGTAATGGACATCGTGGGTGACTATGGAGAAAGGAATAGATTCGCTTTTTAATTTTAAGATCTTATCATATGAGGTTGATCCTAATTTGGATAATTTAACCGACAGGATTTGATTGATTGGAATGTTGAGGATCGAATCGGAACGGGGATACTTAGGTCGCACGTGACTAGATGAACGTTATTTAGATAGATTGGGTGATAAAATTAGTATTAATCGTGGAGTTTTATTTTATCTATGCAGAACATGCACGCCAGTATGTGACACTAAATAATTCTTTTAGCTTTTATAATAGATTTGATATATATTAATTATGTTTATGCAAGTGCCTTGAAACGTACTGTACTGCACTGCAGCACACAATAATAATAATAATAATAATAATATATGTACATATTCGTAAAATTACATACTGCATATTATTCCAACTTTTTTGGTAGCACACAACGGGAATGCCGCATTTCACGTGACATTTAATCATTTTATGCATACCTTTTGAGGTAGCGCCGACAGGGAAACAAGTAACAGACTCCGAGCAGAACACCCTCTATGAGAGTTAGAATGTATTACACAACTAATTAGTTTAGCTTGATAGTCATGTGCACAGGAAATTAGTTAGTAGTAACAGAAATTGTAGGACGAAACCATAACAGTGCCACATAAAGTTTCACGACACGCAACCACAGTTTGGGCGTACAAGTCAGCTGCCATCTTATCATTAGGAACCACAGTATAAGGTGTCAATTGTGACAAGTATATTAGTCAAGCTATACCCTTTTTGATCTACACAGTAAGCACTGAGATTGAAGAAGGCTCAGTATAAGGATATTTTACACGTCATATTTATAGCATTAACGTTACGTTTATGGAAAAGAACGACTATAATGAACGGAGACACCAAACATTCTTCACTGAATAATGATCTCACCACGGCAACAAGTTCTGCCTTATTAGAGCAGTTGGTATATATTGATAATTTTATGAATAACCTGTCTGCGGGTACAGACAATGTGACTCCCAATATGGATATAGATGGTCAACTATCTGTGGACTTGGCCGCGTTTGCTGATGATTCCTTCATCTTTCCTGATGAAGACAAGAAACACGATGGTAACAATGATGATGAGGATCATCACTTCAACCCTCTACCCTTTGGCAATGATGTATTTGTTTCGCCCAAACAACATATGGATATGATGGAAGCCACCAATGAGGACGAAAGCAACAACAACAACAACAACAATAATAATAATAATAATAATAATAATAATTTTATCATCAGCAACTCCATAATCAATCCTATTGGTGGCGCTGATGATACTCATAATAATAATATCAACAGCAATAACAATAATGCATCAACTACGGAGTTTAATAATGAGGCTCCAAAGCTGTCTCTAGATTACCTTATACCTGATCTTAATAAGCTACCAAAGTTCCCGGTGCCCCCAGGAGCAAAGAGCTCATTAGTTCAAGTGGGTCTTACCACTAACCAGATCGAGCTTTTGAGTGCGTTAATTGCCCAACACCAATCAACTATTTCTAAACAGCCGCAAACGCAACTGCAACTGCAACTGCAACTGCAACTGCAAGTACAACTGCAACAGCAAATACAACTGCAAGTTCAACAGCAAATACAACTGCAAGTTCAGCTGCAACATCGACAACAACATGTTCGTCAACATAATCATATCCCAGGATTGGATTTGTCTTTAAACATCTCTAATTCAGCTACTCCTTCCTTAATGACCACTGACCCAAAAGGTTCGTCTGTGTGGTCATATTCTTCAAATAGCTCTGCTAAACAGCCTTTTGCTATATTGCCGTCACTGAATTTGAAAATGGATCCAACTGATGTAAGTTTCAATGCCCCAGAACCTACTCGTCCCCAGTTGCAATCACCATCATCGTCAGTTTCCATAGCCCCATCCATAAGTAGGAAACATCTGCATACAGCTTCTGCGTCTCTGCTTGAGAATCTACCACTTTCAACGGGTCAGTCAGACTTGTCTTCTGAGTTTGACAAGCGAAGACGGAACACAGCGGCTCTGGCACGGTTCAGAGTTAAGAAGAAGTTAAAGGAAAAGCAAATGGAGAATAAGATCCATCAATTGACAGAATTTATCGATAATTTGGAAAACAAGATTCTGCATTTGGAAACCGAAAATAAAGTTTTACGGACTTTGATTCTAGAGAAGGGAGAACAACGTAATGATGATGAGTTGAAGTTACTTAAAGAACGGGCTACAAATAACGATTAATTCATCAATAGATTGTGCATGTATAGGGAAGAATGCAAAAACTAGGGGTATCACCTTCCATTCATTACATAGTATAGGTTTAATTTACACAGCAGGGCTCTTTATTCGGAAGAATAGTTGATACGATTTCGTATATTTAATGTAGTATCTAACGTGCTTGACGCGTGTGTGACAGCAAACCGTTATTTTGTTTAGTTCACACATATTACAATAGACACCCATTAATCTTAATGAATTATCATATTGTACACATTGAAGTTTCCAAAATCAACCGAGTTACTTTCATACTAACTTAATGTAAACATATCAGAGCATACGGAACTTAAGCAATACATTAAGCAGTACGGAATTGAACGCGTAGCAACAACCGTTTTCGTAAACTAATTTCTTAAGGGAGGCTTAACAAAAGTGAACTCCGATATTTCAACGTTGTACTCCGAGACAAAGTATGGCATCGTACAATAAGACTGAGAAAATAACAATGATGCATAAGCACTTACGCAATATGGAGAACTTGAATCACATAAATGAACTGAAGCAATAAGTGGACTACGGGGTATATGTAGATACAAATATAACTAGGTGGATATTAGGGATTATCCTTAAATAATAACATGGAGTATGGATAATTGTGATTAAAATAATGCCCAGCACTGTTTAACTGCTCAACTAGTAGAGCAGTAACGGAATATTTAAACAATGGGAGTTGATATAAGATGGGCCGGTTCAGGTTTCGATGAGACACCTTTTACCTGAAAATAATGAAACTTAAGCTCTTGTTTTAACATATAGCAGAATAGGCTTTTTTGAAACATCCACAAATTAAAGTTGAATTACGTAGGGCTGAGGTCGACTCCGTAGAAATGTTATAGCTCATCGTTGAGAATCTTTGACAGTTCAGATTTAGGAGAATATATGGGGTGCATTGTATTACGTAATGGGGCTTTAAAAATCACTTCTAGTGCATTGGTATGAGCTTTGACTCGGGATATGATACAAAATAATGAACTAAGACCATGGATCTAGAACTTGGTTCAACAGGTAATAATAGCTTTTATTTTTGTTAGTGGTACCATTTCTGTGCCAAGGACTTTATGAGAGTCGAGTCGGACCATTTCGCATACAGGATGGCGTCAATCAACTTACTAGTATATTGTGTTTGATTTATTACTTTTGTAGCAGTTTATAATTATAGGCATTAAAGCTTTCAAAATGTTCAGTTACATGGTCCAGCAGATTTGCAGCAGCATCGCTAGCATCGCCGTATCTTGATTTTACACATCTACCCGTATATCGCACAGTACATTGCATTACAGAGCGTTTAATGCATACACAAATCACTAAAAATATAATATACTCTATTAATCGTACAATGTACGTTCTATAAAACCTAAACCTGCTATATCCCAAACAATTATATCAAATAAATAAAATGATTCAAGTTTTGAACTAGACTTAGTAGTCATTGGAGAAACGTCTCAACTTGAACTTCTTTACAGCCTTTTTCCAAGAAGTTAACTCTCCTGCTTTCAAGTTTTCCATTATGCTTCCCAACAGAGATCCACGGGAACTTGCAGGAGTGTCCTCAGATCCACTTCCAAAGGGGGTACTCGAAGGAGTTGTAGCGCCTCCATAAGGTGACAGGGTAGGCCCACCATTGACAAGGTGATGTGTTGGGCCAGGAGTAGATGCACTTCTGGGGGCAACATGAGGAGGGTTTGCATCCAGTTCTGATGCATAGTGAGTAATATGGACACTATGGGATTCCGACAACAAGGGGATATCTGGAAATGTATGCCATTGACTATTTAAAACTGGCCTTGGGACTGGCGCTAACGGTACATCTGGCGCCACGTAATCTGAAGATCTGCGATGTATAGGAGAACCAATAGTATCTGCTGGTGGAGGTGAAGAAATACTGGTACTTGTATAAGGGTAACCCATTTGACGTTTCGTGACTCTAACGAAATCATTATAGGAATCTAAAAGGATATCATACACCGCCATCTTGACCAAATGCAAATCATCATCATGAGGAATTTGATGAGGCTCGAACCGATTCCGAACTTCACATGGGATGTTCACTTCTCGAGTCAGATCAACAGCAATAAAATTGTTGTAGATTAAACGCCAAACTCCTATATCTGATCGGGAATGAATACAGAAACGTACTAATGCAACGATAAACTCAAAGTTTTCAAGCGCATGACAACCACTAAGGTATTCAACAAATCTTGAACGGGAAAATGCAGGTGGTAAGGGTGTGGAAAGATCATTGGCTATAAGCGTATCTAGTGATGGTGGGGAAGGATTATCTTCAGGTTCTAGAGAACACTTGAGCATGACATGAGCGGAATTAAATGTATTCTAAAAAGATCAAAACTGAAATATTGGTGCAAGTGATCCACTTGAACTTTTACTAGGATATATGGCTACTATTGAAAGGGATCGTAGTAGTATAAGTGGCTATTAGTTATGGTATATGAATTTTTTTCGTCTAATAATGGTGAAGGTTATGGGGTAAAATACTAGAATGTGGTTGTGGCGAAAGCCCGAAAATGGGTTTTAGTCTTGTTATATAATGTATGACATGAGGGAACGATCTTCGTTCTCGTAAAATCGTGTTCATAAAATGCACCTCAATGCCAACCTTAACAGTATTGTAAAACAATAAGACTACAGGACAGGACAGGACGATTGAGTGTGTACATAAAAAATAATCCCTAATAATGTTTATCACACCAAACGCTTTACAGGGTCTTCTATGAAGTGATTCTCTTTAAAACCTACTTGACTCAAGTTGGTTGGTGCTTATATCATTAGATACCCTGACTTTTTTAAAAGGAATGATGCAAGATGGTTTCTCTTGGTATGAAAATTTGTATTTATTTATTGTGAGGACGCAGTTTCCCCCCAACGTGTAAAGGTACGCATAACCGTTGAATAACTTTTCAAACTCAATTTTTAAATAGTACTACTTTTTGAACTGCATATACTTCCATCACATACAAAAATTACATTGTTTGGGCCTATTGTTCCAATGTACACTCTACCGTTGGATTGTTAAGTGAAGCTTGCATTTCGAATTAGCATGATCATCGCCACGAACCGAAACTGTTCATAGATAGCCTAAGCCACCATTTTGCTGACACAAATTTTGAAATAATTATTCGTAATAACTCTCTACTTGTCATACACAACCCAAGTAACTCGTAGTCATGTGATAATGGAGAAATGACCTAATAGAACAACTTATTGGTTTTTTATATAGTATGTATGTAAGCGGGTCATGCTTGCTTTCTTCACTTATTTCCGTGTGCCGGATTAATTGCCCCCTATCATAAATCTATTACATTCCATACATGCTGTTCCTACTACCAGAGGGTTACCGTTTGTGTCCATTTTTGACCGCTTATCTGTTATCTCTACCTTAGTTTAGTTTTGTCATAACGCAGCTGCCTTCAAAAACACCATGACACCCAATGAAAAATAACTTCCCTTCCATTGCGTCATTCCAGTATTGACTTGCATTTCCTCACAAGGTGATTAATTTCTCTCCAGGCCTGAAAAGCTAGAACATCTTTACCCCTTCTTGTAGAGAATATACCTCAAACTTAATACAGTACAAGTACACGTTGACTTTCTGGTACTTACTAATTTGTACCCTATGTACGCACCAATATATTATTTGTGGTTATTTGTGCAGTGTAGTTTTATTTTTATTTTCGTACATGCAATTTAACGTTAGTTAGTGTGGATGCGCGTATGCTTGATGCGGGCAATCTTCATGTAGAAGTCTTGTTTATTATTTGTCAACTTAAGCGTACACATTCATCACCACAACCCTTTGTTCCCCACACATTCGCGCTGGTAATGCTTTCCTAGCAGGTGGGGAAAAAGTAGTTGTGACATTCTCGAAATTTATTAAATGTCTTGGAGGGGAAGAAAACTTAAAGTTGATGCAGTGCACTTACACAAAATAGGCAAGTGATACGATGTACTTTGATGAAAGGACTGCATTGCTGAAATGCTAGCACTATGGGGAGGAGACCACAATAAAAGTAAAATGTCTGTCTTGGCTAGGCTGCATTAACCGGTGGAGCTCTACATCATAGATATCCAGGGATATTTTTGATTATTCAGCATTGAAAAAGGTGCGCTCCCGTTTTTGTTCTTTCTCATAACATATGCACCTGGTAGCAAGCGGTGACAGAAAAGTGGGACAATAATTGTAAATCTAAAATAGAATTGACATATGCATTGCATGAAATGCAGTACATACATTTACAAATTTACACCCTTTGGTATCGAAATCATCAAGAAACCACCACTACAAAGCACCTGATAGAGTAATGTGAAATTAATGGGTAAATCGAATTGCACCTGATAACGGATCAACTAACCAACGAGGTACCGACCGCAATTACACAAATGCAAAAATAGATCTCACAAAACTGATATCAAAAAAGCTGTACAAGAAAACTTTTGACACTTGCTAACCTAAAAACGTCTCAATTGGAAACGTACTCCAGAAGGTTATAGACTTTCTTGACGACGCTAAAGAATAAAATTGGCATCAACGTCTTTGATTTAACGGTTCAAAAGACAATTAAATTTCAAGAAAAAATTGAAGACCCCTTTAAAGCACAGCCGAGTCGGATGCTTAGAAGCGTTAATAACACGAAGGTACCACTAAAATACTTACATACACTTGCATACAAGATTGCAATAATTGCGCTGAAGTGAGAATAATACGAATAAGCGAAGGTGTGTCAACACAACTCGTACTTTTCTCCTATTTCCATAGTAAGAGGATCAGGTTACAACTGCCGACATGAGTTATATACTGTGCCAAGTTAGATTGTATGTACACGGAACCTAAGCCTTAACCAACTGGAACTACAATGTTCAATTACTAAGGTGGAGACAAGCTTAATCCGTGGAATTACAATTCCCAATCGGGAAATTTTTATGGTAAGAGTATAAACTACCCAATCTTAGAAGTGCACTTCACTGTTCACAACCTCCTTGCCAACTTTATATTTGTGATTCCAAAACATGAAACTTCTACCACGGAGGAGTACTACATAGATACCGAGTGCATTTTAGGGAAAAGTAATATATTAAACTATGTGGCTGGCAAAGTGTTGATCCATCATCCATCAACACAAGAGATAACTTTTTAATACGGAGAAATTGCGTAGGCATGTATTAGAATGAATTCTTTCGACGTATATAAATTGTGTTATAGCCGTACAACAATACAAGTATATCCCTATCAACCTGATGTCATCATATTATGACCCGTTCAAGAAGACTCAATCTTCTTAGCGTTCACAGTGAGAAACTGATACGCTATAATCAATACCACCGACACAAACCCAAGGCCCAATGCAAGACTGTTCAATTGGTTATCTGTAATCATCCTGTACCTGTACTTTTCCAGATCTTGTTTCCTTTAGAGTAACATAGTGTTAGGTTTAGTTTTAGGTGTCAAGATAAATTTCAACGACAACCATAAAGATCGCGAATATTGCCTAATATATTACGTAAGCAAGAGAAGGAAAAGCTCCATCTTCTTCAAAGTGGTAGCAACTGATGGTAAAGTGTCATTACTGTTAATAAGTTCTTTATCAATGGTCTTTGCGTCTTTTGAAAGGTATCTCTATAACAAGTTAATAACGTCTCCTGCGTTTCATCGATGGGTGCGACGTATTCATGCTCGGATAAATGGAATACCTCTACATCATGTTGATCCGACCCAAAAACCTCCATTAACCCATATTTCCATAGAGAATTACCTGCCTACTCTAAACCATAAAATGAAAGCATTTAGAATAATATGGTGGGATGAAATGAAGAGGGCGTTTAGAATATGGTAATGGTATTTGTTTAATTATCTATTTATTCAGTTTAATTTTACGCTGCTTGTTGTTTTATCATGTATATATATAAAACTTGTTCTATCTAATTAAACAGACGGCTCAGCATTATAGCTTACAAAGCTAAATGCGCACCAGTGTTGGGGATATGTCGAGCGTGTTTCGCTAAAATATTTAATGATAGCATGGATAACGTTCCCAATAAATGAATAGCTGCAGTCCAGCTATCGCTTCAGGACCAGTCTTCAGACCCGCTTCTAGCCTAGAAAGTACTTATCTGTACTTATTATTTAAGGAAACCGAAATGTAAGTCCTTGGCACATTCTGTTTACATTGATTCCCAAGCAAACTCAGCACTAAGATGCTCAAAATGGATACCAAAAAAGTTCTCGCTGACTATCATCATCATCGTTATTATCTTCCTGCGTGGGTGCTGTGTTGATGTGACAATTTCGTTTATATCCAAGCTTAGTCGTCCTCGTCGTCATCTTCATCGTCATCATAATCTTCGTCATCTTCATAGTCATCGTCGTCAGAAAACACTTTTGAAGGTTTTTTAGGAGAGTTCTTCTCAACAGCATCAAGATCACTCATATCTTTCTTCAACTTATCCAAGTTAAGTAAGTCTTTTGGGGACAAAATAAATTCCTGCAACTGATTCAAATCTTCAATACCCATAGAGCTTTCGTTATACTTCAGCTCATAAACACACTTATATAAACTTAATAGGAAACTATCAATGTCACTATATTTGATTTCTTCATCAATAACAAACTCAAATCTATCACCAAAATCCCCATTCAAATCGTTCCAACTGATAGCCTTAGTACCATCTTCATTGGTAAAACTGTATATCTGTAGGTCTTCCGATATAGTGAAGCTCCATTCATCATTATGACCATTTGCGATACGATTAGCAGAGTCACCATTACCTCTTCCTAGATCAGAGTCCGATTCCTCCTCATCCGAATCATATTCTGATCCATTGGCATCTAGCTCTCCTTCCTGATACATACGACTCACCATCAACGTATAATAGTAAGGAGTATTGGTTTGACGAATAGTAGCGCAGGCATCACTATATAAACATTCCCTGGCCCCTTTAGGAGAGTTCGGAGACCGGGTTAAATAAAGCCGGCCCGAAGGAAGCGTCGACAATTCGTCAGACTTCTCAGAAGCAAAAAATGCTTTCTTAAGAAAATTCATATGTAACAACGGTTAAAATGTGAGGAGAATGTGTGGCGTATCATTGGACTTTGTTGGTGTTGGTTGAGTTTAAGGTTGACAGGTTTCGATGTTGATGTCGAAGCTGTAACGGGACACGACCTTAGAGGGCGTTGAAACCACCCCTTAAGATATTCAACATAAATATGGTATCATAAGGGATATATATGCGTACTTACATATTTGAGCTAGATAAAAGGAAGTGTACAGTTATTTAGAATATCATTAAAGTAGAGCATCTGGTCTTCATGCGTGGTAGGATGCCACACAGAGATATGCAGTGGAATCGTCTTCCTCGTATTTGCCGTCTAAAAAAACTTAGTATAACACAGTCAATTCTATGTCATCTAACCATAACCCCTATTTCTTTCTACTCAAACTTTTCTTATACCATTGTAAGTATAAAACAGCCTTATATTAAAAGAAGCTTGGGACCTAGTAGACTTATTCATTCCTGTATATTACAACTCTCCACAGATGAATTTCCATATATAAAATTTCGAGATGCTCATCACCCTTTTGTCTTTTGAATTAATCACACAGCAGAACGTATCCCATGCTACAACGAATAGGACAAGTCGTGCAGGCACGATTCAAGTCCACGAAGAGTTGGAAACCGCTTTCAGCGGAAGAATATAAAAAGTTATTGGCAGAATCAGACGATACCCGAGAACAAAGATTACCCCAATGGCAGAAACGGGATATTGCCCATAAGCACAGATATGGTGAATGGAAGCCTACAAAGAAGCTCAGTCGACAGCAGATGGCCGATATTAGAAGTTTAAAAGAGGATCATCCTCTGTTAAAGACCGTGCAACTTGCTAACCATTATAATGTTAGTCCTGAAGCAGTTCGCAGAATTCTTCGAAGTAAATGGGTTCCAAATGATGCTGAAGAGACCAAGATTGCAGAGCGAGCAACAAAAAGAAAGTTGGGAGCAGTTGAACTGAGACAGAAACTGGTGGAACATATAGAAGATGAGATTCAGAAACTACATCGAAACAAGAGTGTTGATGTTGATTCTGTGCGAATAGCTTCTCAACACGATAGTAGAAGAACCAGAAAAAACAACTCGTTCAATAGAAATCGTGATCGTGATTTACTGCCACATCCACAACAACATAGGAACCGTCGTAGACCCCCTTCAGTTGTTCACAACCTTGAGGACCTTATAGATTAGCTTGTACATAAAATATGAAGAAATAAGATCAATCTCAGTGCATAACTAGATGAATTAGGGAATCACTCCTTAGTATTAACACTACTGGGACGTGTTATTACAACTATCATACCTAGAACCACCCAATGTAGGCAACCATAAGGAATAACAAGACTTAATTATACCAGACTTTAATTACTACATTAGGAGAAACAAGTCCCATCCGCGAACCTCGGCCCTGGGAACAAAATAAACTTCCCCAGACTTTAAATGGACAGAACTATCCACTCAATTCTTCCTCTCCAATACATCAGTTATAAATATAATGGTCTCCGTGGTGACTATACCTGAAACAGCATACAACGCTAGTAGTTATGTTGATGTTAGACGTCGCTCGCGGTTGCTATCGTATTTTATCAAGTTAAGTAATAGAGCAGCTTTAACAGCCATAGGAGCATATTTAGTAGGTTGGTTTGTTATAAAGAGACTTTTGGAGACAAAGAATGAAAGAACATTAGGCTTAACAACACATCTACGTGCAGCATTGAGAGATGGCTATTTAAAGATGATTGGCTATGTGGAACATATTCCAATAGTTACGATGAACAAAAATGGAAGCCTATGTGCTGATGCCGTGATCCAAACAGACGATAGCTATCTTGATCGTAAGCACCAGGTTGCTAAAGAACAACGTCATGAATCTACCAAATCCCTTGTGGCACTAAAGAATAAGTTGACCATGTTATCTGATACTTTGGACAAACAATGTCAGAGTTACCTGGTATCTGAGATGCCTCTGTATGTCATTGCTGATATAGCAGTTAAGAATCTTCGAAAGAAAGCTGATTCTACTTATTTTGCTTACGATACAGTGTTCACGAAACCTGCGCCGGATGTTTCTGCAGTTTCTAATGAACCCAAACGGCCGATCAATCTTGTGAGTGAAACAAAGCTTAGTATCAGATCCATAAAGGGTATGTACATGTCAGGAATGGCATAAGGTATACTGAAGCTGTTATTAGTAATTATTTTAATAGTAGTATTATTCGTTGGTTTTCAGTGTAGTAATTATCGTTCGGTATCGGTTCCCTGTTTTGTGTCATGACCGACCAAAGCCACAGAAACAAAAGAGTTGAGTCAAATCAACACTTTCACTTTCATCCGATACTCACTGCAATTGGCAAGTAACTGCGACCGAAATGGCTAAAGCACGCTCGGTACATGATAGCGAGATAGAAGATGTTGAGTCTATGGACCAAGTGGACGATGAAGACGAAGTAGAAGAGGAAGGAGACGATGACGAACTTGATGACGATGAAGTGCAAGATGAAGAAGAAGAGGAAGACGAAGAAGAAGAAGAAGAAGAAGATGATGATGATGAAGATGATGAAGATGATGAAGAAGATGATGATGAACACGATGCAGATGAGACTACAGCTGTTGATAATGGTGTGACTGGAGGAGAAGAGGAAGATGACAACGATGAAGACGATGAAGACGATGAAGATGAAGGTGATGATGCTGAGGAAGAGGACGAAGACGAGGAAGAGATTCCAAGTATTAGTGATGATGAAACTGGTTATAAGATTGAAGATCCAGATGATATTGATGATGACCTTGAAATGCCTGAGGATGATGAAGAAGATGAAGAAGATGCAGCTACCCCCGCTCCTACCTCGAGAACTAACAAAGTACCTGTTTCCGAACCTACAGTACCTCCAGGAGGACGGCTGTTTAGAAGAAGACAACAGTTGTCATACTATGAAGATGACGACAAGCTTGATGAAGATGAGGAAGACGATGAAGATGAACAGGAAGACGAAGTGGATAACGCTACTCCTAAAACAGGGGTCACCAAATCAAACAATAATAATAAGAGTAGAGTCAAGAAAAAGGTTCCTAAAGTTGATAAGTTAGACTTGCTTGAAAATGATTTACTTTTAAGTGACGAAGAGCCCGAATACGATCCCGACAACCATCAAGATCTTTCACGTATGACCCAGAGACAACGGGCAATATACATGGAGGAAGACATTGAAGATACAAATGAAGAAGAGAGCGTAGACTACGATGATATTGACACTGAAACCGGGACAGGCACACCACCAGTCAAGAAGAAACGGTTTATGGAACTTGGAGATAACTACGGTCGCCATGCAAAGCAAAAAAGAACAGAAACAGAAGAACAAGCTGCTCATCGTAAAGCGGAAAATGCTAGAAGAAGGCATAACTACAAGCTCAAGCAACTTGAAGAAGAGAAACAAGATACATTGAACAAATTGCTTAAACGAAGAGCTGCCAAAACAAGAGAAATTCAACCCAAAGAAGGAAGTGTCGATCCAAGACTGGGATCTCAATCCCTGTTAGGAATTCTGTCATTGCTGCCTATACGACCTCAATTGAGCCATCCAGGGTTGATGAGATATGTGAACAATGTCTCTACATTAAAGGGGAATTCAGTGTTAGCATATAACCGAGAAGAGAATGGATCTTAGTACACTGGTATAGAAATATGATGATGAACATGGCTTCTGGAAATTATAAACGTGAAGTGAACCTACTTCTAAATGTAAATACTAGTTACCTTAGATCAGTCTGATATTTACTGCGTACCAGACTGATATTTACTACGAAAGTTTAAAAAGTCCCGTTTCGATTAGTCTACCTATAGCATAGGACCAAGGAAATACATCATACTGAGTTTCAACTCCAGTTTAAAATGTATGCGATTACATGTCAAATATGTCATAATAGGGGCTGAATATGCCGCTTATACTTCCCAACATGTATAACATGAAGGAACCAAATGTAAAGGAAATTAACTTGAGCATGTGCGAACTCCACGGCTAAACTTTGAGTACTCACATAGAACGAAGCCTTGTCTTATCTAAACGTACGGTCTATTATACTAATTCTATTCTAGCATTCGTCTCTCAGAGATGGTGGTTGGTTAGTTCTTGAAAGAAAACATTCAAGTACATGCATTGTAGGCTTCGGAAACTTCTTGATCCAAATATATACGCTGTACATATGGAATCAGCCATGGTATTGTACATGCTGAGTTTCTTATTTTGGAAGCAAGTATTGTGTAGTCGGTGTTGTGGGCACAATCTGGTCTATTGCATCTACGTTGTTCTCTTACATAAATGTTGAACAAACGTCACAATATACAAACGAATAATATACTGAACCAATCTACATGAGCGACATATTAGTGGAATTATATTTGGCATATCTTTACCGTTGTATACAATAAGAAATTGAACTGTACAAAGCTTTATTTGTTGGATTTGTTACTCCAATACACAATAGATGTAGCCTGTCTGTACAATACCTGTTAGAAGGTACAATATGTTACACTAACTATGATTTCAATGCAATTTGTGACCATTGTACTGTTAATGGGCCTTTTGCACCAGCTCGCACTACAATCAGTTGCAACGTATATACATTTATACACACTTATATACATACACATAGAAGATACAACACGTAACCTACAACATACAAGTCATGTATAACATATAAGAACATACTAATCACATCTACTGCCTTTGCTCATGCCCCAATAGCAGTGTAAAACACCCTCCCTATCCTGTGGTCCATCTCAAATTACTGTAGGCCTGTACATGGACCATCTGAAAAATATGGTGTCGGTTTTCATCACCAAAGGATAAAAACACTGTACCTTCTCCTTGGATGGTCCATCGTTAAACGTTACCGTATTCATTCCAAAGGTCGTGGACGTGTGCTCAAGAGCTAATCGAAAGGAGTCTAAAGTTTACTATTCTGTGTCTTAATCAAAGGTTTCAGTAATTGTCAGTAGTTTACCTGGTCGCTTGCTGAAACAACTCCCCAATCGACTTCTTCAAGCTCCTCACTCCTAAGAAAGCACTAACATCATCTGCCGGCCAAAAACGCTAGTGTGACACACAGTTATTAAATCGTTCTGACGGTTTCCCTATTTCCATTCTTTTGACTCTGGACGAGTGACGGCAAAGGCTAAGTACCTTTTGACTCGCACCCTCGGTCTTAATATCGTTGAAATGAACTCAGGGAACGGGAATAACCACAGCAACAACAATAACAATAATATGAATGTGCGTGGTGTGAACATGTCGATGGGCCCTGCTAATGGAATGTCACCGTACATGCCCAATGTCAATCAACAACAACAACAACAGCAGCAGCAGCAGCAACATCAGCAACCACAGCAACAGCGACTGCAGCAGGGTCTGCAAAAGCAGCTCATGAACATGTTTCAACAACAGCAGCACCAACAGCAACAACAAGTTATTCAGCAACAACATCAACATCAACAAAAACAGCAACAAATGGGTTACATGCAATCACAACAGCTGCCCCCAGCAATGCAACAAAACCATCGTCTTTCCAATCCGAATTTGATGTCTCAGGGCGCTATGAGTGCTGGCTCGCCTATGACCATGAACGGGATGCCTCCACAGCCTCCACAACAACAGCAGCAGATACCGGGAGGGAACCAACTGTTTGTACTACACCAGCAACAACAACAGCCTATGTACGATGCTCAAAGAAGACAAATAGCAATACAGCAGCAAAGACAAATGAGTATAGGACTGCAACAACAGCAACCGCAGCAACAGCAAATGCCATCAGGAAATCAAAGGTCACCATTGATGCAAGAATCTTCTCAACGGCAACAGGGCCAGCTACAACTGCTGCTGCTGCAACAACAACAACAACAACAACAACAACAAAAACAGCATCCAGGTGGCGGACGACCAGGAATACAAAGAACCTCAAGCCAAGGCATAGGTGCCAATGGAATGCCTATGGGAATGCAGAAGATCAATGCCTTTGGACATACCAACATCCCTGCTCCAAACTCTGCTCCCCTTCCGAATAGTAACAATGCACAGCCAGGCACTTTTCCCCAGCAGCAGCAGCAACTTAATTCAAATCCCAACTTAAATCCTAATATGAAGATGAGCCAAGGACCTCCAGGGATGATGCAGCGACCCGTTTCCCAAAACCAGACTCGAATGGGTCCTCCTCAATCTGGCACCAGTGCCACTCCTCCTACGGTGTCTCAGGCCTTGCCCATGAATATGCCGGGTATGATACAACAAAATGGGGTTGTGAACAATAATAACAACAACAACAATAATAGCAATAATATGCAAATGGGTACTCCTCAGATCGTGAATAAGCAAGCCACGTCGATGCCATCTCAACAACTGCAACAAATGAATCAAATGATGAAGCCAATGAATCAACAAGGACAACAGCAGGCCCAACCTCAACCACAACCAGGAATGAACCCAAGACAGTCACCCGCTTTATTAAGAAGGCCGTTGCCTCTGCAGAATCCACAGATCCAGCAGGGCCAGCAGCAAACCCCACAACAACAACAGCAGCAACAAAATTACCCACAGTTGCAACGAACAGGAACTTCTTCTAGCAGTGCTTCCATCAATATCACTGAAAAGGAAAAGAACTTTATGATTGTTAAACGGAACATTGGGAACTATGCTGTATTACGAATTTTGGACTTGATAGAATTGATAAGCAATGAGTCTATTGAAAACTTATCGAGTCTTACATATTGGGAGCGAGTGATTCAAATCTACTGTCTTCCAGTTTCAACATTCAAATTGACTACGGCACCTACGAAATATTCTTCTAGTCAAGGTGCTCCAATGAGCAACAGTAACAGTAATAGTCCCATAAGTTCCCTAACCAATAAGACCGGATCTTCTAAGCTGTATGATTTACCAGCTTCAGCACTTCCCAAGTTTTTTCTTTCATGCATATCTGCTGAAACAGTTGCTAAATTCAGCTTGAGTTTACCTGGGGTAAAACACCTGGTTTTAAATAATGGTTCAATTTTCATATTTTCAAGCTTATCAATGACATTCTTTTATAAGGATGGATCATTGGCTAATGTTTCTGGCTCATGCAGAATATTATTGAGTCGACATTTCAAGATTGAATGGATTGAATTGAATTGTACCGATTATCATGGATCGATGAGTTTTGATGTGTTGGAAAGCATTCCAAGTTCTCGTAGTTTCCATGAGGCTTATAAGATGCTGGAAGCATACAAATATGCAGTAAATTGTGGACTTTCCGATCAAGCTATGCGGATTCTTCAAATAGGTGATGTGATGTCATCCATGAGTTCATTGATGGGGTTCTCTGTGGTGAATAATGTTAGTTCTCCAATCAAAGCACTCGAACTTTTTATGGAGAATAATAACAGCAGCAGCAACAACAACAGCAACAACAACGGTCCTACGTCTCAGTCCAATCTAATGGGCAATTCACAAATGATAAAGGCTCATTCGCATAATGGAAGTAACAACAATACTCCCTCAATGAGTCATGGTATTGCCAATGGTAAGATGCCTTCCAAACAACAATTAGGAGAAGACTCAGTGTTAGATGCAATGGGAGTTTCACCGAAGACTGTGTCTAGCGAAGATCCCACCAAGAAACGACAAATGAGTTCGTCTTTGAGTAGCGGGCTCTATGGAGGAGATAAGAACGATAAAAAAAGGAAAACATAAATCCTCTAAAGCCCGCGGAAACATCATCATTGATTCATTCATTTTGTTAATAGAATTTGTATTTATAAGAGCATGTACAGTATTATTTTCCGTTGTATTGTAGGGTGATATAGCTGGTATAGATGTATAGATGACCGTTTCGCAAAACCAATTTTGTGCGAATCCAAATCAAATATTTCATGTCACTTTCTTTATCGATTTTAGGTTGTTACTGTAGAGATACACTTTATGTGATTGGTAGAGGGACTGATAGGCTAGTGATAGGCTATATTATATTGAAAGCATTGATTGGCTATTTTATGGTATGAAGCAAGTTCTTCTGCAACCATTGGCAGAATTGATACGACCAAATACGATAGATCAATATATCGGACAGAAACATCTCTTTGGATCAGAACACAATGGTAGAATCACCAGTTTCATCAGATTAGGGTATCTACCATCATTAATTTTCTATGGACCTCCAGGAGTTGGTAAAACAACTATTGCCAAAGTGGTTGCTAAAGAGGCCAAATATGTGTTTCTAGAGCTTTCAGCAACCAATACTACTGTGAGTGAGTTGAGAGAGTTACGAATGATCATAACCAATGAAAATAAAAAGAGACAACAACTGAATAATAATAAACCATTGCTAAAAGTTGTTGTGTTTGTTGATGAGATACATCGATTTTCCAAGTCACAACAAGACCTGTTGTTACCGTACATTGAAGCTGGAGATTTTACTTTTATAGGAGCAACCACCAATATTACCCGTCTAGCTCCCGCAATCTTATCACGATGTCAATGTATTGAATTGGACTTATTTAGTGTATCTGATTTACACCAGATCATCAATCGAGCAATGGTGTTTGAGAATGTCCGCCGTCGAATGGCCAACAAGCCAGGGGTATTGCAATTGACCAATGAGAGTGTTGAAGCTATAGCCAGCCATTGTGATGGTGATGCTAGGAAATGTATCAATTTGATTGAGTTATTGAGTAGTTTGTACAGTGGCGACACTTTGGATCCTAACACTGAAATCCAAGTGGTTAATATTGGCGATCTTACGAAGTTAACCAAAGGTATTGCTCAAGCTGAAGTGGATAAAGGTGATGATGATGATATTAGTCAATTTTATGAGAATCTTGGTGATTGTCTTTGTAAGAGACCTCCAAGGCATAAACTACAGGGAATAGCAGATACCCCCAATGATGACCATGTTGATGTTGAACCACTGGAATTGCTCTTTGAGATCAAACTATTAGACGACAGAACCGGTTCATATGTTTCTATGGGAGAGAGTACTATATATGATGAATTCAAGCACAAGACTATTGCAGCCAATGACGAGCAGGACTTTAGTTTGCAGATGCAGGTTTCTGACGACAGTGACTTAGAATTGGAGGCTGAGATCAATGACGCTGTTGATCTTCAACTGTTGGATCAACTCTACAAGAGGGACGATTATTTCTTGATAATGAGCAATTTTTATATTCAGAAGTTGATTCAGAGAAAGGAACCAATCTCTTCCATTATCAAATATCTCATGGTGTTCAATGCAAAGTACGTTAATGTTGAAGACTCCAAGTTGATGAATTTGGTCTCGACGGTACAACTCTTACATCACGCGGATGTAGACCTGGGCTCGCTCTTGGCCAATGTGGTTGAAATGCTCCTTAAAGCACCCAAGTCAAATATGGACGATCCAATAGTGTTAATGCCGGGGTTAATCGAGTACTGGAAGGCTCAAACAGTTGGAAGTAAAAATCAACAACTGAATGATCATTTTACCATTGTGAGCTCACCTGATTGGACGGTCGCCCTTGAGCAGAACATTAAGGAACTAGAACTGATATTGAAGAAGAGGGAAGATGAGAATAGTCTTAGTTTTGAGATCAAAGCTGTGACAGAAGAAGAAGAGGAAAATATGTATATATGACGACATTATTGATTCAGCATTATCGGTATGGGCACGACGTCCTTCGCCCGTATTATTTTTTCGCAGCCAAAACATGGCGTTTAATTCTAAGTCACTTTACGTTCTTCTTCGTCTTCTTCGTCTTCCTTATGTTGAATCAACCTGACTTAAAGCAATCTGATAACAACGAAACACCTGGGGTCGAGATACCTCGGTTCAGATTTGTTTCCAACACCATAGAACTCCTAAACAAGTTATTTGAAACCACTTGGAAGTACTTAACTCATTCAGTGGCTCTAAGTCTCTTCTACTTGATCGAAGTTGTCTTTCTATGGAGAGACTACCTTGGTATAGTTGAAAGGGTATGCAATACATTGTGTATGGTGATGTTGGAGTTGATGATAAGTGTATTATTTTTTATATTGAATGTGATCTATTCCGGAGAACCGGAATTGATAGAGTATCACGTGATTCGCCGGAAATTATGGAACCGTGAGACCATCACTCTAAGCGATATGGTGAACCCACGGGTACAACCAATAGAACTAATTGGGGTACCACCAATGGCCATACAACCAACGGCGGTTCCATCAGAAGATAACGAAACGGTTCACTCGCTACCTCCACCATTAGTTCCATCTAAATCTCAGAGTACTGTTGATGAACTTCCTCAGACGGTACTCGGATCAACGGATGTAGAATCTATTCAGTCTCATACCTCGAAGCGATTTAAACTGTTCTTTAAAGGAACTTACGTCTAATTAAAAACAAATGTAATATAATATGATATAATAAAGATGTGCAAAAGAAAGGAATGAAAAAAATTATCAAAAAATAATTAAACGTTAACGTTAACTTTATGCATCATTGGCTGGAGCAACTTCTTCTTCAGAGTCAGATTCATCATGATGATCTCCTAAAGCAGCAAACATATTTGATGCCACGGAATCAGTTCTCTTGGAAGCTTCTCTTTGTAAATCAACAGCAGGCGAACCACGAGAAGATTGTGATTTGGAAGTGGGGACAGTTATAAAGTCTCCACTTCCCTTCAATGGAACTTTTGAATCACTACGTTTCATACTGTTGTTGTTATAGTTGTTATTGTTGTTGTTGCTATTGTTGTTTCCAGATCCCCAAGATGATCCACCTCTTGAAGAGTTACCTCTGGGGTCATTATGCCTCTTTCTTCTTCTTTCCATCGATACCTTTTCATCTTCTAGTTTCTTCCGTTCAGCTTCGTCATGAATCTCTTGAATGGTCTTGGGTCCTGCATCATCCTTCTTGGATATCCATCTAGCTGATCTTAAATCTTGTAAATCCATCAACATAAATTTGATTCTTGAGGACAATTTAACATTCTCCAAAATCAATTTAATATTGTTGAATACAATCTCCAAGATTTGGGAGTTTATACCATCTAATCTCTTACCAACAGTTTGTAATAATTGTGCCAAATTTTCTAATGTATCTTCCAGCGGATCTAAAATATTGGATGATTGATCTTTCAAACATCCAACAATCACTCGATCATTCAACATCCCTAAAATGAATAAGTGACCAATGAATTTAACCAAACCAAGACCTCTTCTTTTGGCAGTGGCCATTTGATAATATTCTTCAGACATCATCTCCGGTTCTAATGGTGAACCATCAGCATTAGTAGGTAACTTATCAACCCAGCCCTTTTCATATTCAGTTTGACAAGTTGCAAGTAATATTCTTCTAGTTAAATCACCACCTTTAGCGGGTTCACCAGTTTGTTTAACAATATTAGTAGTATCTTTGATTTCATCTGGTGTTTCTTTAACCATGCGTGCACACAATTGTGCATACATTGATGACCAATAAGGTTCATCACAGGCTTTAGCAAAGGTTAATTGAATAACCAATTTCAAAGTCTTAGCATCTTCTTCCCATTTAGATTGTTCAGTGATCTTCAAAATATCAGAAGAAATAGGTTCAAACATTTCCAACGTTAACTTATTCAATAAAGATTTCACCTTACGTTCAATATCCTCAGGTTCAAGAATCTCAGATCCATCTGGATGAGTCTTTGTTTCTTCCTTCTTGGCTCTAGAACGGGGGACCCATCTATTGGCCAGCTTTTCCAATGGTTTGACTTCTTCCACTGGTTTAGCTTCTTCTTCATCTCCTCTAGATTCTCTATCTCTTCTTCTACTGTGGTTTCCACCTCTACGAGATTTGTCTCTTGACAGTCCATTGCCAGGTCCTCTCTTCTTAGATCCACTACGAGAGTTTTGTCTGCTTTCATTAAATTGACCTCCACGTCCTAACGAATTGAATCTACCTCCACCAAGATTACCTCCTTTATTCATAGGTCTACCACCACCAGTAGAAGGTCCAGCTTTCTTAATACCCAACAGGTCTAACTTGGCCTTCCATTCGGCATCAACGTCATAAGTTACAACACCCTTAAATTGCATTAAAAATTGAGGATCATAACGGTACTTCTTGGAAGCCAATTGACGATTCTTATCAACGGCTTGGAACCCTTCAGGGTATGACATAGAAACGGGGTCTTCAATAAATTGGGCTATGTTTTGAACTCTATTGAGAAAGTCTGTGGTATTGAATGATGAAGTAGACTCTTCAGTTTCACCTTCAGCAGTACCACGGGTTTCAGATTCAACTTCATCTACTGATTCAGCCACTTGTGGTTGCTCCTCAGATATTTGCACTCTCTTAACAACATCAGGGGTCTCTTCAGACTTCTCTTCAGTAGTAGTAGTAGGAGTATTAGTAGTCTCTTCAGAAGCAATAATCTCAGATGCGGGGGTTTCTTGGACAACAGCAGTTGTGTCTTCCTTGGATTCTTCAGTTGATTCTTCCTTCGATTCTTCAATTGAAATCTCCTTTGTTTCTTCAACTGGAACTTGTTTGGACTCTTGTTCTGGTTCTTCCTTTGGTTCTTCCTTTGGTTCTTCCTTTGGTTCTTCCTTTGGTTCTTCCTTTGGTTCTTCCTTTGGTTCTTCCTTTGGCTCTTGCTTAGTTTCTTCCTTTGGTTCTTCCTTTGGTTCTACCTTTGGTTCTTCCTTGGGTTCTTCCTTTGGTTGTTCCTTTGGTTCTTCCTTTGGTTGTTCCTTTGGTTCTTCCTTTGGTTGTTCCTTTGGTTCTTCCTTTGGTTGTTCCTTTGGCTCATCCTTTTCTACTTTAGGTTGTTCAGATGCGACTTTTGGTTTTGAATCAGCAGCCTTCTGCTCCGCGGCCTTCTTTTCTGCAGCTTTGGCCATAACCATTCTCTTGAATTGTTCTGCAACACTATTAAGTTCAGCAGTCTTAGCTGGAGCAGTTTTAGCTGGAGTGGCAGCTGCCGGCTCAGCCAAAGGAGTAGAAACTGGAACCGAAGTTGAATCTACCACTGGAGTAGGGACAAACAGTGGTTTTGAAGGAATAGGAGAATTTTGAGGAGTAGATGATGACGAAAGCTTTTTCTTTTCATCAAAATCTATAGATTTACCTTCCTTATCTGTGATTTTGATCTTACTTCCAGTGTTGGTAGTAGCATTGGCCAACATGGGTGAGTTGCCAGCAGCAGTTGAACCTGAAGGAGCCTGAGAAATATTGTTAGGACTTGTCACAGGAGCTTGTTGTTGCTGGGCAGCCAAAGCTGCAGCCATAACTGGATATTGTGGCTGACCAGAGGGGTACATTGGTACTCCATAATAATAATATGGTAAATTGGTAGGATAAACAGGATATTGGTTATAGACATTGCCTCCATTGTACTGTTGGTTGTTTTGTTGCTGATGATGGTGATGCTTTGATTGGTAATTCTTTCTATTATTGAAATGAGGTCTATTTTGATTCTGGTTAGGACCAGAACCAGAACCAGAAGCATTGTTGGTTGGAGCATTAGCATTGTTACCACCATTAGAATTACCGGAAGTTGACGAGTTTAGGGAGGTATTTCCAGTATTTTGGTTAGACCCTCCATTATAACCACCACCTTGTCTATTAGAAGTGTAATGCTTTCCCTTATTAGTATATGGGTTGGTATTAGAGGCACCACCGTTGGTGTTATTTCCAGAGCTACTGTTCTTATTATAGTAGTGACCAGATCCTCCACTATATGAGCCATAGTTGTTGCCGTATTGAGTAGTTTGGTTGTGATGCTGAGGATATCCTTGTTTACTGGAAGGAGTACCAGCACTGGCAGCACTAGCACTACTGGTGGTAGAAGTACCAGCAGCACTAGCACCAGTAATATCGGGTACAGAACCCTCTTCCTTTGAGGAATCAGCCATGATATCCAATTAGCGTGAAGCGACGGAACCTGTTCTTAATAAAGAGTTTCGGTAGAAGCCAAATCAATGGATCGCCTCTCTTTTTTTGACGTGGGGGAAAGGAACTAGTAAAAAAGATTAGTATTATCTACTACTTTTTTTTTCCACACCACCGGTTGAAAGGAAGCTTTTTTATATCGCGTCTTCTTCGTTTAGACGTCGATATCTATTGCTATAAAATGCTAAATGCTAACGGCAATAGTACTTTTAAATAGCATAAAAGGTATTTCCACCATCTGCTTTTCCCTCTTTAAAATCCCTTAGTACTAATTTTTTCTAAGTGCCGTCTGGTAGCGCGGCTGGATAATGATGCGAAAATTTTTCACTAACTAATTGGAAAATAGAAAGGTATGGTGTGCGTACTGTACTGTAGATTACGCTGAGTTTGGGTATTTTCACAGTATAATTGGGTATGGGTATAGACTATAACTTATGGCAGTAAGGTAACAGTATGTATGACGTAATAACGAGTATACCTACTGTTTTGCATTAAGATACTAATCTACTGTCGTACTATTATATTACACCACTAGATACTGCAGTGACAACTGTTACTACTGCTACAGCTTTCACACTGGTACTGTATTGCTCTTGCACAACTTTTGTGTTGCTATTACATTCTAATATACCGCTTTATACTGTTTCTAGACTATAGTAGTACCACTAAAAGGTCAATTTCTCTATATGCCTCAATTATGTTTGCTTTGCTCTAAGCAATGTAATACATGATAGCCCTCTGCATGCTATATTATATCGTCTTGCTTTAATTCCGTAATGTATGGTCAAACCTTTTGATCCCATGCCACTGTGGTCAATTGGTGTTGAAGTCGCTCAGGTCAAGTTGATGTTTACGACCGGCATTGTTGTTGATTGTTGTTCAAAAGTCGCCTTATCTCTCTCTACGACGATAGGAAATAAATAGAGCATACATCAAAAGTAATCCTGTGATTCCAACAAACAGATACACAACAAGTGAATCTTTGAGCAGCTCTACCTGGTAGCATGATATCACAATGTTAAGTTCCGTACAATTCCCAGAAACATCGTTACTTAGACAGTATTCCTTGGTACATTCATTGCACAGACTCAATGGCGCAACAAATGATACAGGATCATATTGCGCTGGCAGACAGTAGCATTTGCAGAAGTGCTGATAAGCAAAAGCTGGCACCACGAGTGATAGAAGAACGATAAGAATCATATGCGTAGATGACTGTCAAGATTATGGTACTAACCTTGAAGAAACAGATGAACACCAATTATAGTTGTGGTGTGCACACTAATACAAAACTAATTGAGATACCTTACATATGTTATCATATAACAATTATCATGTACCTGGTAGTTGTTACATGATACCGTACATTTACATAGTACTTATTTGAGTAGATTAGAACCTGGCCTCATGAATAGATCATCACCATAACACTCATTATGCGTGTGCCGGTGCTTAACCAGTTATATGAGGTCTTGTGTCGGGAGTTAACGCTACCGGATAATTGTTAAGGATATCACCAAAAATAGTTTAAGTTTGACCTCTACTATATACTTGCTCTTGATTTCTTTCCTATACTGTTATACCCATGCTAGTAAGCATAACAGTGGAATTAGGATCACCATACTAGGCGTAGTTAACTAGTACATATATGAGCCTCGCACGACTTTCTCGACTCGATTCAACTTAAGTTTGAAGGCAAACTTTAAACATACCACTACTACTGCTACCGTAATACAACGTACTTGAACCAAAGATGCCTATCGCCGTCCCAACCCAGGCATATGTCCACGAAGGTGGATTTAAGCCGTATTTTGAACAACAGATCCAAGATACAGAAATCAAGATTCAACTGTCGACACTCAACTTGCGTCGTTTGGAAGCTCAAAGAAACAAATTGAATACCAAAGTCAGACAATTAAAGGAAGAGTTACGGTTGTTACAAGAGCCAGGGTCATTTGTAGGTGAAGTGGTTAAAGTTATGGGGACCACAAAGGTATTGGTTAAAGTTCATCCTGAAGGGAAATATATTGTTAATGTTACTAAGGATATTGACATTAAGAAGTTAACCCCAACACTTAGAGTATGCTTGAAATCAGATAGTTATGATTTGCACAAAATTTTACCCAATAAGGTTGATCCATTGGTATCATTGATGATGGTTGAAAAGGTTCCTGATAGTACTTATGATATGGTTGGAGGTTTAGATAAGCAAATTAAAGAAATCAAAGAAGTGATTGAATTACCTGTGAAACATCCGGAGTTATTTGAATCTTTGGGCATAGCTCAGCCTAAGGGAGTTATTCTTTATGGTCCTCCTGGTACGGGAAAAACCTTGGTTGCTCGTTCTGTTGCTCATCATACTGATTGTAAGTTTATTAGAGTAAGTGGGTCTGAATTGGTCCAAAAGTATATTGGTGAAGGTTCTCGTATGGTTAGGGAATTGTTTGTTATGGCTAGAGAACATGCACCTTCAATTATTTTTATGGATGAAATTGATTCTATTGGATCTTCACGTGTTGATGGATCATCAGGTGGAGATTCAGAAGTACAAAGAACAATGTTGGAATTATTAAATCAATTAGATGGCTTTGAAAGTTCTAAAGATATTAAAATTATCATGGCAACTAATAGATTGGATATTTTAGATCCAGCCCTTTTAAGACCAGGTAGAATTGATAGGAAAATTGAATTCCCGGCACCAACAGTAACCGCCAGAACTGATATTTTAAGAATCCATTCTCGTTCCATGAATTTAACAAGAGGTATTAATTTACGTAAAATTGCTGAAAAGATGAATGGTTGTTCAGGTGCTGATGTTAAAGGTGTCTGTACTGAAGCAGGTATGTTTGCATTACGTGAGCGCAGAATTCATGTTACTCAGGAAGATTTCGAACTAGCAGTTGCTAAGGTGATGTCTAAAGGTGATGAAGGTGCGGTTTCATTGGCCAAATTGTTTAAGTAGAGTTAATATTAGTAATGATAATTCATATTCATCATATGCTTTGTATGTTGGTAATTGCACGATCGTGATCTGGAAATGATATATGCAGTTTGCCAGCAGATCAATATAATGTATTTTTCACCTCTTTGTTAATAACTGACATACATTGCTCGTGTTAGGAGTGTTTTCTAACGTATAATGAAATTATCCGGGTATCTAGTGGTCCTAGCCGCCGCAGGACATGTTCTAGCAACACTGGTAGAAGAACTTGTTAACCAAGCCAACAGAGCCTTTGATAGTGAAGGTATATCATTTAACACTCTTAATGTCTATGACTCCATTACCCGGCAATTGGAGGGGATGGGAGAAGTAGATCAATTGGTATCGATATTATTCAAGAAATCTCTTATAGAGGTTAACCTCGGCAAGCATTTGCAAGCCATTGAAGACTTGGAAAGGTGTTTACAATTGGACCCTCATATGGCCTCAGCCAAGAGCTCATTGGCCAAACTTTATATTGACCAAGGACGGTTTGACGATGCTTTGGGCGTCAATGACCCTTCAACTACAACCACTGTATCTCAGGTATTACGGGCTACTGACGAGAGTCGTTCCCTATTGGCTGACCACAAATATGGTGAGTGTTTAGCAGTGTTGAACGATCAAGTCCTTCCATTCACGACTTCCAATAGTGAAATTTGGGAACTACATTATCATTGTTCATTGGGGAACTTTGACTCTGAAAGTTATGTTAGTGACATCATTCAAGATGTTAAGGAGATCATCAAGTCTTCTGGGTCCATCCCCTCCTTGAAATGGTATCCAGTGTTGTCCAATTATTTATTATATGGTAATGTTCAATACAATGTGGCTATGAAATATATTAAGTCGTGTATGAGAATTGACTTTGAATATGCTGCCTGTGGGAAGCTTTCCAAGTTGTATTCCCGTTTAAGTTTGTTGTTGCAACTGTTGGAAGAGTATGGGATATTCCAAGAATATGTCTATGACTTTACTGGTGATCTTCCACTGGATGTCATTCAAGATTACGAATGGAGCAAACTTTACACTTTACTTTTTGAACCCAAACACAAGGTCCGTTTGGCTAGAGGGGTTAGCAACAACTTTGAGTTCTTAATTGGGGAATATGAATCTTTTATAAACTCCCTGAAAACCGATCCAACAAAATATAACTTTAGGAAATACCTTGTACGTTTAGGTTGTGAGGCTGGAATACGACTGGGTAAAATAAAAAGTAGTAATAATATTTGTAAGGAGATTCCTGATGACGATAAGTTTTTCCCTAAATATGCTTTGGAGATTGACAAGTTGATTAAACAGGGCAAATATCAAGAAGCCAAATCTAGAATGGGACATTTCCCTAATAACGTTAAGCATACCAATATTTTCCAGGAAAGATGGACACAAGTTGAACAATTCTTCCAACAGCAAGAACAAAGGAAGTTCCAAGAGCAGCAAAGACAGCAACAACAGCAACAGCAACAGCAACAAGAAAGACAGCAGCAACAGCAACAACATCAAAGAGCAAAGCAAGATGGAAAGGACTATTATAAGATACTTGGGGTTCCAAAAGATGCAGACGATGCAGCAATTAAGAAAGCATACAGAGCGCTTACATTTAAATATCATCCTGATAGATATAAAGGAGGTGATTTAACTCCGGAACAAATTGAAGAGAAGATGCAAGATATTAATATTGCCTATGAAGTGCTTAGTGACAAGCAAGAGAGGGCAGCTTACGATAATGAGGCGTCAGCTGGAGGTGGAGGTGGAGGTGGGCATTTTGGAGGAGGTGGACATAGTGGAGGTGGATTTAACGGGTTTGGACAAGATTTTATGAGACAGTTTATGCAAAATAATGGTGGAGGAGGACCCCAATTTAATTTTGGAGGTTTTGGTGGGTTCGGTGGGTTTGGCGGTCAACAGCAACAGCAACAGCAGAGAAGAGGAGGTAAGAAACAAGCAGGAAATAAGAAAAGACACTGAGTAAAGAACAGAACACAGTCTGCATTTGAATTATGAATATTCTCTCTCGGAATAATGTTTATCCGATATTTTGCGCTTCTGTACGGTTTCGGCCATGTCCGCTACCTTTATCAATATGCTGCATACAGCAATTATCCTACACTGAAGATGAAATGACTAACAAAATTTAAAAGTCGAAGATTACCGAGACTTATTTCCTTCCTTCCTTCCTTCCTTCATTCGTTCCTTTCAACTCAATTGAACAGTTAAAAGGAAGACCGACTACCGAACATCATGAAACTCTCGTTAGCATTATTGGCTACTACTTTAGCGGCCGTCGGAAGTGCAGCACCTCCACCTCAACAATTGGTGTTGGGACTTGTGGAAGAATCTTTAGGACTGAATGTTCCATTTAAGGGTGAACCCGTTGAACTTGACCAGTCCAATCTTCCTAACTTCTGGGACTACTGGAGGAAGCCTTTTATTGACACTGAGCAATTGCAAGCTTTAATCACCGAATCCGGTTTACGTTCACGTGCTGAGACATTGTTTAATATTTCTAAGGGTTCGATTGGTGAATATGGACATCCTACTCGGGTTATTGGATCCCAAGGTCATTGGGGAACTATTCATTATATATTGGATGAAATTAGATCTTTGGGTTACTATTATGATGTTTGGACTCAAAAGTTCAATGCCATCGATGGTCGTGTGAAACTGGTGTCCCTTTTACTTGACGGTGTTAAGCCAAAGTCATTAGAAGCTTTAAGTTTAACTCCTCCAACTCCCAATGAAAGACCAGTTCATGGTAACTTGGTTCTTGTGGATGGGTTCGGATGTCTGCTTGAAGATTTCCCCAAGTCTGTTAAAGATAACATTGTTTTAATTAAGAGGGGTCTTTGTGCATTTAACGATAAGTCTGTCAATGCTGGTCTTCTGGGTGCCGTAGGTGCCATTATCTATGACCCTGCTGGTGGTTTATTACATGGTACTTTGGGTGAACCAACTGGAAAGGAAGTTGCAACGGTATCCATTTCTAAGGAAGATGCCCAACCTTATATTGATTCTTTGTTAAAGGATCCTCTGACTGAGATTGAAACTACTTTGTATGTTGATTCTTATGTCAAGAACGTTACCACTTTGAATGTTATTGCTGAAACTCGTTTCGGAGATCACAATAATGTTGTTTCCTTGGGTGCTCATTCAGATAGTGTTGAAGCAGGTCCAGGTATTAATGATGATGGAAGTGGTACTATTTCCCTTTTGGAAGTTGCCAAATCTTTATCTCATTTTAAGGTTAAGAATGCTGTGAGATTTGCTTGGTGGGCTGCTGAAGAAGAAGGATTGTTAGGGTCTACTTACTACTCTGAACATTTGAGTCCTGTTGAGAACCAGAAGGTTCGGTTATTCATGGACTATGATATGATGGCTTCTCCCAACTATGAATATGAAGTTTATGATGCCAACAACAAAGACCATCCTGCTGGTTCTGAAGACTTGAAACAATTATACATTGACTGGTATGTTGATCATGGATTGAACTATACTTTAATTCCATTTGATGGTCGTTCCGATTATGTTGGTTTCATTGATGCTGGTATTCCTGCTGGTGGTATTGCTACTGGTGCTGAAGTTCTTAAGGGTAAGAAATCTTGGGCTAAATTTGGTGGTACTGTTGGTGATGCCTTTGATCCATGTTACCATCTGTTATGTGATGATTTAGGTAACCCAGACTATGGTGCTTGGGTTATTAATACAAAGTTGATTGCTCATTCTGTTGCTACTTATGCTAAAACGTTTGATGGTTTCCCAGAAAGATCTCCTATTAACGAAACCATCACTGCAACCTCAAACACTCCTTCTGACTCTTTCAAATATAGAGGAAGCAAGTTGATTATTTGATTAAAAAGGACATTTATTAAACTTCAATCGCTATATTTTAAGACATTTATAGTATATAGTATATTTTATAATACGCTAATTAAAGGTATGGCATTACTATCCAAAACTGTTACCCGCCCTTAAGATACTGCCTAATATGGAAAGTCTATCCGTGTGCTAGTATCACCGAGGTTGGAAGCCGTTTGATTGTGTAATTTTTTTATCGGTTCCTGAAAATCCCGCAGCCCCATACTTTTTGCTAGTAATCGGTCAAATATACGCCGACCCACATGGATGTATTTTCGCCCATGTTTGCGGGACACAAAAGCGCAGGGAGCTGGTTTATGGCCGATTCTTATAACGAGAGACGCATTGGGAAATAACACAACCTAATACCAAAGGTCCAATATATATAGTCATAGGGATCCCCTTTGTATACAAGTAAGGGGAACCGTCCTGGATCTGTTATGGCTAATACGATCTTGAATAGAGTACTTCATATGCAGGTTATTTTTAATATCGCAAGGCTGAAGCCGATTTTGCACCTAATTTAAGTCGCACATAAAACTCATATGGGTTAAAGGTAGTTAAATTGGCTACCGCTTGACCGAACACCTACTTTTCCAGGGATCTAGACTTGTCCTTATGGTTTATTTTAGAACCTTGCTCATAGGTCTATTATAGAGCCTTGCCGATCAAGCTAACCAATCGTGATGTTAAATTTGCAGGGCCAATTTAATGTTCCCTATTCACACATACTTAATCTGCCATTCTTAACTGTATAACTCCCCATCCCGTATGTCACATCTGTGGCAAGTGTACGTGACCCCATGTGTGTATGCGTGTAATATCAACGAAGAAATAGCCTAGGTTACTCACTCACGAGCAATAATACCCTAATGAGAGATGAGGCAATGATTTTCACAAGGCATCGGCATTAATTTTATAGCCGACCTATCTGCAGAAGCTGCAAATTCAATGTATATATACCCCAGGGGTTCCTCATTAAATAGTTATTATAGGGAACAAATTCTTTTGTACCGCTGTACATTATACCCCAATGAGTAGTACTACCAGCACTCAAGAGAAGATGCACCATCTTGATCTCGATGACACTGATTCTGTCGAAAGTGTCAACTCCGAGGTCATGGCCTTCCAAGGTCAACCACCGGCCCTGTCTGGTGATCACATAACAGAAAGCCATTCCCGTCATTCTTTCAATCTCGTGCATACGTTGAGCAAAACTCTTTCCCACTACAAGGAAGAAGCCGAAGAAGACCACCAACAATTGGAAAGGTTGATCACAAACAACGCCGGAGTTGAATCAGTGGTTGAACTATTAGAAGAAGGGGCCGGTAAATTGGGTCCCTTGGAAAACCCATATGATATCAAGAAATGGGAATCTCATGCTGCCCCCGATACCACGTATCACCCGGAAGATCCATGGAAGTATCCCACTGACTCCGAAACAGGTCTTAGAATTGTCAATTGGGTTGACAATGATCCAGAAAACCCCAAGAATAAATCAAAGGCTTTGAAATGGTCATACACCATTTTATTAGGGTTTATTTGTTTTATTGTTGCTCTTGGTTCTGCTATTGTTACTGGTGATTTAGAAAGACCTAGAGCGTATTTTGGTGTCTCCGAAGAAGTCATCATCTTATCTTCTGTCACTATGTTCGTGTTAGGGTTCGGAATCGGTCCTTGTGTATTTGCACCCTTGTCTGAAGAATTAGGTAGACAAATCGTTTACGTCAGTACCCTTTTCGTTGCTGTTGTGTTTGTCATTCCCTGTGCCTTGGCTAAGAACATTGCAACCTTATTGGTATGTAGATTGATTGACGGTATTGCCTTCTCGGCTCCTATGACGTTGATTGGTGGGTCTTTGGCAGATATTTGGGAAGTGGAAGAAAGAGGGGTTGCAATGGCTCTTTTCTCTGCTGCACCTTTCATTGGTCCAGTTATGGGACCTATTTTTGGTGGATTATTGGCAGATCATTCTCCCACTTGGAGATGGACTTATTGGGCATTCTTGATCATTGCTGGATCAGGTTATGCTCTTTTCGTTGTTGTGATGCCTGAAACCCACTCTTCCACTTTGATGAAGAGAAGAGCTAAGAAATTAAGAAAGTTAACCGGTGATCCTTCTTATAGAGCCATTTCTGAATTGAAGATAAGAAGCTTGAAGACCATTGCCCAAGAGTCATTCCTCAGACCCTTTATCTTGCTTTCAGAGTTGATTATCTTTTTGATCACCTTATACATGTCTGTTGTATATGGGTTATTGTATATGTTCTTCTTTGCTTATCCAGTTGTCTACATGGAAGGGAAAGGTTGGTCTGCTTCCAAAACCGGGGTTATGTTTATCCCTATTGGTGTGGGTGTGATTACATCCTCCATTATCGCTCCATTAATTAACAAGGATTATAACAAAAGAGCTCAAAAGTACCGTGATCAAGGTGAAGTGCCTCCAGCTGAGTTACGGTTGATTCCAATGATGCTTTTCTGTTGGGCCGTTCCATTAGGGTTGTTCCCCTTTGCTTGGTCTTCTTATCCCCACATCTCGTGGGCCGGTCCATGTTTCTCCGGGTTTGCTTGTGGCTTTGGGTTCACTTCCTTATACAATCCTGCCAACAACTATATTGTGGATTCTTATCAACATTACGCTGCTTCCGGGTTGGCTGCAAAGACATTTGTCAGATCTATCTGGGGTGCTTGTGTTCCTTTATTCACCATTCAAATGTACCATAGATTGGGCTATGAATGGGCCACCACATTGATGGCTTTCATCTCATTGGCATGTTGCGGGATTCCCTTCTTGTTCTTCTTCTACGGTGCAAGAATTAGAACCTTTTCCAAGTATGCATATTCACCTGAAATGGATTCAAAAGCTCCTGATGCTGAGAACCAAAAGGGTAATTAAAATTGGTGGTTTATTTATTTTCACGCATAATTAATAATTAATATAGGGTAATAGTTTGGGTCCTTCATGGTATCTTATATAATAATAGAAAAAGTAGAACAGTTTATTATGTAGCTGATAGAGCCAATATGGAGCATGATTGTGTTGACCATAGCCAATGGTTGACACGGACTTGGCTGCGAAAAATGCAACTACCTATGGGCATGAATCAAGTGTAGAGTTGAGACAGAGAGGAGGCTCCTTGTGAGTTGAGCTTCATGGTATCTGATCATTTTTGGGGAGGGGTTATAGCTCTACAATGTCAATTGTGCCTTGACGGTATGGCTTGTGGGTAGAATTACCAACCCAATGGGCTTCCTGTTCATCGTTAAAGCGTATCGTTCGCTTTTCTTTGGGGCACCTACTGGAGTATATCCTATAATAACAAATCCCTGAAAATGGGTTATTGTCAAAGTTATCTTATGTACGTTATTGGGACTCGGTTCTGGGCGCTTGTAGCTCTTCTACGGGCTTCTTGTTAGTGGCTTTGTTCTACTCCACGGCTACGGATATGTGTTACGGCCAGTACTATTACAGTATGATCACAATACATAACTTGGTTGTATAGCAACATGTGTATATACGCTAACTCCAATAGCATGTTTAAAAGAGTCTTTCAGACGTAGGCTACACGGGTATTGTATGGTATGGTAATCTAGGTTGCATTTATTGAGCGTGTGGTTCTATGTAGTTGGAGTGTGAATACGAGGCTCACACTATACATCAAGAGAACAAAGTGCCCCTTCCACCAGCAGACACACGGAGTGCAATCTGTTCAATGGATCTAAGCAATAACACAACATCCGCAACCACATGGTGGGGGGATGAAGCAGTTGTCCTTCTTTTCACCGTTCTTCTTAGCGGAAGCGTTGTTGATTTGTTGAGCAGCCATTGTTGTAGATAATTGATTGATTGATAATGATTGAAACAAATCTATTCGGAGCAAACAACAAGAAGAAGAAGGGGCTTTATATACTTTTATTTGGCGTATATCTGACAGTATATCACCAGTAAGGGTATATCTGTTGTTTCATGATTGGAATGTGCCAAATTGAGTAGTTATAGTGTACCCTCCCTATTTGAAGCACACAACCGGGTTTAAACGAACGGCGAAGGAACATTATATCCGTGTAGCCAGCTTAATTTGGAAAATAAATAGTGTAACTGGCATGCTGTATGTTGGTATGCGTAGGGCCCTTTCGTCAAAGACATTCCGTACCTCATTTGACTGCGAAACTCCTGTCTAAAGCTACTTTGTACCGGACAAATGAGGTACTCTATGCTTCGCTTACCATACGTGAAAGTAGGCGAAATCTGACGTAACAGCACCACGGAATCTTATGGAAGAGACTTCAACGCTTTGAAAGAGAGCGAGACTGTCAATTCTATTTAATGAATACGCTAGAGTAATGGAAGTCACAAAGTTGAAGCAATCCATGCTTTATCAACGCAAAGGTAGTATTGTAGTAGTAACGTGATAGCACGACTAATCACTTGGATCTCTTGGCTACCGACAGCTCCGTCCTTGCCTGTATCTAAGGATGCAGGAGACCGTGTAATTAAAGCTATTTCTGGACTTGTTGAACTCTGGTAATTCTATTTAAGGCATATCTGAATACGAGCTCACTGGTACGTTTTGGTAGGTGGAATTTTTGGTTCCCGGAGAGGTGCAAGAGCTAATTTGAAATTTCTTTTTGACGGTGGGATTGACAGTGACAGTTATAGTGGCAGGTGTCAATTATGAGGCGCTGCATAGCTAACCAAAAGAGGCTTGATAGTTGCGGTGTATAGTTGTGCAGTAGGTGCCATGTATTTCCAATTGTTTACCAGCATTAATCTTGACGAGCAGTTGAAATTCAACTTATCATTAATCAATTACAGTGAATAAAGTTCAATTTCCCCGTTACTTCAGCCCACTGAAATTGTCCACTTTAACTGCTTTAGATGGATTTATGTAATACTATTACAAAAAAGAAAAAGTTGAATCCTAAATTAAGTATTTAAACGACAAAGGGGTGCAACCCTATAGAGTTCATCAAAATTAAAAATCATTGAATTAAAATATACTACAATCTACATAATAGCTACAAACCATACTATTTGGGGTGTCACGTGGTTTTCTGGTAGGGTTTCTCTTGTACGAAACTTCTTGTACTCAAACTTCCTCTTTGTACTTCAAGAAATCCGTGATAGTTTAGTGGCTAGAATTACCGCTTGTCGCGTGGTAGACCGGGGTTCAATTCCCCGTCGCGGAGCATTTCTCAATTGCGCAAATGGTTTAGTGGTAAAATCCAACGTTGCCATCGTTGGGCCCCCGGTTCGATTCCGGGTTTGCGCATTTTTTTGGTAGCAGTTTCTACTTCTGTTAGCATAATGCTGTATTCTGTCTACTGGTGTTCTTTAATTGATTACATTTTTGCTATCACAAAAAATGATACCTCACAATGTTGAAATTGGGCTATTTGAGATTGAGATTGGTTTCGTTTCCTCAGTAATACAATGGAATCTTCCATTTGTATCCACCTCATCTCATCTACTATAAAGACGTTGTTATCACCTAAGAAACCATATGGTAGCGCCTACCATTCTTAAAATGTTAGATAGGTTACCCGGACAAAAGTGAGAACTATAAAGGTAAAGTCATCTGCCCTTGAAAAATTTTAAAGTATATGTGTTTTCTTTACAAGTAAAACACACTAACAAATCGAATCCAAAGATAACTGTTCTTTTATTTAGAATAGTCGATTGGATTTTCTTACTATTTGTCGCATATTCACTTGTGAAAGGCGAGCTTATTTACTTCACGACTTTTTAGATTGTTGGTTTTAGTAAAGCAATAAGTGAGTTGATTTAATGTTGTATTATGTTACGGAGATGATGAAGTTAAGTGTTCTTCTTTCCCAGTCTGACTCGACTATGACGACAGGGTTGATAACCGTTTGCATCAAATATCTTTGATTGGTTTGCACCTTTCTAAGTGATGTGAGCTTATACTTGCCAGTATTTATACGGCTCTGATTCCTAATATAATACCATCAACAGATCAACATCTAAGAGAGTTGTGAGTTAATTAAGCACACTTGTACGAGTGGTGGTTTCAGTAGTGTTTGAATTTGTGTTTTGCTTGTGAGTACTAATAGATTATTGGATGTGATGAAGAATTCCATAACATTCGCAGTTTCCACGGTAGTCATACGCATAAAGAACCCATCTTTTGTATGATCGGTGACCGCTCCAATGACCTTCCATGGATGTCTGATCCTTTAATCTTTAGTATTATTTTGTTAAATGTAGAGCGTAGCATACCCTAAACCACAGTGGTATTTACATTGTTAAATATCGTGGTGTATTACTTGTGTGCAGTTAGTGTACGGAGAAACCTACTCATGAGTTGTCATCATTAACATAAAAACAAATTGAAAAAAGTACTAAGAATTTAGAAGACGGAACAGAAATCAATTCATATCCATTATACTATTAAATTTTACCCTTAACATTTGGAGTTGTCAAAGGCCATTGATAAGTTCCTTCATCAGAAAAGACATAGCCATGACTAGCTAAGAATTCTCTTAACCCCTTGGGCCCTTTAGAACCATAAGAATACAATTCTGGTTTAGGACCATCCGCAGCTTCCAAAGCTTCCAAAAATGGAGTGAAAAGCTTCCAAGAAATATCCAATTCATCATCTCTAACAAAGTTAGAATGGTTACCCAAATAGCAATCTCTAATCAAGGCTTCGTAAGCTTCTGGAATCCAGAAATCATCAGAGTATCTCTTTGAATAAGTCAAGTCCAAATCAGTCAAAGAGGTTTCAGTGGAAATACCAGGAATCTTGGAGTTAATCTTCATATAAATGGCTTCGTCTGGTTGAATTCTAATCACCAATTCATTTCTTTGGATTTCCTTAAACATCCCCTTGGCTACAGGTTTGAATTGGATTCTAATTTCCACCTTGGATTCATCCAAAGCCTTACCAGCTCTCAAGACAATAGGGACCCCCTCCCATCTTTCGTTATGGATGTGCAAAGCGAAAGCAGCATAGGTGAAACATTTAGAATCCTTATTAACGGTGTCATCGTCCAAATATCCCGGTTCCTTTCCATCTTCCGAAGCACTATACTGACCCAACAAAACATCCTTAGGGTCAATTGGTTCAACAGCTTTTAAAACCTTGACCTTTTCATCTCTAACAGCCTCCGGATCAAAGGAAACAGGTCTTTCCATAGTAAGCAACGTGAAAACCTGCAACATATGGTTTTGCATCACATCCCTAATGATTCCAATGGTATCAAAATACCCCCCTCTTCCTTGAGTACCAAAAGCCTCTTTAAAGGATATCTGTATGGATTTGATGTGGTTCTTATTCCAGGCAGCCCCCAAAAACTCATTGCCAAATCTTAACACCAAAAGGTTCTTGACCATTTCCTTACCCAAATAGTGGTCAATTCTGTACAACTCATCCTCGGTAAATAACGGTGATAAGTTCTCTTGCAATTCTCTAAAGGTTTGCAAGTCTCTGCCAAAGGGCTTCTCGACAATCACCCGGGTCTTGAGTCCAGACTCGGAGTTCAAGTGTTTCTTTAAGAAACGACACACAGTAGCAAATGCACTGGGAGGTAACGCCAAATAAAATAACCGTTCGGGAACTGCGACATTATGTTTCTTCTCATAGGCAACACATTTGTCCAACAATTCCACGTACCCAGAGTCTTCATCATATGGGCCATGCATATATGAACATAAGCTTAAGAACTCGTCAATCTTGGATTTGTCGGCATTTCTGAGCTTCAAGTTGGGTCTGATTCTGTCTTTGAATTCTTCATCACTCAAATTGCTTCTGGCATATCCGACAATTTGCACCGTTGATGGCAATTGTCCTTCTCTGAAAAGTCCAAAGAGAGCAGGAAATGTCTTCTTTTTAGCCAAATCTCCTGATGCTCCAAACACAACCAAAGAAACTCGATCTCCAAAGGGTTCAGCCATTTTTATTACTTAATAGTGTCTGTTTTATTGCTTAGACTTCCACTGGCAGTGCAATTGACTCTACTAATTGTCTGGTCACCAGGATTTTAAAGAAGAAGTTGAAAAGTTGGATTTGTCGGTGCTCTTTAAATCTCCCTTTGCCAAAATCTGAATGCCTCTGCTTTTGTGACATGTGTCCGATAACGAAAGGGGATGGAAAACTCGCGACATTATTTATCGGTATACTCCATGACAAGTTTTGTCTCCTCCTACCAAATTCATTTTCCCCAGCTAATCAATGCCACCTATTTTACTAATAAATCTTATCACTAATGACACATTTTATTCATTCCGTGTGTTCCCTTTTCATATTAGGGCCCTGAGTGAACAAATTCCATTATATACTAAAATTTTACTAAACACTCTTGCTCAACATGACCTTTGTGCTGGCTACATACAGTATACGATATATAATGTCGTTGTAACCACCAAATTTGTATTGACGATGTCTGAGGGTATCCTGTTTTTCCGACACCGGACTTCAACATAATTACTAATATTTGTTTCACAGCAATGACACATATGAAGCCCAACGGAAAAAATTCACGTGACTTGGTGTGCTATCTTCTTTTTTTTGTGCATTGTTATTGTGTAACTTACTACCGGTGCTCCCCCACCCCTGACCTGTCTTACTTTATTTCTCCTCGGGCATCGGAGATATCGATAGTGCAGTTACACACATGTGCGTGCGGCTTACTTCTCGGATTAATACTCTCCTAATTAGGAAATCATGTATCCGATACTCTATAAAGACATTAAATTCCAGTTAAATATAATATAACTTATGATATATCCGGGCCTTGAAAGAATAGCAGCTCATCATTTGTTTAATGGTGGAGTCAAGATGTCGGCTTCAGATGCTGGCTCATTGTTGCTCTCATCATCAATATGATCCTCCTGCTCTTCTTCTTGTTCCTCTTCTTCCTGTATTGCATGAGTATCATCAAATACATTTTCATTGTCATCATTAACATTATAATCCTCCTCATCTTCAGCGACTTTGAAATGCTCACCGCCAGATAATTGCTTGCTTGGAAGATTCTCATCATAATCTGGATCTTCCATCGGAACGGCACCACTAGGAACAATCGTACCCAATTCAAAGGAGTTGTCTCGGCCTCCACGTCTACCTCGTTCATTGGCGAAAGCTGCGTCTTCGTCTTCACTATCGCTATATTCTTCACCGGGAATTATATCAAATTCGTATTGTTCTCTTCTAACTCTTCTCTTCGATCCTCCAGGGGTACGATGGAACCTCATGTAAATTATCACCAACACAAATCCTAAGATTGCAACGGCCATAAAGTATTGTCCGGTATGGTCATTGGTGTATTGCTTATTAGCTCCTTCGTGATTATCCTCAGAATCTTCAGTACCACCTTCCTTTGAAGAATCATCAGTCGCAGTAGACGAAGGTGATGATGTGGATGTTGGTACTGTCACGTCACTAGTAGCTACCGCTTCACTGGTTGAGCTAGAAAGAGGAGCAGACGACGACACTTCAATGGGTTTAGCCTCCAATCTGTCTCTTCTAATTTTGGAATAGTCAACATCCAAATCATATTTCTCAGCCTTCTCAGCATCAATACTCTCACCCCATAGTCTTAGTTGCCAATTCTTAAATCCGATATCAACCTTCTTCATGTCTTCTTCAGATGGATATACTTCCAACTTCCAATCTCCAACTCCGTCTTCACCCCAATGAGCCACACTCATAAAGGTCCAGTTCTGGAACCCAGAGCCACTGCCATCAAAGCGTCTGAAGGAAGCTAATTCACTGATAAGTCCTGATGGGGAGGTTAATTTGACTCCGACTTTCCCTCTAAAGGAAGAGTCAATATTAACTTTAACAGTTACATGTTCTAGTCTTTCCACATTCATAACCTTCAAGTCATCCTCGGTCACAGAAATAACAGACAGTATGATCGAGTCTTTATATTCGGGAGCTCTTTTGACTCGACCAGGACCACCAGCTGGAGGAGGTGCATCAACTTTTGTACCTTCCCATTTCTTCATCACATCAACAACATCGGAATAATACCATGCTTGTGGTTTGACATTCTTCCAAGTCTCAGCAAACTTGACCATCTTATAAGCATCAAGCTTCCCAAACCCATACTTATGAGAATACTTACGACCTAATTTTGTCACTTGATAACTGCCATCTTCTTCATTAACGGGAACTGCACTTAACGCTGAAACATATTGTACATCTCTCCATGTCAAGTTAGGATTAACTGACAATACAAGAGAATAAATTCCAGCAGCTAAAGGGGCAGCAGCAGATGTACCACCATGAGCTGCAGAACACTTCTCTTTGATGTCTGTGGTATGAATATGTTCACCCGAACCACTACTGTAGGTGACTACCATGACAGCACTGCATGCCTCGGCATAAGAGGGATGTAAGCCCTTATAGTCAATAGCTCCAACTGTAATTGAATAAATAGAATTGGTGTATCCATCAAAATTACACGAATCTCCAAACCGAGCTCCATTCCCCAGAGCAAATACATACAAAGCACCTTTATTATCCCGACCATCTTGAATTCCTTTAATCATAGCTTTCTTGACAATGACTTCTGGTTCGGCAAGAGTACGTCCATCATCTGTTGGACCCCATGAACATGAATAAATGTCATTAACATTCAATCCATATATTAAAGATTGTGCTTCATCGGCAGCTGTAATTCTTCCAGATAGGATTCTAACTCCGGCCACTTGAGAATCATATGCTACTCCAATTCCACAGAATTCATTTTTTTGAGCTGCAATTTCTCCAGCACATCGAGTTCCATGATAATCATCATATAGTCTAGGCATTGGTGCCTTCCCATTATCGTTGAAATCCCAAGATCCCTCGGCATTGAAACTGTCTTTCAAATCCGGAGATGTAAAGTCTAAACCGTCGTCCACAAGTGCTGTCACTATGCCTTTTCCGGCAATTCCCTCTAGCCATAACCCAGAAACATTCACGTCATGTCCGGGATAACGAGTATTAATCAAATGCCATTGCTCAATGAAAAGTGGATCTTCAATTTTCAACTGATCAGCAACTTTCTTTAGTCCTTCTTGAGAAGAATCATTGATTTTGTAGTCCCGTTTAGCCGCTTTCTCTATCATTTCTTCTCTGCTATAGTACACAGGCGTTCTTTTCTCAAGCTGTTTGGGAGGTAGTGCATGTATGGATCTGACATCTGCTAACAACAGTGCAATGTGATCTTCATAGCCGTCGCCAGAGTAATCTCTTTTGAATAAATCATAGTTGTTGGAATTGTAGTTCCCTAAGAACTCATTATGAGGGTGTTTCTTATCTATGCTGAACACGTAATGGTTATCCAACCGAGGCAACTGGTGTTCAAACTTATAAATGTTTCTGTGTCTATCTATGAAGTCATGAACCTTGTAGTCATCTTTCAACTCAACAATAAAGTAGTTGTTGAGTTCATAGTCTCGGGGTGGAATCTGATACCCATGAGCAACCGTACTCAAACATCCTAAGAGTGTCACTGCAATGCGGTAAAGACAATATAGCTGCATAGTAGCAGTAGCAGGCTAACTGTGGGTAGTACCAATTAGTAGAAGCAGTGGGTAGTAGCTGTCTATGATTATGTCCGATTAATGCCACAGTAATAATAAGTAATAATAATACAATTACTACTGTTGTGTCAGCACGTTCTTCGCTTCCTTTGCCGATATAGCAACGGATGTATACCGAGTTTGTTCTGACTGACTGACTATCTGTCTGTCCGTCCTTTATTGAGTGGCAGAAGTGGTGCTGTTATTAGTAAAAGGCTTTTTTCAGTCCACGCCCCAGAAAGTTTCATACCGGTTGATTCATTTCCTGATTCGGTAAGTGACGTCAAAATGCGAGTTCCGAGGGGGCGAAGCACACTATCGGTAATAAATCGGCCCGTCAAAGTCAAAACGACAGACCTTTTTGATAGACTTCGCTAGATAGCGCTTTCTTAATTCTTCACTAACGATAATGAGACGGTTACAGTTCCCGGGAGTAGCTATGGTGACTGTCCTTGCAATGATGTTGATCACCAGAGGAGTTTTGGCTGACGGAGGTATGGAAGGTATGGATGATCCAAGAGTTGAATATCATCCTATTAATCCAGGATCTAAAACATTCCATTGGTTAATGTCCGTGGCATTATTATTCTTACTTCCTTCGATCAGTGCGGCCTTCCTGTTAGCTGATAAGCAACACTGGTCTCTCATGTTCCATTTTGTACTGTTGGGATATTCAGTATTTGAATGGATGTTCTTACCTTTTGCTGATAACACCGATAACCATGAGAATAAGACAAGCAGAGGTACTTCTACTTTCATAACCTTGTTGTTGGCTGCAAACATTTTTATAGGAACGTTTATGAATGGTAGTAATTGGATAATGAATCGTTTCTTCCCCTCAGCAGCCGGTTCATCTCTGAATAATGGTAATGCCAATTCCGGAGTTCTTTGCAAAGTCTTTAAAACACTTTCGGTAATTATAGCACTCACAGGTTGGGTAAGAGTATGTCTTGCTGTAGTGGCATTATTTGGCTTTTGCTATGATAAACACACGGGTCAATGCATTGCCCATGGTATAATGGGTACAGCGTTTGTGTTTTATGCGATGGTATTGACTATAGTGTTGATAATACCTTGGATTAGAAAGAGAGACACCAACAGAAGATCCCAAGAGTTTTATGACTCGGTGGTCATGTGTGCTTGGGGTATCGTCAACACCTTCACAGAACACAGATGGGGGAAGGAAGGCTGGAGTATGGGAGATTATCAACATACTGCAATGGGGATTATTTGGTGGGCTGGAGCTCTTGTAGGAGTATTTTTAACCAGAAAGAAGAATAACCATAGATCTTTGATTCCGGCATTATTATTGATATTCACAGGTTGGTCGATGTCACAGCATCATCAACATTCAGCCATTTCCACAAACGTACACGCCTTCTTTGGTATTGCACTTATGAGTGCTGGTTTCACCAGAGTAATCGAGATCTGTTTCATCTTGCATGACAAGAACTGTGATGATTCAGGTAAAATATTGGCTTTTCAATATATGCCACCATTTTTTATGACACTTTCAGGAATACTCTTTATGGCTGCAAATGAAGAGCAATTAGAATTGGCATTAGGCTTAGGATCTGACCATTCTGCCTATATCTTGGTCGGCACTGCAGCAGCTTTTGTGGTGTTTTTGTGGCTACTCTTAATGGTAAACTTGTACTTGCGTCTAGTTGGGTTTGACGAAGATGGTCCCTTCCAACCTATTGCTATCAATGGAAATGAGTATAACCGAGTCAACGATGTGCAGGAGTTTGAATTGGAAAATATGTCAGATTAAGCAAAATCAAAGCGACACAAATCCGCTACCTTGATAAGATCATTTTGTTCATAGTTAAGATAAGGATAATAATAGAAAAATTATTGGAACAATATGATGGCTTTTAAGTAGTATGATGCTTGCTCCTAATTAGGTTATGAAATGCGTAGTCTAATTATCAATGGCTCGTTTGTCATTTCCTAAAAAAAAATGAAATATCAAAGCGTCACGTGATCTGTTTTTGGTGACTCAGATGAGTAAGCTTATAGCAAAAAGCATGTACCAACTACTTTATTGTTTTATCTTAACAATATCACTTTTCTTTTCCTCTTCTCTAGTAGATAAAATATGAGTGCCATACTAAAGGCTGAGGATTTGAACGACTTTATTTCCCCCGGAGTTGCTTGCATCAAGCCAGTGGAAAGTGTTCCTGCTCCTGCAAATGGCGCACCAGAATATGGAGAAGTGGAGATTCAAATAGATAACGAAGGGAACCCCTTAGAGATATCCAAAATCGATGGCAAGCAGCAGAAACTTTCGGCTGCTCAGATCTCTTTGGCAGATTGTTTAGCGTGTTCTGGATGCATTACTTCTGCTGAGGAGGTTTTGGTTGCACAGCATTCATTTGATCAATTGGTTAATACTTTGGATTCTCAGAAACATTCAAAAGTATTTGCGGCCAGTGTGTGTCATCAGGCTCGGAGCTCTTTGGCTCAGGCTTTCCAAACATCTGTGGAAAATATTGACTGTATGTTGGTTGATCTTTTTGTGAATCAAATGGGGTTCAAGTACGTGGTTGGTACTTCATTGGGACGTAGGTTATCATTAGTTAATGAGTTTGAACATGTTTATCAACGCAAGAAGGATCAAAGTAGTGGCCCTATATTATCCTCTGTGTGTCCAGGTTGGGTTCTTTATGCTGAAAAGACCCATCCAGAAGTTTTAGATCGTTTATCCACTGTTAAATCACCTCAACAATTCACAGGCTGTCTCTTGAAATCCTTAGTTAAAGATGTACCCAGAGAGAACATTTACCATGTATCCATCATGCCTTGTTTCGATAAAAAGTTGGAAAGTGCTCGGCCTGAGTTGAACGAACCAAAAGTATCTGATGTCGATTGCGTACTTACCCCAAGAGAGTTGGTCAATTTGGTTGAACAGAATGATCACTATAATTTCAACTTTAGCTCACCCTTATTGAAGTTGTCAATGTCAGAATTATATAAGAAAGTAGCCCCTCCAAATTGGCCGTTTTTAGAACATTCTTGGTCAAATGATGATGGCTCAACCTCTGGAGGTTGGGGGTTCAATTATTTGCTTCAATATCAACAGAAATTGCTTGAAGAAGCACCTGATAAATATCGAAATTCTTCGAAGTTCAATATTAAAAGAATCAACGGAAAGAACAACGACATTTATGAATTGCGTTTGGAATATGATACCATTAAAGTGGCCAGCACTGCCGTGGTGAATGGATTCAGAAACATTCAAAACTTGGTCAGAAAACTTAAAGCCCCAGAAAAGGCTGCTGCTAAACCAACCGGTAGAGCTGTGGTTGCTCGTCGAAGAATGCGTACCAGTAGATCTGCAACACCAAATGGTAGTGATGAAGCTGAAGATGTGGATGCAACTAAATGTGATTATGTTGAAATAATGGCATGCCCTAATGGATGCATAAATGGAGGTGGTCAAATCTCTCATGGTAAAGATGTTTCAGATAAAGAATGGCTTGACCAATGTGTGATGAAATATAAATCTATTCAATCTTTAGATTTGAATAAGGATGTTGTTTCCAATTTAATGAATTGGTGTAACAACTTTTATGAGGATTCAAATATATCCTCGGACAGATTAACAACCACTTACTTCAAAGAAGTAGAGAAGCCTCAGGATCAAGCTTCTATTCTCTTGGGTTCAAAATGGTAAAACAAATGTATAATAACGGCATAGATTATAGATTAATGGTGCAGTAAAACGATTCAGCTTAAGATGTAGACGCTTTTAATCTTTCAGTAAAGCCTTGGACTTCGTCAATGAGTGCTTGGGGGATTATCGAGTTACTATTATTGCAACTTGTAGGATGGCCAATAAAACTAGCAAAGTTTATCTCTAATCTCAACAATTGTTCTTTGTACGACAAGGCCTTCGCTATCGACTCCTCTAAAGTATCTATTGACTCTATCATCTTTTGTTTGGCCAAATCACTTCGAGTCCTTTCTCTTTCTAACTTTACAAGATTTTTCACTTCGTAATCAAGTTGGAACTTGAGTGCATAAAGTCGACTTTCTATCTCTTCAATATCTTCAAGATACTTTAGATGTGTGATGTTATTGTTGTTTGGCTCCTCATTAAAGCAATTGATCTCATTATCATCGTATAGCACAATAGTTGCATCAATGAAAGGCGATGTTGCGTGGGTTTCAGGGAGATCAACATGAACACCGAATTCGGAAATATTGGTATTGTTGGTGTAAACAGTACTCGTTTGTTGTACCAGTGGAAACGCCCTTGAGAAGGTATCCCTCTTATGAGATGAAGATCCCAGTATTTGTCTCTGGCAAAGTGTGGCAAGAATCAGTCTACTGATTTTAGGTGAGATCTGAGAGATCTTGGATAAAGACAGAGACCCAGTTAACCGATCCACAATCTCTATCATTTGTGCCAATACGTGCTTCACCTGCAACGACATTGAAGGTTCAGCGTGTTCAAGTAGCAGGTCACATTCAGCTACGGTCATTGCAAACGCATAGAGAGTCCCATGAGCAGAAGGCTGATAAACATAATCATCAGAAAGTTGACTACGTTGATAGTCTTCTATGAATTTTTGTGCTTGTCTCATTTGCTCTCGTAATCTCTGGAATCGAAGCAATCCATCTGTTGATATAGCATGCAGATTCTGCATGGGCCACCACAAAAAACCATCTTCATCTTCATCAGCAGAAGCATGGAATGAGTTCACTGGTTCAGATAGTTTGGAAATCACATCCAAATGTATTTCTGAATCTGATTGGGCCAATTCATTTCTGACCACACAGGCTTCTGGTTGTTGTACCTTTTCACGTCTTTTATCAATTTGAATCGCAACTATCACTTGTAATTCTGGTGATGATAGCGGGTAATCCTTACCGTATTTTGCTACTGCTTTATTTACATTGGCCAATTCCTTATCATCAAGGCACTCCAAAAGGTCTAAAACATATTTATCTCCGTATACTTCAGGCCTAATGAACTCTAAAGGCGCTAATGCTTTAGGGTTATGGATTTTATCAACACTAAAATTTCCCCTTTTCAAATCACTCCATCTTCTATGGCTCCAATGCCGACCACCTGAGTATCTATGGAAGCGATGCCAGAACTTTTTGGGTCTATGAAGTGGCATTTGCTTGGTGGTTTGGGGGGGTCCCTTAAAGGAGTGTTTGTGCGAGATAACACCGAACTTTTGCAGCCAATTATGATGACATCAACAACATCAACAACATCAGCAACGGGTCCTTTTTAACACTAGCCCGCTTCAAAACCGCTATTTGCAACACAATGCATTTACCAAAGCAAGTCTTCAATTTACTTCTTATTCACTTTAAGTCTAAATTGAATCTAAGCTTAATCGTAGTGAATATTTTCAAGCGTATGTGATGGATCTATCATTAGCCAAGACTAAGGCACGTGATCACCACCAACTCCCACCCAATAACCTTAATTTGAGTACATCACCGTGTATTAACATATACCTATGTAATGTATGCATATGCTTTAGTTTCACTATATACTACAACATTTACTACAACATATATTATTGCACCCATACTTCTCCCTTGTATACTTTAACAAAGTCGTGCACGCACCGTGTTATTATCAGGTGAAAAATCTCGTTTAAGTAATCATTAAATCCAGCTACTCTTTCTGCTGCTTTACTTGTATCTATCGACTATGTTTATACTGATAAGGCTGATTCAGCGGCGGTTAGTGCATGTGACTCGTTTGAGGCATTTTGAGGCCCGTCCAATAACGAATAGCAATAAGAATGCCTTTGATTTGGACGACATTCTATCGTCAATCAACTCATCGGGCAAAGGTTCAAGTTCAAAGCAACCCCCTACCACGTCATCAAATCGGTTTGCAAATACTCAAAGAAACAATAATAAAGACAAGACCCGTGGATCCGGAGGAGGAGGTCATAGCCATCATTCTCGAGCCAGAAATGAAGGCCCTAAGAAACAACAAAGTAATACCAGAAGGTTTAATAATACCTCGGGGTCCACCAAACAACAAGAAGCATTAAAATCACAAGTAGAACTTGTCCATAAATATAGAAGAGATTTCAAAGTACAATTTATTGATCCTACCACCAATAAGATGGAAATAGCATTTTTACCAGATATTGTCAACCCATTAGATTTATCAAAGCAAGGGATATATGTAGTTGAACCTCAAGAAGCTGGTGGGTTGCCATTAATTAAGTTGAATACTTGTCAAGAAATGGTAAAACAATATGCCGATAAGTTGGCAGAAAAGATGCAAAAGGAATTATTGAACAAGGGTAGTTCAGCTGCTTGGAAAGCAGCTTTACTGAAGGAAAAGGCTCAGAAAAGAAGCTCAACTGCTAAAGTGGTTACCGTCTCATGGACAATTAGTTTAAGTGATTTGGCCAATCAGAAGAAAAGTGAGGTTGAAAAGATTATTAAAAAAGGTGGTAAGTTTAGCTTTTTCATTGGAGACAGATCAAATGCAAGGGCCATTTCTAGAGGTTATGAAGGTAATGATGCTTCCAATAGAATCCGCAAATCTGAAGCTGAAGATTACCAATTGGAAATTGCAAGAAGAACGATGGTGCTTAATAAAGTTACAGAAATGTTGGATGAATTATCTTGTCTTTATGAAGCTCAAGGTGGCGTGGAGGGAAGAGTCATTCTCCAATGCTCTCCAAAAGTTGAAGTTACCTCCTCCAAAAGTGCCAAAGAGGCTGATCAGTCTTCAAGTAAAGAATTAAGGAAACAGAAAAAGTCAAAAGTATCTTCAAAATCTTCAGACAAACAGAAAATTGAGGATTTGGATAGTCTTTATCTGTTCAAAATTGATGATGATTAAACACGGGGATTTATAAAGGGTTTGGAACAAACGAATGTATTCAAATTGTAATGACTTCTTGTATATAGGGACTCTTTTGACTCCATAGTAATAATAATAATAAAAAACCCTGCCTTATACTATACTCCCATATCTTGAGCTCTCGTTACTATATCTTCGTCGTTCTTGCTCGTTTAGGAGTCTTCTATTGGGTGTCTCTCGTTCATGTCGTAACTTCCTAACTCTGTAGCCATATTCGTGGCTATTAATCAAATCATCAACTATGGGATAATTCAAAAGTCGTTGTATCTCCACTTGATCTAAAGTATAATTATTGACTACTGACGTAGCCTGTTGATAATAAGCTTCGTCTTCGTCTAGATCCTCTTCATCATAACTAAAGTTCTCATCATTTAATGCTGCTGTAATAGAACCTAATGGAGGTGTAGTGTTAGTGCAGTGTTGTCTAGGTCCAGGTCCAGGTCCAGGCCTAGGAGATCCTGGAGGACTTTTTATACTGCCTCTTGATGAAGATATTAATCCTTTCGTTGAAGAATTTATGGATGGAGCATAATTCTCTTCTGTTGTACTATTAATTCCATTCCCATTTTGAGAGGGTTCAGAGAGTGTCATCATGTTCAGAGGGAGCCAATGTTTATGTTTCCCATCATTATAATATCGCAACCCTTGTTTTATTCTACTCATGCGTGCACTTGAATCAGGATGTGCAAGCAATGCTTCAACAGAATCAAATTTCCTGTAATCGTAGTTGTCACCTTGATAGGTAACTTTAAAATCATGAACTAAATCTTGAATCCCAAACATATCCTTTAGGGCATAAAAAAATTGTACTCTAGATGAGGGTAAATATTTCACCGTGAAATATTTATAAGAAAATGAGCTCCAATGACCAACGGCGAAAGCAATTAATTCCACGCATAATAAAGCATTTTGAATAGCTAAACCCAAGTCATAATTTTCTTGCTTTGCTGGTTGAGAATCTGAACCCGGATTCGAATCCTGTGGTACTCCGGATTTCTTTAAAATTCCAAAAAAACTAAGAGTACCTAAAAGAACCCCCTGCCAATAAGAAGCAAAAATAATTAACTTAACACATAAGAATTTCCCCACTGGATTAAAAGGTTTCAAGTCGTTCCATAAAATTTTCCAGAAAAGGGCAAGACAATATAATGAAATGGTCACACTAAGATTATAAAGAATTGTTAACCATAAATAAGGAGATTTGATCCCCATGTCATTGATATCATATAAATGGAATAATTCCCCAAAGATCATACTAAAACAAATGAATGGCTTTAACCAAACATATTGTAAGATGCCTCTTTTAATCCATAGAAATGTATATGGATCAGATATGTCCAATCTTGGAAGACATTTCCCCAAGAAACCAGGATGGGCCACGGGCTCTCTCCCACTAGTCATAATGATAATGTGTCGTTCCCCCCCAAGCATATCTGTTAGAAGGGAGAAAAAGGTATAAATGACAAATGCCTCATAGGATTCACGAATGGGTTCCAATACAATCTTGTTGAAATAGGAGTTCTGATTCGATAGCATACTGTAACACAGAAGGGCAAACAAGGGTACAATTAAATGTATTCGAATCATAAGTCGTTGTTGAAATGGTTTCCGGTAATTTCGTAGATGAAGTATGACACTTGCAGCAATGATTAGTGATGAGATGAGTGAACTATAAAAGGATACAGTGATTACCGTATCCGGTAGTCTATACCCTTCGTCACTCATTATTAGTTTTACAGGAGTAAGGTAAATACCACCTTTAACTAGTTGCCTTTCAAATTGTTATCTATTTTGAATGATCCTGCACACAATGTAAATGGTGTACGGGTGTAGGATGGTTGATATGATATGCCTGGTCATATTATTACTAGTAGTATTATGACTAGTCAATAAGCAATACTTTTGGTTAATATATAGATTAAAATTATTTAAGAGTAATGTGATGTATCATATAGAAAAGAAATATATATAAATGTGAAAGTTTTCCCTATGGGTGCAAAAAAAACATTCTTATTTATACATGTCTCTTTTCCCAAAATATACTCTTATATGTATAAATGCCTTCTTTTAACATCTGTAAGTACTCCTTCCTTAGGAACAGCGAATGGGCCCATTGTCCGTATCGTACTGAAGTTACCATCAAGTTGGTTCATCCTTACATTAATGTCTATTGGAGGAAGATAGTCATAGACACCATCGAAGTCACTACTCATACAGTGCTTCTGGGGGTAAGCAAATACCCTACGATTGCATTGAAGTTATCACTGATCTCGGGTGCAACTTTACGGCGTGTTCAGATGGTGTTTCGTGATGTTAAGGAGTTTGATGCCTTTAAGTCTTCAGTGGAGAAAATTATGCATTGTCATGTTCATGTGAAGAAACAATCAGGAGTAAACCAAAGTCAAAGTCAATCACAATTGGTCGATGTTACTCAGATAACTAATTCACCTTCATTATTGTTACATAATCTCCATCAATATCCCGATCATTATACTGCAACACAAGAAGCTGAAACAATACCACAAGAGACAACATTCAATACAACATACGATGTAGCATATGATGCAACACAACCATATGATACAAATCATGCATATGACATAACACAACCATATAACAACACAAATAGTCAACTACCGTCTCCAGAATGTTCTCAAGTGCCTCCATTGTTAAACCAACCACTTCTCTCTTATAATATGAATACTAGTGAAACATCATACACTGATCAGCAACTACGGGATATCATTAAGACTAAGCTCGAGGATGAAAAATTTATAGAATTTGTTAAAAAAGTTGAAAGAATCGTCACGTCCTCGTCATTAAATTGAGTATCGTACCTCCTATAAAAGTATATACAAAGTTTTTCTGAAAAAGACCAAATTAAAAGCGGAATCAAATCGTTTCGAATTTAGTGCAAACCTCCAAAGATTCAAAGTCCAATGGCTTCCTTTTGACGAGCCTTTTCAAATTCAATCAGTCTCAATTGGTCTTCGGTTACCAAGTGATGAGTATGGTTTTCCAGTTTCAATATTGACTTCTCACCACTGGGAAGAACAAGTTCTTGACATTCTGTGATTTCTTGAACATATGGATGAACAATTACTTGATCCATGGTGTATCTGTCTTCAGGGTTCACTGCCAACATCTTATCAATCAATGATCTGGAGTTTCTTGGTAATAAGCGAAGCAATTTCTCTCTACCTGTTAATTTTCTTCTATGTCTTTTCTTTTGAGGGATAACTGCTTGAGTTGGAGCTTGATCATCTAAATCTAGATTTGGTTCAGGTAAGTTGATTTGTGGAGGTTCCTGGGAAACTTCTTTATCATCAATAGATTTATCTAATGTGTTTGCTTCATTATTAATGGTAAGCTTAGGGATTCTCTGTTCTAATTCGGATAGTTGTATATTGGGCTTTGTCTCAACAGGTGTAGCCACACCACTTTTTATAGTTGGAACAGTGGCTTCACTTTCGGAACCTTTATCATAAGGAGGTTCAGCTGATGCAAATGAAGAATATGAAGGGTCTGACCATTTAGGTATTTTCCAAGGAAATCTTCTAATAACCAAACAGCAATATATTATAGCAATGGACCAAACATCAACTAATCTTGGATCGTAACCAAAATTTGATGGTTCAAATACTTCTGGCGATAAGTATGGATCGGAACCAACTATACCTCTTGCTCTTTGCAAACGATGATCTTCATCCAAATTATCTACTCCATAATCCAAACCTGGCATTCTGGGTTTCCTAAATTGAACAGCTGAACCGAAATCAATCAACTTCAAAATTCCTTGATCGGTTACAACACAATTATCTAATTTCAAATCACGATGAGCTAATCCATGATCATGTAAAAAGAACACGCCTGCAATGATTTGTTTAAAATAACATTCTGTTTCGTGAATGGTAATAAGTCCTGACATCACCAAATTGAAAAAATCATAAGGACAATAATCCATAACAATATAATACTCTGGATCATGAGTTAATCCAGATTCAGTAACCAATTCATATGTTTTAATAAGATTGGGATGGTTGAAAACTGAAGCTATTTTGAATTCATTTTTTACCTTAACTTTATAATCCCGTTCATTTTCTGCCTTTTGTTTCGGTCTAAATTGTTTCACAGCATAAACTTGAGAACTATCTGTCTTGGAATGGACTAAAATCACAGATCCAGTGGCACCTGAACCCAAGAGTTTATTTGCATTTGTATATTTTTTATCTAAAGCCAGGGATGGCTTGAAATGTGGTAAACCTTTATTAGATTTATTACTTCTATCCTCTTTGAGTTTACCAAGAAATCGTTTCAATGTTGGAAGATGTTTCTTTTTGCTTCCCTCTGAATCCAATGAATTCTTTTTCGCTAATGGGAGAAGACCTAAATGCTGATGTTGATGTTGATGTTGATGTTGATGCTTTGGAAGTAGTTTTGAAGTTGCTACTGAAGTATCAGCAGTCGATATGGGAGATTCTTTTGAAAATGCACTACCATCACTACCATTAATCAACACCAGTGAATCATTAGCAGCACTATGAAATGAATTAACAGAACCAGAATCATCATGATCATTCCTACTACTTATAGATCGACTCAGCACATCACTATGGGACATATGTCTATTTTTCCGAAACAATTTCACTAACGAAGACGAAGATCCATGTTGTCCACCACTATCTGTACTGGCTGAAGACCTAGTAGCAAATAAGCCTTTGAGTACATGGCCATTACCAGAACCCATCTTAACAGTAATACCACAACTGCAATAGCTATACTATATGCCGTAATAGTATGCTAATATCAATACCTAGAGAGAATACATCAACACATAAAGAAGAAAGTGGTACAGCAACTATGAAGGGGCCCGAAGTTTAACTTTCGGTTTTTCTCGGAACATGAATCACAAACCCGCACGGGACTTTCTGGGGTATTATGCCATTTAATGGGATTTCCTATTTCGGAAATGTACTATAACAGTATGTCGTATACTGTATAATGTCAAACATTGAATAAGTTCTAATAAACCCTTCGATGACATAAATATTATACGCACGGAGATATCGTGTTGAGTATTTAAGTATAATCCCTCCCACCCCTCATGTCAACAAAAGAAGTACTTAGAACAAACTATTTAAACGGTTTTCATCACACCAGTACTGGTAACGGTTGAGAATGTAATATTCGAAAGGAGCTGACAAAAGTTATCTAATATACTAAAGATACGGTATAAAAAAAGCATAATGATGTGGACTAACTATGATTTCTCGGGTGTTGCTGAACCTAAAAACCGATCCCAAACACTTGGGCGACGGGATCGAGTTCCATGATTCCCTTCATCACTTCCAGAAGCCAGTTCAGCATTGGTATTCTCACTGGCAGGACTTCGTTTGGTGGTAAGTGATACAGAACTAGCAACACTATTAGCTAGACTTGATTGGAATCCTTCATCCAATTCGCTCTTGCTACCAGAAACAGGAGAATCTTGCTTCTTCTTTGATTTACTCTGAAGCTTCTTTGACTTCTTCTTCTTTTTCTTCCTCTTAACATCTTCATTCAAAAGTAGCAAGTCTACTTCATCTCCATTATCTTCATTTCCACTATAATGTTCGATAATTGTTTTGTGAACACCTTGAACATTAACCACACTCTCAACAATACCACTACTACGGAACAGTTGATGAGCCAAGTTCTCATATTGGAACCCCTCCGGTATTTCCATACCTCCTTGAGAACTGTTGTTTTCTCCTTCCTCTGCTCCATATTGAAACTGGTGTTGATGATCCACACCACTGTCAATATCAGCTGCATGTCGAAGAGCACCTTCTTCAGTTAAATGAATTGCTCCATATCCATTCCCAGGTGCAGGGCGATCAGGTGCAGGGATAACTTGGTCATGGATACTTGGTGAACCCGTACTACTATTGTTCTGATTATTATTACCATTATTATTATTCGCTGTTAGCTTTCCTAAAGGTGATTGAGGGTGGTAAATGTTCCCACCTGCACCAGGACTTCCATTTGGAGTCAAGTTGGTAGCTGAATGCAATCGGCCAACGGGTTTCTTGATTGTCACAAAGGTTTTGTTCGTTTCTAAAGGATTGGAAGCAGGATTTCTGGGTATCCAATTCTTAGAACTATCAACAGCTTGTAATAAAGGAGAGTTAGTGTTATAAGGTGCAGCCAAATATGGAGATCCAGAACCAGGATCACCACCAAGAGTATATTGTGGATTGGGGTGATGTAATTGGTGATGAACAGTATTATCAATTGAATTTCTCTTCGAAGATGTCAGAGCATTCTGATACAAAGTATGCAAATACTGAGTCAAGTTCCTTTTAGATAACGGGCCAGGAATTTTCCTCTTGATATTCTTATTAATATCAACATATACATCCGATTCATCGACAATTTCTTCACCAATCAACTCTTCAATCACATCTTCTAAAGTTAAGACCCCAAGTGCACCCAATGGTTCACCTGGATGTTCACTAACAACTATCATATGGGATTTACCTTCTTGGAAATAATTTAAGATGTTCAAACATGAAGTATCAGCTGACGTTTCCGGTAAAGTAGCCAATGGGAACGAAGCAACCGTCAAAGCATCTTCTGGATCATAACTAATTAAAACCCTAACCAAAAGCATCCCGATGAAATTCAGAGGTTCATTGGGTAAATGAACAGGGATACGAGAGAACCCCGCTTGAAAGATTTCATCAACAGTTTTTTCATCAAGTACTGTGTCCGCACTCATAGTATAAACTCTATCGATTGGAGTCATGATAGCACTAACAGGTTTCTCTTTTAAATCCAACACAGCACTGATGATAGTCACTTCATCTTGATTCAATCTTTCAACCCCCATAGTTTTATGTAAGGTGACCAAGGTTTTCAACCCGGACTTCTTGTACACTGTACCGTGATCTTCACCTAATAAATAGTCCAATAACATGGCAATAGGATATGCAATGGGGTACATGATATACATCAAGATCAACACAAACGGAGCAAACATAGACCCTACTTGCAAGCCATATCTAACACTAATGGATTGAGGAATGATTTCTCCAAATACAACAATGGCAGCTGTAGACGCCACTACGGCAGGCCAACCTCCACCTAAGCATCTATCTAAAACAATCGGTAAGGTTTCATTTGTAATAACATTTGATAATAAAAGAGTCACAAGTACCCAGTGTTTACCTCTATTGATTAATCTCAATACTTTTCTAGCATGTTTCCTTTCAATAGGTTCGCCAGAGGTAGCAATGACTTTCAAATAAACTTCATCTTGACCCATTAATCCAAGAGTTAATCCTGCAAACACCCCACCCGCCAAAACTAAACAAACTGATGTGGCCAAATTAATATAAAACTCCTCGCTAGTCATTGGTTCCTGTGCCTTGTGGAGGATTTGGGCTGTACTGTCGTTGTCGTGGCCATGAATGGGCAATCCATGGACTAAGCGTGTCAATACCCCTACCAAGCTCATAAGCGTAGATGCCCCACCATAGTTGGTACGAGATGTAGCTCTGTTTACTGGTAACCCTCTTCGGCTCATATACTTAGTGCAAAGGGTGATTATACGTTGATGATATCAAGTGATGATGATGAAGATGATATTTATATTAAGTTTGCCTTTGATTGGGTTAACTTAAATGTACACCACAAAGATATATGTAACCCCTCACTAATACCAGTTGGTTCGGTATTAGAATCTATAAGAAGCAATCGCTTACCAGTAAGGGTGGTTGGTTACAGTGGAATACCATTTCTCAACCAGGGTTTATTGGTTGGTGCACGCAAAAGAGCACGATGACGATGACTGCCCAAGAGTTCACAGCCTATGCAAAAGGAGGTAGTAATATGTATGAATGTGTTATGTATAATGTATGTTAGTCTATTGTCACAGGATCATCATGGCTCCCTGAGCCCTGGTACTGATCTTGACCATACCTATGTGCGTACTCACCTCTATATCTAGCCAAATAAGGACTAAGTACTTGAAGTGCAATATCAAAGGGTACTGGTGCACTTTCTGGTAGTTCAACATCAGAACCAGAGCCAGAATCTATGATGGGTATTGCATGTTGATGTATTATATCATCGTCTTCGTCGTATGCTCCTTGTATAACAGCTTCTATTTCTTCAATCATACCATCATCGTCAAATGAATCAGGATCATGATTCTGTTCGGGAAATTGTCTCTGTTCGGGAACCTGTCTCTGTTCGGGAACCTGTCTCTGTTCGGGAACCTGTCTCTGTTCGGGAACCTGTCTCTGTTCGGGAACTTGTCTCTGTTCGGGAACCTGTCTCTGCTCGGGAACTTGTCTCTGTTCGGGAACTTGTCTCTGTACTGGTAGCTTTCCCTCTAGTCTCTGCGTATGTTCATCTTCATCTTCATCTTCATCAGAAAGCAATATAACCTCTTCACTTTGACTTCGCTTCTCAATAGATTCCCGTTCACTAATGGGTCTATACTGAAACATCTCCAACAATTCTATCTTTTCCACATCTTTAGGGGTACCCTTGACAAAATAATTGAAGGAAATAGACACCGTAAGCTCCAGTAACGGGAACTTGGCATCACAGATTGGACATTTATATTCCTTACCAGAGGAAGATTTTTGTTTAGTGATATCAATAATTTTAACCGGTGAGTATAAATAGCCAGCTGCCTTTTGAAACCGTAGTAATTCTAATGCCAGTTTGGTCATGGCTCTTCGAAGCAGAAACTGAACACCTTGAGGGATCTTGTTAAACATACAGAACGAGCCATAATCAAAACATTCAAAGTGTACACAGTTATTGGATTTCACGGGTAAATCTATTCGTGCTTTACTGAGTGGATCAAGCAATGAAAAGATGATTTTGTCAATCCCCAATTCTTCCATGTCTGGATTCAAGACCTTTAATTCGTTCTCTAAGATGGGATAGATATTCGGAGGCACTTTTCGATATCCCGGTCGGATTATTTGACCTTGCGATTGATGTTGTGGCATTGCCAAAGGTTTATAGTTGTCATGGTTTGGAAAAGCAGGCACATAAACCTTCTCGTTGTTATTATCATTATCGTTAGCAGTGCGATCGGCTTGCGGTCGTTGTTCTTGCTTCAAAATAGTATTGTCATTCGGAGTATTATCATGTGGTTCATCTTGTGAGGATTCTATTAGTTGAAGATCCAATAGAACAGTTGGCGGTAGTCTTATAGCCACCTTTAGACTGGGCTTGCGAACCCGAGCAACGTTTATGATTTTCACTATTTTCCGTCGTGCCATTGTCTTATATCATATTGTAAGGAGCCTTACTATAGGGAAGCTTGTTCAATGGGAGCACACTGGAGGGAAGCATATTGAAGCACTGGCCCAGTTGGATTCGCACCAAATTTCTCAGAAAACCTCAGTCTAATAGTGCATTCACTCTACATTAGCAGTAATGCAAGATACATCATTATATACAAGAAGCTATACACTACGTAACAGATATACACTGTACACTATAAACCGAGGACTGTGGATGGGTACCGCTTATTGGTCTACAGATTCAAATTGTAAGTCTATCCCCACTGCTTCACCAAGCTCACCTGCCAATAGATTACTTAATTGAGTGCCATCTCTCAAATAGGTCCATTTTCCCCCGACCAAATCAAATCTCTTGGGCCCACTAAGAGGACTACTCAACCAGATCTGTTTGTTGGGAGGTTGTTTGTTGATGACATAGGATCCATTGGGAGGAATGGTGATGTTCAATACCCCGTGACTCAACTCAAAATCAAGTTGATCATGGTCCTCAGCTAGCAAGTCCAATTCATCGCTTATTGATTCAAGATACTCATCTGCAACACGAGAGTATTGGGAATCTGAAAGGGTGTCTATCTTTTGAGAAACATCATGTCCTTCTGTGTCTAGAACGGAAGAATAACACCGAAACTGTGGTTGAAACACATTCATTGAACGGTACCTCGACACATAATGACTTGATGGAGAGCGTAATCTTGGACATACCCGTTTCAACATTATCATGTCTCGCTGTCGTTCTGAACTATTCTATCGTATTATGATATGAACCGTGTTGTTATGTTTGTTCTGTTATAGTTTGTCTGTTCGTGTTTGTCCTGTAGACTTTGGTCCTCATCACCTCACTTTGTTGTGTGGACACTACACTTGGAACCACCACCATCCACACACATACGGTTCATCACTGTCTGCTACAACCATATGTGTAGTATTACTAAGCAGCCACTCACTAGCACCTCTACTGTCGACTATAAGTATACCGTTGCTTAGCCATATCCAGCTATTAGTACCGTGCAGTAGTTAGTTCGTATGTAATGGAATGTTCGGGTATACAAATCATTGCGACATTTAAATAACTACTCACTTTAAAATATGTACTTACACTATACTACTCGGTTCTTTAATCATGTTCTTTATCTGGCTCTTGGTGTTTGTGGTGATCGTGGTGTTCATTCTTGCGTTGCCATATGTTTCTGGTATTGCCTCCTATGACGTAGAGAGAAAGAAGAAACCAGTGCAAAAGAAGTCCGCAGTAGAACCTTCAAGAAGTATGGGTGCTCCGGTTGGATATGTGCCACCATCATTTGAGGTTAAGGACGACGCCGAAGAAGCTGCTTCCACTTCCGGAATCTCTGCATTGAAAGATAAAATGAGATTGACATCAGAAGACATACCTCTTAAATTGCATTTGAACGATTCTTCTAGCTTGAGAAGAAGAAAGACTGACAAAATCGATATGGATTCCAATCCTAACAATTACGATTACGATTTGGATGAGTTAATTGAAGAGGAATGGGATGAAAAGAAGCAGCAGTCGCAACCACAGGTAAGCTCAAAAGTGAAGTCAAGACCTGTGGCTACAAATGAAGAGGTTCGTGAATTGGTATAATAGTTAAGGCCGTTTCTATGTAATGCCGTTTCTATGTAATGCCGTTTCTATGTAATGCCTTTACTATGTACATATATATATATATATATATATAACTGTTTATTCTTGTCTCAGAGCTATGGCTTTGGCTCTCATGAGAACATTGCGCAAAAGATTGGAGTGGACAATTGTCGCTTGTTTAGTAATATATCCTTTAGTAGAACTTCTACCTCGAGAGTGAAACTCCTTTGAGGCTCGTAGCAAATTGAAATACCCTTCTTGCTCCTCCAAAATGCTTGCAGTGTATTCCTTAGTGACTTCATCTTCCAGTGATGAAAGCGCTTGCAAAAATGCATTCACAACTTGAACGTTTAATTGGCCACTAAGCTTAAGGAACCTGTTATTATTAGTGTCTTGATGCAAGTCAAGCAATTTGGTCAATAAAAGATTAAACTCTTGAAGCTCCCAATCGTTATGGACCTTCCCAAATCGACCGAATATATGAATGAAACTCCGGGTGCGAACAGGGAGGTTATACTCATTGTGCATAAGATCCATTAAATACCACACCTTACTAAAGGAATTATGAACACCTGGTGTATTGCAATAGTATTCAATAAATGGCATAAACGTTGAGCAACTGGGGTATATTTGAAATTGGTTATCGTTTACCTGTGAAATAAGCATCTTATACTTCTTAACATCGTCATATGAAAGCTGTTTATCAACCTGAACGTCTTCATGATTGCCACTGGTTTTATTGTCTCTAAGAACAAATACTTGGGTCAAAAGATCTTCAGCTAACGAAAGTTCACCAATATTTAATAGACCTTTTATTATGGAGTTAACAACATGAATGTCAATCGTTGCTCCACTGGAAACAAGTGTAGATATCCATCGACTAAACTGGCCGGGGTTAACTGCTTGTTGACCATAATGATCCAAAAGCCGCTTGAAAGTCTCGTTGTTAGGCACATATTTATCTTTATCATTGGACTTATGATTCTTCTCAATTGACCCTACCAATAACTCAATAACATCCTCTTGATTGTGTCTACTAGAATGGAACAAAAGCATGTTGATGGTCTCAATGTCAATCTGCTTTTCATCCTTCAATAATGCATTCGTGACTTTTATATTGAATTCATTATAATCAAGAGTAGACTTTGCATTCTTGTACTGCTCTTTTGCTTCAGTGATTCTGTCAACCACTTGTTTCTTATCCTTATAGAAATAATAGTAGAGAAACCTAGTTTTCTCTGCCGCTGTTAAGGCCAAATCATATTGTTGAAATTCACTTAGAATGGCTTTTGTTTGAGCAATGTAATTGTGTCTAACCCTCATCATGGCTTCAAACAGTCGGACCAATTTCTTTGGCGATTTCAAAAGATAACCATCCAATTGGTTGGGCTTAACAAAGTCTCTTCGTTCCAAAAATACGTCTATAAAAGTATTAACATCTTGAGGTCTCAAATGATATGGTCTGGGCTCAGGTAGTGCTCTATAGGCATCGTAAAGCTCGTCATGATCAACGCTTGTGGACCCTGATGACGGATACAACCTCTTAACAAACCTTGCATAAGAAATCAAATCGGGCTGAATGTAATTCTTCTTTATAGTTTCCAGTCGAATGGAGTATTCCGATGGTCTTATAGAACCAAGTGTCTTGTGCGATTGAATATATGGATATAAGTTAGGTAGATGATTTCGTGATCGTAGACAACTTATTAACGACTGTACCGGTTTCCACATGACACATGATTATTTATTACAATGTAGTGAACGCTGTATTGATCGTATCATGGAATGCAATAGTGTGAGTAACGACCAATTTGATCTAGGAACAAAAGAAATAGATATAGCAGTGGAGCAATAAATATAGTACTGTTATTATAGTGCTGCTATTATTATAGTGCTGCTATTATTATAGTACTGTTATCAATATTACTGTTATCAATAGTACTGTTATCAATAGTACTGTTATAAATAGTACTACTAGTGTAAGCAATGCTTCAGTCTTTATGCCTTCATCTACCCCATTATTGGTGCCTGTATATAGAGGTCGCGGAAATTTTTCATGAGGGAAAATTTTTCAGCCAAAGCACTGGTACAGAAACTCACCTTAAGTGAAAGGGCGACTGCTTTGTATCCACTGATATAATCCAGACGACAACGATGAAGATCCAGACCGGGGCTACTGGTGTGTACGAAAGAACATCGAGGTTCATAAAGGCCGGTGTTTTGCGGGACACTCCTGCTTGGTACACCATAGTAGGATCACATCCGCCCTTTAATGATATGACCAAGAAACAAAAGCTCTTTGAAGCTGGAGCTCAAAAGGCTGATCCGTTCAAGCAAATCAATATTAAAAAGGCCGATGGCTACTACAAAACAAGACATTCCAAAAACGATTTAAAAGTGCAACACAATTCAATTTTCAGGGTTCAAAAGTTGCAATTCATTGAAGATCAAATTAGAGATGTTTTCTACCACCAGCATCCATGGGAGTTTTCAAGACCAAAGATTTTAATTGAAAATAATGATGCTGATACTTATAAGAAATGTGACTGGTCTCACATGTTGCAATTGTACAAGCCTTTGGATGGTGAATCCGTGGTTCAAAGAACGTTATGGTTACTATCTAATTCTAAACCTACCCCGATGTCTCTTGAAGAAGCGTATGATGCTGCTCGTTTTGAGTTTTATCAATTACGTATGTCTGAAGAAATGAGTTCTACTGTTTCAAGAGAAGAATCAGAATTATTAGGAGCAGTTTATCCTACTACACACATGGAATGGGGTTTGAAACAAGAAGCTGAATATATTGATCCATGGACCGTGGCAGCAGCTGAAATGACTCAAATTAAGGAATCAGGCAAGAGTTCCAAATCTAAAGAAGGATCTATGGGGTCTGAATCTACAGTTGCCAGAGAATCTATATGGGAATCAGCCATTGTAGAAGGAGGAGAATCTTCACAATAAGAAAGACATCATTTTGAGGCACTTGTAAATAGATAGAATAATACTACGATACATTAATAAAGACGTAACAAAGAGTATGTCCACTACAATGACCTCTAAGTAATTGAGTTCCAGTCAAAACACTTTATTACAGGAAGATTGGCTTTACAGTATATAGTAATGCTACTCTTCAATCTGCTTCATTAACTACACTTCCAGCTAAACTTTCCGTCTCTTTTCACTATAAAACTATGAATATGTATTGGTTCGGCATTATGTACTTATAATAAAACATCCATGAATTCTTCATTTCAGGCCAATAACTTCTTTAGTGGTGTTCACCACCGTTGGGCTTCAATACCAACTTTTCAAATGCAACATAAGCAGTGAATGCCACAACAGCGATACCGAAACCGGGGAAAGCTGACTTGAATCTGCTAGCGCGAGAGAACTGACCCTCGTATCTCCATGCGTCTCTTTTAGCCCAAGGGTTGTGCATTTTTATTTTATCCTATGTTTTTTTTATGGCTATCTTCAACTAAGAGCCCTCTTGATTACGGTCTTTACTGGGAAAACTACAAACGTACGGTCTTTGATTTGTTAATTTTTTCGTGCGTCCGGGTAACACTTATTTTAGTTGGGGTTAGATGGGAATTTGACAGAAGTAACATAATGAAGACTACGAATGTGCTGTATGTGTAATTCAAATGTATTTGTATTAGACTACAAGAAGGTGTAAAGTGATAATTTTGTTGTGGTAGTAGATATTTCAATGCTAGTCCATTATACAACATTATTGTTCTTTAGTGACATTGTCACGTGATTGTTTTGGTAGCACTCGATTTCAGTTAGTATTAATTATTGAGTTCGAAGTCTCTCCCATGTACTGTATATATCAAGTTGTGATAAACTACCGCATTAGTGAAACAATAGCCCCATGAAACGAAAGAAGCTTTGTAGCCGTTCAAAATTGGGCAGGTGGCTTGTATCCAACTGAGTTGCTAGATCAAATGTAGAAAGTAAATTTCTTTGACCTCTTCTTTTCTTCATCTCTTTTATCAACCAACTACCTGTATTGTGCAATGACGGTTGGTGACAATAACTCCGAAAATGATGGTGTACTCCGTCAAATTATCACTGGTGACATTGAAGAGGTTCTCAGTAACCATGAATTAGATCTAAGTGATAGTGAAGATGAAGATCATTTCATTCGTAAATATGGAGATATTCAGTATCAATATATCAAAAGACCTCGTGAGTCTGTATGGTTTATTAGACCACACGCTTTAAACTACTTTATGGATGGTGTATTATATCGTACTAAAGGTGAACGTTCATCCGCTAAAACAGAATTGTTTTTGGACTTACTTTATGTAGGTATCATTGCTAACTTGGCAGGTGCTGCTTCAGAAGCAGCTACGTTTGAAGCATTATTGAAGTATATTCTTTTATTCCTACCAGCTTGGGTAGTGTGGGCAGACATTAAGGACTTTACCAATTACTACTACAACGAAGATCTTCTGCAAAGATTATATATTTTTTGGATCATTACTGTATTGGCTTTTTATGCCAATAATGCTCATAAAGTGTGGGACGGTGTTCATGGAGGGGCACTCACTTATGTTCCCTATATGGTTTGTCGTCTTCTGTTGGCCATTAGTTTGCTTATTTATTCCTTCTACATTCCTCAACATCGTGCCCAACTGCGTGTCTATTCTTTTACTATCTTTATAACTTCGGCCCTATGGATCCCAATTATCTTCTTCAACCCATTGGGTAAGAAAATTGCCTCGGCCGTTTTATTGGTGTTGGAACAAGTTTGCTTTTCTGTTTGCTATTCTCCGTGGTTTAAGAAGAAGTTGAATTTGCGTACTTCTACAGCTTTAAACATTGAACATGAAGTTGAACGGTTCTCAGCTTTTGTCACCATTGCTATTGGAGAATTCTTATATAAAGTGGTAGCTTCCAATCCATTAGGTGTTGGGTTCAACCCAAAGTTTCTTAGAGGTGTTTTCTTATTACTCATTGCTTATACCTTTGCATGGCTTTATAATCATGGTTCAACTTCGAAAAAGGCTATACATCCTTTAAGACACCTGGCTACTAGGGCTATTTCTTGGATCTACTTTCATATTCCATTAATTGCGGCCTTGATCCTTGCAGCTGATGCAGGTGGTGACTTCTGTGAACTTGATGAAACTGATATTTGGGCAATCCTTGTGGAAGGAGAAGAACATGAACATCGGAGTCTTCATAAATTGGCTCTATTCTTTTCCGGCGGATTGGGAGTTGCATTATTCTCGTTATTCATTATTGGACTCTTGGATGTTCCTAAAGATCCAGCTGGCTTGCACATTATTCCTCGGACACCAAGAATTGCTCTTCGTCTTCCTGTGGCCGTAATCTTTATCGGTCTTCCCTTTGCTCATATTAGTTCTACATTACTTATGGGTATCTGTGCATTACTTCTTACAATAATCGTGGTGTTTGAAAGTATAGTAAGCACTCCCAAGGAATGTTTATGGAGACCTTCTATACAATTAGCAGATGATCATTGTGAATGATCATTACTGAACATTATATTACGATTACTATATTACCATAGTGTTGCTTGTACTATATGCTTATACCTACGTCTTTGTAACGCAACTAACTTAAATCATACGGTGCCTTTGTGTTCGTTTCATTTGGCGCTACCATCAGTATCAAAATTCTCAAGGGAAGAAAACAAGTTGCTAAATTTCACCATACTAAACTCTCTCTTTTAGACATCAATTGTAAGCGGTTACCTTTGTCGTAATGTCAACGAACGTAAGTAGCCTATAAGTTGGTACTATGGGTTTGCAATTAATCGAAATACTAACTCTTTTTTACAGCCGAACGAGGTATTGTTCCCTCCGGAACAGGTACCTGCTGGTCAACCTCCTATAAAGGAGCAAAAGGAGCCTGAATTGGTGCCTTCACCCAATTATGATCTTTCTCAAGCTACAACCAAACCAGTTCCAAGACTTTCTGTCGAACCAACCTATAGAGGCTGGAAAGAAGTTGGAGGTTGGGAACATGATGATGTTTTAACTGCTGAAGATGAATCAATTGATTTATTGGCTAAAACAACTGTTTTCGATAATCTTCTTCCTCCAGTCATTTATGGGGATTGGTATCATAACGTGGGGTATTTAATTGTTGGTGCCTTACTTTCTTGGATTATTGGTTGGTTCCGGTTTTCAACTGCTCCCTTATTCTTTGTGGCTATCACTTTCTCCATCTTGTATCGTGCTTCTGTAAGAAAGTATAGAACAAATTTAAGACATTTGGCCCAAAGAGAATTCACTGTTAGACAAATTGAAAATGATTATGAGACTATGGATTGGTTGAATATCTTTTTGGAAAAATTCTGGTACTTTTTGGAACCTTCAGTTTCCCAAATTGTTTGTGACCAAGTTAACCCAATCTTAGCTTCTTCCCCTGCCCCTGGTTTCATAAAGAAATTGTGGATTGACTCGTTCACTGCTGGTACAAAACCTCCTCGCATTGACTTTGTTAAGACCTTACCTGGTACTGATGAAGATGTAGTGGTTATGGATTGGATTTGTTCTTTCACTCCTAACAACTTGACTGATTCCAATGGTAAGCAAATGAAAAATAACGTTAACCAAAAGATTGTCGTCAAGGCTGATTTATTTGGTATCCCTATTCCTGTTTCTGTATCAGACATTTCCTTTAGATCCTCGTTAAGGGTTCGTATGAGAATGATGTCTGCCTTCCCTCATATTGAAACCATTAACGTAACTTTACTTGAAGCTCCAGATTTTGATTTCAACTGTCAATTGTTTGGTGATACGATCTTTAACTCAGAAGTTTTGAATTTCCCTGGATTGTACCCACTTATTCATCAAATGGTTAAGAAATACGCTGGTCCAATCTTGTTCACTCCAATTTCTTTCCAATTAAATGTTCAACAACTTATGGCTGGTCATTCTTTGAATTCTGCTATTGGTGTCTTGGGTGTCACTGTTAAGAGTGCAAAGGGACTTAAATCCTTTGCCAATGTTGGTGGTACTTTGGATCCTTACTTGACCATGGGTTTCAATAATGTTGTCCTTGCTCAAACTCCAAACAAGAGTAGCACAAGAAGTCCAGTTTGGAATGAAACGTTTTACTTTCCTATTTCTTCCTTGTCTGAACCTTTGGAAATTAACGTGTTTGACAAAAATAAGACTATTGCTGATACAATGTTTGGTGGTATTCAATTGGACTTGTATCTGATGCGTGATAACAAGACTCAAGACTTCACTTCCTCTTTTATTAGAAATAACAAAGTTGTTGGTGAATTGCTGTACTCCTTACAGTTTATGCCTTCCCTTGAAGCACAGAGACAACCAGATGGTGCAGTTATTCCACCTCCTGATTTGAACACCGGTATTGCCTTAATCAACGTTTCAACTGCTAAGCGTTTGAAGGGAGTTAAACCTGATACACCTCCAAATACTTATGTTGAATTGTGGGTTAATAACGAATTAGTATCCACTTCTAAGACATTTAAAAAGAATGCCAATCCTGCTTATAATGTTTCTAAGGAAATGATTATTGAACACAGAGCTAAATCAAGAGTTAAACTTGTATTGAAGAGCAGTGACAATGATAAGGTTATGGGTACTATTCGTAGTACCTTAAATAACCTTATTGATGGTACCCAAGTTGGTCAAACCTGGCAACCATTTGCTAACGGTGGAGAAGTTCAAATTCTGACTTCTTGGAAACCAGTTGAATTGGACTATGTCACCAGTACAGGTGGATATACTCCTCCAATTGGTGTTGTCAGAGTGTGCGTTAAAAAGGCTGAAGATTTGCGTAACTTGGAAACCATTGGTAAGGTTGATCCATATGTTAGACTTCTTGTGAACGGTATTCAAAGAGGTAGAACTGCAGCTGCTGATTCGACTTTGAACCCAACTTGGAATGAAGTTCACTATATTACTGTGTCATCTCCTAATCAACGGTTGAATATTGAAGTGATGGATGTTGAAGCCCACTCACCCGATCGGACCTTAGGTAGCTTTAATGTCGGTCTTAGTGAAATTATTCATAGAGATGATAAGGGTAATTACATTGAGTATGTTGATTCAGAAGACAGAGAAGGTAAGTTAATTCATAAAAAGGGACCAAAAGGTGTTGTTACTTATGAATTATCATTCTTTCCCGTTAAGCCAGTTATGTCTTTGGAAGATTTGAAGTATGAAGAAATTGCAAAGGCTAAGGAGGAAGAATTGAGGAAGAAGAAACAAGAGGAATTGGCTAAACAAGGAGGTGATGCCAAGACTGCCACTGTTGATGATACTGCGGAAGTGGAAGATTTTGTTGACACAAGTAAAGCACATTTGTCATTGGAGCAATTACTTGAATATACTAGTGGTGTGCTTGTGTTTGAATTCTCTAACATCCTGTTAGTAAAGGATGGCTGTTATCTTCAAGCGTACTTTGATACTCATGGTCATGCTGATTATACTTCTCAGAAATTCAAGAGCAAAAGAATTGATGTTGGTACCACTGGTGATGTGATCATCAATGAATTGGAATGGTCTTCTGCAATGTTTAGACTTGTTAAGAAGGAAGGTGCCAACAGAGCCGAAAAGAGTCTTGCTGAAATAACAGTGCCAACTATGCAATTGTTGAAGAATGGGTACCATAAACCATTCACTCTTGACTTGAATGGATCCAGAGTCGATGTTCAAGTGCAATGGATTCCAATTGTTTATGCCACTCAATTCCCAATTCAAGACTCATTCAAGAACTGTGGTGTCTTGACTGCAGAAGTTTTAAGAGCTACTGATTTGGTTGCATCTGATAGGAACGGTAAATCAGATCCATACATTAAGTTATATTTGAACTCCGAAAGTGATAACTTTTTGAAGACCAAAACAATCAAAAAGGATCTTAATCCTACTTGGAATACTTTTGAAACAGTCAAGGTTTTCAACTTACATGATGCTACCATTAAGGTTGTTTGTATGGATTGGGACATGGCTGATGATGATGATCTTATAGGTACTGGAATAGTTGAAATGAAGAATGTCAAATTGGGCGAAGAGGTTGGTGTTCCCTTAACTTTTGAAGAAGAAGGTGATGGTGGTGTTGCTTATTTGAGATTTTCCTTCAAACCAGAAATCTTATTCAATGCCAGAGCTGCTACCACTACACCCTTTGGTGTTGCCTCGGGTGTTGGTTTAGGAGCAGTCAAAGGTGTTGGGAAAGGTGTTGAAGGTGTTGGTAAAGTCGGAAAGGGTATTGGTGGTGTTCTTTTGAAGCCCTTCGGGAAGAAGGACAAAGATAAGGATAATGACTGATTTTGTGTAACTGATTTAGTAACTTCAACCAATTTTTGCAGCAATTTTGCATCAACTTTTCAGCAATTTCACTAACATTTGAATATAAGTTGAATGCTTATTTGACCACCGTGTTATTTAATGCTCAAGCATAATAGCATATCAAAAATATGTAGCATTGTGCAAATTTACAATTGTAAAAAGATCATGTACTTTAAGTGTCGCATGTACAGCTGCATACCATTAAATCAATGGTTTATAAGAGGACAACTGAATATGCCGTGAAAAGTAGATATGAAAACTGATATTAAGAGAAAACTGATATTATCTCTTTGTTAGTATCCAATGTTACTTCCTACCACCACCACTGCTACTACTAGTGTTAGTGCTGAGAGTGCTCTTCTGGCATGTGGAGCTCAAGGTAGCACAGCACTGATGATGGTTCCATTTGAACCACTTTCTCCTGTAAATTGCTCGACGCCAGAGATACGATTGGTTCATAGTGAACTAGCAGCATATCAGATGTCAGACATTGATGTAGTGACAGCAGGCACATGGACTGCCACCACTGTTTCATCGACAACTACTGCAGCAGGAGCAGTAAAAACTGCTTCAGTTGGCAACTCTATACACTCTGCCTCCACCAACTCTTCGTTGGCTACGGCCACCATGATGGACAGCGACAACGTACACTACACCAGTATCCATGAAAACGGAGCAGTGTTCAGACAGTTTGAGGATCTCGGGGATTTTTTCCGGTCGACTTTATACAAGGAGATACGTAAGGGGAAGCAAAAGACCCAACTCGGTATTCATTTAAAGAAGAAGAACGTCGCTTATCTTTTCGACCCTGCAGCGAACGATTTCCAAAGCGATGGTAGTTGGTGGTCGTCACCAAGCAACAATAATGTTCCCATCAACTTTCTTGAAGTTGACTATGGCAAGGCAAACAGCCAAACTGTCTATGACTTCCCCATCTCATTGTGTGCGCTGTCCATCCACGGCGAGGGAGGCACATACGAAATGAGTAACACACTCACTCGAGGTCTTCACGTGAACATCGGACCTTCGTTTGGTGCCACACTAGTACTATTGTCGTCGAGGATGCAAGGGGGAATTGGAGGAGTTAGTACGGATTTAAGTACTTCTGGAGGCATTTCGTGTGAGTTACCTAAACAGGGAAAGCTTCAAGTCTTTGTTGATCTTCCCTTTGTTTCCTTCCCCGAGGCAAGAAAGCGGGACGTTGTTATTTTGAATAAGAAGATAGATTCCCAAGGAAAATGGTCCAAATTGAAGCCTACAGTCCAAGAGCGTTCTTCATTGGGTACGCTCTTGTTTAACTTAGCGGAATTCCCCACTCCAAAATGTGTTGATGATCCTGCTAAGCTCCAATGCTCTGCTAATAAGTCGGTTGTAGGTAACGCATATGAAGCAGCTAAGAGGTTAACATAAGTAGGTTCAACACAGGTTGTTAATTTTATATAGTATTTGTGTGCTCACTTAAAGAGAAAACCCACCTAGCTAGGGCTTTGATATGACTTCTTGCAAGTAACCCAGCCAGACGAAGAAAAGAAGGAAGGAAAGCAAGAACTACGCAGAACCAGTAATGGACGTAACAAGCTTTAAATATAAAATCACGATTGGCTGAGTACTACTTAAGCAATGACGCAGAGCAGCCATTATCAATTTTAGTAAGTATTAGAAGTTGATTGAGATGATGAAGGGAAGAAATCGTGGCTGATCATTAGTGAAAACCCCTCTGTATTCAAAGTCATATACATAGGTATGATCTCTTTGGTGTGAATTACAATTTAGCGTCTTGCAACGTTCAAGTTGCCTAATTGGTACACTTCAATTAATATAATTAATTGCCAAGATTAAGATCTTGTACAAACACAAGTGAAGCTTCACATATCAACACGTTTGATTGTTACTGTTCTACTTCTTGTTACTATTCCATCCAATAGTTTATCCGTACGGCAGGGAATTTGCCTCCGTAAACGAAGCAAAAGACCTGTGCAGATAATAATACATTCCCACACGTAAAAATTATTGAGTTAATTTGATATTTACATTTCGTTTATATATTTATAGCTTTCTTGGCTGGAGGCAGATATGAAGTTTAATCGGTAAAGTACTCAAGTACCAACTAACATAGAGATAAACAGTCGTAGATCTTACAGGATTAATTTTTTTCTATATATAAATTGCGTCCTCCCTCTCTCTTTTTTCCCAAATATTTCTTCCTCTTTTCTTTTCCACAATTTCATGTTTATACATAGTATACATACTGGTCACATCTTATACTGGTAAGCCGTATACTGGTTAAGCCGTATACTGGTTACATTGCCCTCATCTTGGTACTTCACATTCATATTGATATGTTGGTGTATGTTTAGGCAAAACCATGGATCTTATTACAAGCTCTAATCTTAATTCTACTATCATTGATATAATGATTTACACTACGTCACACCTAACATCCCTTCTATTTGATACTGTTGATATACCGCCATAATGGTTGCAAAACTGTTCAATTACTTTTGTTAATCACGTGACTAGCTTCGTGATGATCATAATATTATATGCAGTATAAGCTGCTCGAAGAGATGAGTTGAAAAAAAAAAATCAATTGTATCTCAATCCAAAGGTTCAGCTTCCTTCAATAGTTCACCAACACGGAAGAGGTAATAAACAGTCATGGATATTTCTAAACCCGTGGGGTCTAAGATATCTTCTGTGGACTTTGGTATCTTGTCTGCTGAGGAAATCAAAAGACTATCAGCTAAGCAAATAACAAACCCTACTGTGTTTGACAATTTGGGTCATCCCATCAACTCTGGTCTTTACGATTTGGCACTTGGAGCTTTCCTTAGAAACCTTTGTACCACTTGTGGGTTAGATGAAAAGTTCTGTCCTGGTCATCAAGGCCACATTGAGTTGCCAGTGCCTGTTTACAACCCTTTATTTTTCAATCAATTGTACATCTATTTGAGAAGTGTTTGTCTTTATTGTCATCATTTTAGATTACATGCCTTGGAAGTTCATCGTTATACTTGTAAGTTGAAATTGATTCAACATGGTCTTCTTTTAGAATGTGAAGAATTGGACAATATGCTTGTTAAGGGAAGTCCTTCTGCTGACGATGATGAAGAAACTATCTCATCAAAGACTTCTGACCCGGAAGCCAAAAAAGAATTGATGGAACGTCGTGAGTTGTTTGTTGATACCGCAATTGCAAAGGCCATCAGCGAAGGTAAAAGCTCCGAATATGGTGTTGTCACTGCTACTTGTAATGAAGAAAGAAAAAACACTATTCACGAATTCTACAAAAGATTGTTGAGTAGACCAAAGTGTGACAACTGTAGCATGTATTCTCCATCGTTTAGAAAAGATGGTTTTACAAAGATTTTTGAAAATGCTTTAACCAGTAAGCAAATCACCAACAATAGAGTTAAGGGGTTACTTCGTCCTACCATGTTGAAAGGTGGTAAGACATCTACTACTTCCACTACACCATCATCTGATTCAAATGAAAGCTTACCCAATATAAAACATAAGAGTGGTTCTAAGTATATTTTGTCTACTGAAGTTAGAAACATCTTGAGAGCTGTTTTTGAAAATGAACAATCAGTTATTCAGAAATTGTTCAATGCCAGACCTCATAAGACAACAAAGATTGAAGCTGACATATTTTTCATTCTGGCATTAGTTGTTCCTCCAACGAGATTCAGATTACCATCTAAATTGGGTGATGAAATCCATGAAAACTCTCAAAACGAGTTGCTTTCAAACATTTTGAAAACCTGCTTATTGATTAGAGACTTGAATGATCAAATTTCTAATTTGCAAAAGGGCAAACTACCTGTGGAAGAAAGAAAAATTGTATTCAACAGATTGATGAACTCATTTGTTACTATTCAGAATGATGTTAATGCTTTTATTGATTCCACCAAGAACCAAAATGCTCAAGCTGGTAAGTTACCTAATCCTGGTATCAAACAAGCTTTAGAAAAGAAGGAAGGTTTATTCAGAAAGCACATGATGGGTAAGAGAGTCAACTATGCTGCTCGTTCTGTTATTTCTCCTGATCCCATGTTGGAAACCAATGAAATTGGTGTTCCTCCAGTTTTCGCTAAGAAGTTGACATACCCTGAACCAGTGACTGCTCATAATGCAAGTGAATTGAGACAAGCTGTTATTAATGGTCCTGACCAATGGCCTGGTGCAGTTCAAGTTCAAAATGAAGATGGATCTTTAGTTTCTTTAATTGGTATGACTTTAGAACAAAGAAAGACTGTTGCTAACCAATTGTTAACCCCATCAAATGGTGCAAGTGTCATTAATAAGAAGGTTTACAGACATATTAAGAACAAGGATATTGTCATCATGAATCGTCAACCAACTTTGCATAAGGCTTCCATGATGGGTCATAAGGTTAGAGTTTTACCTGGTGAAAAGACTTTGCGTTTGCATTATGCTAATACTGGTGCTTATAATGCTGATTTTGATGGTGATGAAATGAACATGCATTTCCCTCAAAATGAGAATGCTAAAGCTGAAGCCTTGAATTTGGCCAACACTGACTCTCAATATTTGACTCCCACCTCTGGTTCTCCATTAAGAGGTTTGATTCAAGATCACATTTCGGCTGGTGTTTGGTTAACGAGTAAAGACAGTTTCTTTGATAAGCAAACATACCAACAATTGATTTATGGTTGTATTCGTCCCGAAGATGGACATACTTTAAAATCAAGAATCATAACCGTTCCTCCTGCTGTTTTCAAACCTCAACAGTTGTGGACTGGTAAGCAAATCATCACCACTATTTTGTTGAATATAAAACCTGAAAACGTCCCTGGTATTAATTTGACGTCAAAGAACAAAATTAAAAATGACTATTGGGGTCAAGGTTCCAAAGAAAATGAAGTTATTTTCAAGAATGGTGAATTATTATGTGGTATCTTGGATAAATCTCAATATGGTGCCTCTCAATTTGGTATTGTTCACTCTTTGCATGAAGTTTATGGTCCCACCATTGCTGGTAAATCTCTTTCAATTTTAGGTAGGTTGTTCACAAACTACATCATGATGACCGCCTTTACTTGTGGTATGGATGATTTAAGATTAACTGATGAAGGTAATTCATGGAGAAGCGAAATCTTGAAACAATCTGTTGATATCGGTAGATCAGCAGCTGCTGAGGTGACAAACTTGGATAAGGACACTACAAACAAAGATCCTGAATTATTGAAAAGATTAGAAGAAATCTTACGTGATGATAACAAGTTGGGTATTCTTGATGCAGTGACACAATCCAAGGTCAATGCTATTACTTCTCAAGTTGTTTCTAAATGTGTTCCAAATGGAACAATGAAACGGTTCCCTTACAATTCTATGCAAGCGATGGCATTGTCTGGTGCTAAGGGTTCCAATGTTAACGTTTCCCAAATTATGTGTTTGTTAGGTCAACAAGCATTGGAGGGTAGAAGAGTACCTGTTATGGTTTCTGGTAAAACACTTCCTTCTTTCAAACCTTTTGAAACAGATGCTAGAGCTGGTGGTTACATTAAGGGGCGTTTCTATTCAGGTATCAGACCTCAGGAATATTATTTCCATTGTATGGCTGGTAGAGAAGGGTTAATTGATACTGCCGTTAAAACTTCCAGATCTGGTTATTTACAACGTTGTTTGACAAAACAATTAGAAGGTGTTCATGTTTCATATGATAACTCTGTTAGAGATGGCGATGGAGAATTGATTCAATTCCTTTATGGTGGTGATTCAATTGATGTTACCAAACAATCACACATGAACCAGTTTAAATTCTGTCTTGAAAATTATGAATCATTATTAACCAAATATAATCCTGGTGAATTGGGTGAAAACTTGGATACTGATACTGCTATTTCTTATGCTAAAAAGGTGAAGAAGAATATGAAGAAACAAATTGAATTACCTCACTATGAACAACATATTAAATATGATCCTGTGTTATCTAAGTATAACCCTGCCAAATATTTGGGTGCTGTTTCTGAAAAATTCCAAGATAGCTTAGACTCATTTATTGCAAAGAATGAAAAGCTCTTTGATAAGAAAACAGGTATTATTGGGGAGAAGAAGTTCCGTGCATTGATGCAATTGAAGTATATGAGATCTTTAATTAACCCTGGTGAATCTGTTGGTATCATTGCATCTCAATCTATTGGTGAACCATCCACTCAAATGACCTTAAACACTTTCCATTTTGCTGGTCATGGTGCTGCTAATGTGACATTGGGTATTCCTCGTATGAGAGAGATCATTATGACTGCTTCTTCTGCAATTAAGACTCCACAAATGACATTACCAATTTTAGATGACGTCAATGATGAACAAGCTGATTCATTCTGTAAATCGATTGCCAGAGTTGTCTTGAGTGAATTTATTGATACTATTATTGTTACTGAAACCACCAGTGATAACAGTAGATCATACAAGGTTACCTTGAAATTCTATTCCAAGGAAGAATATGAGCAAGAATACGACATCTCTCAAGAACACTTGGAAAATGTATTAACTACCAAATTCTTGGTTGCTTTAGAGACTGCCATCATGAAGGAAGTCAAAAAGCAGAAGAAATCAGATTCATTACCAAGTATTGGGAAGGCATTACCTGCTCAAGACGCCAATGGCGGATCTATTGAAGATGATAACGATGCCGATAATGATAAGATTAAGAGTAATGGTAAACAGGCTATTTCTTATGATGGACCTGATGATGATGAAGTTGAGACCATGAAGAAGGCTGAAGAAACCAGTGACGAAGAGATGGCAGATGATGATGATTCATCTGACTCGGACTCGGACTCGGATTCTGACTCGGATTCTGAAGATGACTCTGGTTCCGATGTTGAAATGGTTGATGCTGAAGCTAAGGAAAAACCAAAGACTCAGAAGAAGAAGAAGAAGGTTGATTTGAACCGTAATGCTAAGGACCGACAAGCAGAAGTAATCACTGCCCATAACTTGGTTACCAAGTTCAATTTCGATGATGCCAATGGTGAATGGTGTGAGTTTGGATTGGAATTAAGTGGAAACATTCAAAAGTTATTGATGGTTAACATTTTGGAAGATTTATGTCGTAAATTGGTTGTACGGGAAATCCCACATATTGGTAGATGTGTTCATCCTCAAGCTGGAGCTGGAGGTAATGGACGTCGGATTCTAACTACTGAAGGTGTTAATTTCCAAGCCATGTGGGATCAAGATGATTTCATTGGAGTCAACGGTATTACATCTAACGACATTTCTGCAGTATTAAAGACATATGGGGTTGAAGCTGCTCGTAATACTATTGTCAATGAAATCAATAATGTTTTCTCTACATATGCCATTACTGTTTCGTCGAGACATTTGGAGTTAATTGCTGATATGATGACGAGAGAAGGTTCATATCTTGCGTTTAATAGACAAGGTATGGATAGTGCGACATCATCATTTATGAAAATGTCGTATGAAACAACATGTCAATTCTTAACCAAGGCAGTTTTAGATGGAGAAACTGAAGATTTGGATAGTCCCTCTGCAGCCATTGTTATGGGTAAGTTGGCTAACGTGGGTACGGGATCATTTGATATATTTACCAAGATGCCCAAGGTATAAACAAGAGTGTACTTTTTATTAAGTGTAAATAGAAATGAAGTATAAAGAAAAAAAAAAGTCGTAAAAGCCTGTCGTATATCAAACATTGAAGGCAGCAATTAAGAAACTGGAAACAAACGATAATTTAAAACTTGGATTGGATAAAACCAAATCTTTTAATTCAATGTTCTCCGTTCCAACCCGGATAAACTTTTTCCAGGGGATCACCACTATATTGTTTGCTTCAAGAAACTGTACTAAGAAATAAGAAGCAAGCGAAAGGAACACCAACGCAGAACTAAACTTACCAATCACAACTCCTAAAATAAGACCTGTCACAGATCCAATACACAATTCTCTATAGTTTAAATAAGACCGGAGTCTAGACTTGGTCTGTTGTAATCTTTCTTCTTGGTATTGGATTGACTTTCTGCTTTTGTCAAGGTTAATCTCCATAGGCATAACAGAATCATTTCTCAAATATCCACCACCACTGGCCAAAGATGAATACGAGACAAACGCAATAGACGATGCAAGTATCAAACGAGGATAAAACGATACAGACGACGATATAGACGATGTTGATACTCTTCTACTTGTGTTTGTAAATATTTGTCTTGTGCTGTTGCTGAAGAACCTGGGGGTAGAGGCGGGGCTTCGGATAGTGTTCAAGAGTTGGCTTCGGATAGCGGAGTACCCCGACTTGAACGTAGCTTGATTTATTAAATTGACTTGAAACATAGCAGAGTATACAATTGAGTAGCAGTAGTAGTAGTAGTAGTAGTAGTAGTAGAAGTAGTAGTAGTAGTAGTAGTAGTAGTAGTGTTGCTGTGAAACTTGTGGGTCCAACAAATCTCATGAATGACGATTACGTTGAGTCCTGCATACACGTGTTGAATATACATACATATACCCAACTTATTCCATCGCTATGTACATACATTAAATTATACAATCTTTATACTATTATCATTGATCACGTGTATCATTTCTCAGGAACCAGTAACCCAACCATATTTGCTGTCTTGCGTACATTTTCTTCTTGATCCATTGAAAGCCCTGGATTGTATCTCTCAAGCAACTCAGAGTATTTCCATTGTGACCTCAAGAATGTCGCTATGTTATCAAGATTCTCCAAGTGATACTTTTCCATGTGACTACCACCATCTTCAGATTCGCTAATCAACAGACGTAAAAGCTCATTATCAACTGTTGGTGCAGGGGGCTCTTGAGTTTCTAATTGCTTTAATTTTTCATCAATATCTTTGGTAGGTTGTCTTGCTTTAATAAGTTGAAGCTTCTTATATGTTAAAAGTGCTTTTTCCCTCTCGACTTCTTTGCTGTGGTGAAGAAGATTTGACTTCTTACTGATGGAAAGAAGCTCGTGTTGTAAGTTCTTGTAAAGTGTACGAAATGACATTTATGTATATAGTAACTAAGTACAGCTCTACATCTTAATTTCAGTTTGATAATTTTATGAAAATGTTATGTATTGGTATATGCACGTCCGTCTTTGTTTTGGTGCTGGGGTGTTTCGGTGTATGGGACTAGGATATATTTTCGCGGTTCGGAGAACGGACTTTATTATTTGAGGTGTTTTGGCATTTCTTTTAGTGTACTGCACATAAGTAGGCTACCACGGAGTTGGCGAGGGGAAGTTATTGGGGATCTTTAGGATTTGGCCAATCAGAATAACTTATTCAACACCACCAAGGATCGGCACCGAGATTTTAGACTCGGTGCGCTACCATGTAAACTGTTGCAAAAAGTCTATTGAATCTACCAAATGATACAACGCATAAATGACTACATGTTAATTGCCATTGCTTACAATCACACGTTTTGTCAATCTTGTGCCCATGAGAAACTGAATAAGACCCGTATTCGTGCTACTTATGAGATACTATTACCTTGACTTTGAATTCATATACGGGAAATATATTAGGTGAAAACGATGGAAAAAAAAACTTCGCATTGTCGGCCTGACACAAAATTGTTATAAAGCGCTTATGGTAGCGCCCCTCAGTGGAAGGAGATTTTCCCCTGGGTCAGAATCAACATCCAGATGATTTGATGAACAATTCTTCCTCTTCTTCTTCTTCCTCATCTGGGTTTACATTATTGTGGTTACTGTTAGTGCAATCATCTGATTCTACACTGTGTGTTAAGATCTCCAATTGACCAATCAAAAGAAACTAGTGTTTGTGGATTTCCATTTACTGCTATTAGAAAAGTATTGACCATAGTAAACCAAATATAATAATGTTCAGAGTATGTATCAAAAGTCATGAACAAGATTGAAATTGATTAAAAGGATGGAGGAAATGAATAAATAAATATGATGTATCAATTTTCAAGCTTTATGTTACTTTTATTTTCAATGCTAACGATTAATCTTTAGACTTCTATTCGTTCCTTGGCTACTTTTGTATCCCCTGAAGCCGTCTTACCAAAGAAGTACGGTGGAAAGTACACCGTCACTTTGATTCCTGGTGATGGTATCGGTAAAGAAATCACTGACTCTGTCAAAACTATTTTTGCCGACCAAAGAGTCCCAATCGATTGGGAAGTTGTCGATGTTTCCGGTGTTGAGGGTGGTTCTGTTGATGAAGCTGTCTTGTCTTTGAAGAGAAACAAGGTTGGTTTAAAGGGTATTCTTTATACTCCTTCTGACAAATCTGGTAAGTCTTTGAACGTTGCCTTGAGAAAGGAATTAGATATCTATGCTTCTTTGGTTCTTATCAAGAACATCCCTGGTGTTAAGTCAAGATTGGACGGTATTGATTTTGCCTTGGTCAGAGAAAACACTGAAGGTGAATACTCTGGTTTGGAACATCAATCTTACCCTGGTGTTGTTGAATCTTTGAAGATCATGACCAGATTCAAGTCTGAAAGAATTGCCAAGTTTGCCTTTGACTTTGCTAAGAAGAACAACAGAAAGTTGGTCACTGCTATCCACAAGGCTAACATTATGAAGTTGGGTGATGGTTTATTCAGACAAACCGTTAAAGATGTTGGTCAAGACTACCCCGGTGTTGAAGTTAACGACTTGATTGTCGACAATGCATCCATGCAAGCTGTTGCCAAGCCTCAACAATTTGATGTTTTGGTTACTCCTAACTTGTACGGTACCATCTTATCTAACATTGGTGCTGCATTGATTGGTGGTCCAGGTTTAGTTCCTGGTGCTAACTTTGGTAGAGAATACGCTGTTTTCGAACCAGGTTGTAGACACGTTGGTTTGGACATTAAGGGTCAAAACACTGCTAACCCAACTGCCATGATTTTGTCTGCTTGTATGATGTTGAGACACTTGGGTTTGAATGAACAAGCTGATAAGATCTCTAAGGCTACTTACGATGTCATTGCTGAAGGTTCCGTTAGAACAAAGGATATTGGTGGTGCTTCTTCTACTACTGACTTCACTTCAGCTATTTTATCCAAGTTGAACGCTTAAATGCATATTTATAAGGGTTTACTAATGGTTTTGAATCTGTACTTAGTTCGCATCTCATCACTATTACTATACCCTTTTAATTCCATTTGTTATAATCTGTTTAATTAGATGTGCGAAGACTTATTGTAAAAAGAAATTGTGATATAGCATCGAATGTATGGCTCGTCTTTTAGAATACAACTATTGTAGATAACTCAACCGTTAACATCAAGGCTGTTGGCATTTTGGAAATACAAAAAAGAAGAGCTTGATTTCGCCCAGGATCGAACTGGGGACGTTCTGCGTGTTAAGCAGATGCCATAACCAACTAGACCACGAAACCATCTCTTGAGATAAAAAAGGCCACAGTACTTCAAGCCATGTATTTGCGACTGTCATTTACTACCTGCTAGTTTCTACCATGCTTAACACTGAGTGATAGACAGTAGTATGTGGTGTGCCACACACAGCTGGCAGGTTGGATCTCATCAAAGTAGTATGTTCCTTGCTTTATAGCTATACGATATATTTAAATAAAAATGTACTACGTTGACATGCAAACAAGGGATTATAATAATAATAATGTAATTAGGGCTGCGATCTGTCTGCGGTTTTAACTACTAACTCCGCATCAAACCGAACTCATTCACTTACCGCCATAAATGATGGCCAAGACCCGATATTTCGCAACAATTCAATTTCTTATCACATTACTTGTTACACTTGTAGATAAGTCTCCACCGGAGAATCCAATTCCTTATTCCTTAATATTTTGGTTGTGTGTGTGGTTGATCATTTCGCGTTGAATGTGGGGTGGTTAGGTAGAAATTGACAAGATCTTGAGGGGAACGAAACTGATTTTTTGCAAGATAAGTGAAAGAACACAATGTCATAGTACATATGAAGACTAAAGATGCCATGTATAGCATTGCTCTATACTTTATACTTTTGTATGTAATGAATTAATGTACTCATGCTTGTTCTGCTAATGCAGCCTTTGACTGTGAAGAGTCCAAGTATACGTGGTAGAAACACATTTTTGTCAATGAATTATCACTAAATCTAGCATAGGCAGACCACTCTGTTAACAACTCTTTATCATTTACAAGTAAATAAAGAACGGTTCCTGTCCATAAGAACTCTGTAGCACTCAATTGAGCCACATCTTGTACTTGATGTTTCATCTGTTTAACCCTGACCCATAACCCCTGGCGTAATGCTTGAATTCTCGTAAGTCCGATGACTTCATTCAATGCTACTTTGAGGTATGCATCCTCAGTAAAATATTCAAGATAAGGATCTGGTGTCGATGTAGGTGGTGGAGTATCAGAAGCACTGTAGAAGTCGTGGATGAATTTCTCCAACTTGGTCACTGTTGTCGAGTCAATTGAAGAAGCAAACCTCTCCACATTGTAAGTTGAAGACATGTGAAATAATGCTATTATCTGTCAGTATTGGAAAGTATTAGTGACCTCCACAGTTGAACTAGTGACCTTTTAACGGAAATACAAACAATACCCTCAAATATGTCAAAATGTACTAATATTCCCCTAGTCGTGTGTGTCAGGAGATTGCGGCGCTACCTGTGATTACTTGCAACTCATGAGTACGGCACGCAGATAAGGCCTTTGATCAAATATTGTCTCTCATTAGTAAATCGAACACACAAAGGTAAGGCTGTAACCCTTGTTATTAGTAATTGTGCTAGTGTAAAAATAAGTTTGGGGATGCTAAGCGGGATGTAGTTAGTTAAAAATGTGCAATTTAAATACTATCAACATTCATTCTTCTTTTCTAGAGAAGGTATCTCGTGGGTTGGTCTGAGAACGACTCTTGGATCACTCATTAACAAGCAAAGAAATGGAAATAGATTTGGAGGCATACGGAGATGAACCTGTTATCATTAATTCTAAAGGTAGAAGGTATTTTTTGAAAGTAAGTACTTCTGAATCTGGAGATAATATTATTCATTTTGAAGAACCACCAATAGTTCCTACTGATTGTGATACTCCATGTGAACTTTTAAATGCATTTGGTGGTACTTTGAATCCCGGTATTCATTCTCCACCGAAAAACAAATCTATTGGTAACCCCGTGCCGTTAGGGTTGGCGACTTTTAGTTACTGTGTTCTTGTGGTGTCATTAATTAATGCTGAAGTTAGAGGATTAACCAATCCTCGTGTGATGATTGGTCCTGCATTCTTCTTGGGCGGTCTTGTGGAATTGATTGCTGGCATAGTTGCCCTATTTGTCGAGGGAACTTTTGCAGCCGTTACTTTAGGTGGATTCTCTGGATTTTGGTTTAGTTATGGTTGTTTGAAAACAGATCAATTTGGTATTCGAGCAAGTTATACTGACGACGAATGGCGATCTGCTGAAGGGTTCTTTTTATTGGGTTGGTTGATTCTTTCCTTTTTATTATTATTATGTACCATGAAAGCTACTATAGGGTTGTTTCTGTTGTTTGTGGGTATTAATTTGTTTCAACTTTTGTTGACCATTGCGGCTTTCACAGGGAATCATAACATTAGAAAAGTTGGTGGATATTTGGGAATCATTACCTCTTGTGTTGGTTGGTATAATATGTATTGCGGAATAGCTACGCCGGACAATTCGTATTTTTATGTACCGGCTGAGAACTTTATGATGCCTCGTGCTCCTAGAGTATGAAACGGATCATGATGATGATGATGATGATGATTCGTGTTTCTATTATAATAGATGTTTTATATTTCAAATTGCATTTACTGATTTGTGGTTGACAACCACAAGAAAGTTTTGACTACATCGATTGGTTCATTTCGATCCAACTAAGAATGGATTCAGTATATTTTATAAGTGCTCTGTGAGTTGTCCCAAGACTTTAGTCGTGATGTTGTAGCCCATAAATCAGACACGTCACGTGAGTACGTACCAGCATTGGTATCCCTTAACTTGAATTTGTTATCAACTAGAGGTGAAGGTATTCCAGCAACAGTAGTTTGAACTGGAAGTGTCCACGTGATCAGAGTAACCGAATTGGTTTACACTAACCTTTTTATATTTTCCCATTGATATAATATCATGAACCATTAGTTTATTAGTAGTACACATCGAAGGCTATGAAAAGAGAAGGTAGCTTTTCAGCTAATTAAATGTACACAACAAAGAAAGGAATAAATAAGAGTAACTATAGCAGACCAATAATGTTCTTTAGAATAAGGAGAAACCGAGCGGCTATAGCGGTAATGTTGAACCGTAGAACAATACCATAATTAAGTAGAAGTTTCTTGAATTGACTTAACAAGGGAAACAAGGTTAGAATGAGAAGCATCCGATGGAGGATTAATTTCTTTCTTATGGGGTTAAATGTTAGTAATGTGAGATAAAATAAAATGGAGCAATTGCAAATTATACATACCTCAGATAGCCACTTCTTTAACTCGTCTTCTGACATCAGTTCGATATTGACTAAACTTTCATTCAAGATCAGTTCAGGCACAACTTCATCTTCAGAATCCTCCTTGTTTAATTCCACGGGAGTAGAATCATCTGCTTCAGATACGGTTGTGGATGTACCCTTTGAGAAGAGAGCTGCTTTGACATGAGGATAAGACTTTAAAATAAGGAATACTCCACCCACAATAATAGCTCCGCTTGTTAAAGCAAACTTCATATTGCGATTTCCCTTTTTAAACTGGAGTGCCATCTTTGTTATATTAAATAGTGCTGGATAATAAGATAGATTAAGGTTACGTCGTTATTTTACTTATTAGGGAGACTATTTCTCTTTTATACCATGACCGAAAATCTTATCACGGTATCATACCACGTGACTTTGAGGGGATACAACTACCGTTTTAAGAAGTGAATGCCGCGGTTTATAGTTTGCCCCATTTGATTCGCCAGTCAATTGTACGACGCGCTTCTAAGTGAAATATTATCAATCAATAGTACAATAAGCAAAGCAATAAGTGCTTAGTAGCAATCAATTGTAGCAATATCTACGCTTGCGTCATAATGTAAAAAAGGTTTACTGTGAATATTCGCACTTGATAAAATAAGAACCAATTACTTGATTGCGACAAACGGTATATATAATACAATTGAGAAGTGAATAGAAGTTAAGCCATATTATCAGAAGCTTACAATTCTTGAGAAGCCTTACCCTTAGCGGTCTTCTTAGGCAACAAGTTTTGATGGATACTTGGCAAAACACCACCTTGAGCAATGGTGACGCTACCCAACAATTTGTTCAATTCTTCATCGTTTCTGATGGCCAATTGCAAGTGTCTTGGGATAATTCTGGACTTCTTGTTGTCTCTAGCAGCGTTACCAGCCAATTCCAAGATTTCAGCAGTTAAATATTCCAAAACGGAAGTCAAGTAAACTGGAGCACCAGAACCAACTCTTTGAGCGTAGTTACCCTTTCTCAACAATCTGTGAACTCTACCAACTGGGAAGATCAAACCAGCCTTAGCGGATCTGGTTGTAGAAGCCTTTTCAGCGGAACCTGCCTTTCCTTTACCACCGGACATTTTTAATGTTTGTTTATTATTATTATGTAAACTTGTTGTGTAAAAGAAAAATTACCCCAGCTGTTGCTTGTCCTTAAGAAGTCGGGACCACCTCAATTTATATACAAACAGGAATTTATATCATCAACAATTCCAACCTGTCTCATACATTATGTTTGTTTACAATTCTGGTTGTTCATTCAGTTTTGTGTTTCCTGAAATTAATGAATATTTACCAATTCGCCGTCGTCCTCCTGTCTCAGCCTTCTCCCTTCACGTATTTTTGCACCCGTTGATCATCCGGTCTACGTTTTACGCTTGATTATGCGTAAATTTGTGAATTTCCTCCCCGCGTAAATTTCTTACGTTTAGGGTATTTCTGAGCACGCACGCACTCTCTGCGTCATTCTCCCTTGGAAATAATTTGGAATTCAACGCCACCCTCTCAAAACCGCGTAGATTCCAAAACAATTACAGTCAATAACACCATAGCTCTCTGAGAGTGTGCATGTTGATACATCCTTGTCTTTTTTGTATTGACTCTATATATAAGGAGTTTCATATCTCATTTATTAATTCCTTGATCTGTGCGATTTCTGATCTTTTTTCTTTCTGATTACCCATCATCCCGTATACTTAATCAATAATGCCACCACAAGCCGCTAAAGCCGAAAAGAAACCTGCCTCAAAGGCCCCAGCTGAAAAGAAGCCAGCTGCTAAGAAGACTGCTTCCACCACTGATGCTAAGAAGAGAACTAAGACCAGAAAGGAAACTTACTCTTCATACATTTATAAGGTCTTGAAGCAAACTCACCCTGACACTGGTATCTCTAGACAAGCTATGTCTATCATGAATTCTTTCGTTGATGACATTTTTGAAAGAATTGCTTCTGAGGCCTCAAAGTTGGCTGCTTACAACAAGAGATCTACCATCTCTGCCAGAGAAATCCAAACTGCTGTCAGATTGATCTTACCAGGTGAATTGGCTAAGCACGCTGTTTCCGAAGGTACTAGAGCTGTCACTAAGTACTCTTCTGCTGCTTCTTAAGCAGTTTAAGAGTCATTATGGCCTCTTTTATTAGTTCAGTTCTTGTCTCAGGATATGTATGTATTCTTAGTGTATTTTGTATTTATAATTAGCAATAGGTTTATTTCGTACACATCTTTTGTAGCCGTAACAAAGATTGTCAGAATGCATCCAGTAGCGTTGTATACTTTTACAATGGTTTCCTTTATGATAGACTTCGGATACTTTTGGTGGGTAGTTCTGAAACCGGATACTACGATTTTTTGTGGGCGGCTCCGAGTTGACTAAACTATACCTCACGGAACCACAATTATCTAACTAGTAACTCGGATAGTGAATTTTTACAGGGGGCTTCAATACTGAAGAATTAAAAAATGACAAAATTAATGGAGGACGAAATTGAACTTTCAATGATTCCATTACTATCTGTTATCTTAGTAATAGGTCTACCCAAAAAGGAAGGGGCGGCATTTGGTCAGTAAGTTTATCCTAAAAGTCCTTATGTATCATGAGGACCCGACTCTAACCTTGTTCTGCCACACTTCCTCTTCACTGCATGACATGGCGAAATTCGGAAAGCCGCTCAACGTACAAACTGTGGCTCGTGAGGGAAATTACGCGGGTTTGCCAGTTACAGAAAGCAATATCGGTATGTAAATTGCTATCTTGGGAAATTGAAGGCCCGTTTTCCCTGGATGAACGGGGTCAAATGGGGCAATTCCCTCCGTACGAGCCACAATGGCCTGTCTGTAGTTCTGTATATTAAGTCTGAGAACATCCGATGTTGCCTGGTTACAACAGGATAATTCGGGTGATGCAGGAGCAGACACATGCAAAGATGAAAAAGAAACTGCTCTTACAAGGTTCAAAGCATAAATAGCGAGATTATTGTCGTTGTTTTAAAAAATTCTATACGAAAAATACTATTAAATTGACAACCAATTGAAATACTATTATAGAGTTTAATACATAATGAAGATTCTTACAGAGGAAGAAAAGCAAGAACACACCAAACGTTTGATCGTTGAAGGTCTTAAGGGTACTGTTGTTGGTTTGGCAGTGTCATATGGTTTAACTTTTGCCCTTAAGAAGAAGTTCCCAATCAAGTACAACCAAATGAACTTCTCAACCAAAACTGCATTATATGTTGTTCCAACTGCCGGTATAATTGCTCTTTACCAAGATGATGGATCCGTCAAATTTGAAGAAGAAAAATATAGAGGGTCTTTAATGCAAAAGCAACGAGAAGAATTACAAGCTAAATGGGATAAGATGACTACCAATGAAAAGGCTTTCCACATGGTTAATGACAACAAGTACAAAATCATTGTTGGTGCTTGGGCAGCATCATTATATGGTTCTTGGAGACTTGTGAACAGAGATAAGTACATGGATGCCGCTCAAAAGGCTGTACAAGCCAGAGTTTACGCTCAAGGTATTACAGTTGTATTGTTATTGTCTACTATTTTGTTGAGCATGTACGAAGCAAAGTTAAAGAAGGACGAACCTGCTCCTATTCCAGAATGGAAAAAGTATTTGGATGAACAACAAGCTTTGAAGGAAGCCAAAGAGCACCAAAATTAGATTTCAACTGTTTTATTCTAGCGTATATACGAGTTGGACTTTTTCCCCTATCCTATTTATTATGATTACATATGAGTTAATGTTTACTATTTTTTGTAGAATGTTGCCGCTGCCATTGTTTCGGTATACTTTCCAGAAGGAGATAATTTATTGATTTACAGCACTATGTATGCATATTTATTCTTTGCAATGAACATTCCTAAACCTAAAATCAATTGATCTTACTATTGTAGAGAACTTTTCTATCTCTGCGGCCCTCCCTGTTATCATGCACCGCTCCATTAAGTTCTGAAGCTTCAAAAGCCGACAATAAAATCACCTCCCAAAACGGTAACTCTATTCCCGATAGAAACATATGTGAAATTTAAACACTATGGAATTTGAAATAATGCAATAGTTGAAGCGGTGCAGTACCAAAAAATCGATTCTATATCCATGTGCTAAAACCCGTATAGCACAAAAGCAAGAAAAACGTGTGTAAAGGAAAATGGCCTGAGTCGGGCCCGTTGAACTTTCCTTCGTAGATAAATGGGCCAACCACAGTTATTTTTTTAGTTCAGAAAAGGCACTTCCAAATCCCGCTACGATAAGTAAGCTTCAACCACGTAATACTCCGAACGATAACTAAAAGTAGACATCATAATATTCATAATAATAGCATCTATTACATATATATCATAATTGTGCTAGTGTTTTTCTTCGGTCAATATCAAAAGTGATTAAGCTATTTATGTATAACAAGAGGCTTTTTTGGCTTAAATAAGAATAAAACATACCAAAATATTCACAAAGTAAACCTTCACCCATTTGTTGTTAGAACAATGTACTAAGAAAACATGGTTGCAAAACATGAATTCTTCCATCTGTAGGATGATTCATCTAGTATTTAAGAAGATTTGATCCTAACAATTCTCCTTGAATTTTTGCAAAACGACTGATAATGAAGGGTGTGTTAGGTCTAATATTTGAACGAAAAGGTTGTCGATTAATCTCTGGAAAAATTCAGACTCTTCAACTAGATCTAAAGCTGCAGCAAAAATATGTATGGTATTCTATTTGCAATCATAGTTGAACCACTCCTCTACACTTCTGTTTAGTTCAGGGTCACCATCGTTGGGAGCTTGTTGGATTTTGTTGAGCACTTGATTTCTAACTTACCCATGTTTATTAGTTTCAACAAATTTTTAGTGTTTGCATAAGAAGCACCACCACCACCACCAGCAACACTGTCGAATGAATAGCAAAGTGTCAAATTAATCAGTTTGCTTAAACAAATTATCATTTCACAAATCAGTGTTAGTGAAGTTGAAGAACTGTAGTGTAAATTCTATCTAAGTTTCACTAATGGCCTAACACCCTAACACCATTTTACTTGGAGGCTCTGAGTTAACCATAGGACTCCGAAGATGAATAGAAAAACAGTTTAGATCTTAAGTGAGTTTAGCTTATGCCTTTTCAAAGCGCATTTGAATCAAAGTAGACAATCACCCTCACATAACAAATAATATTCATATACCCGGTTATCTTGAATTCATTATTAGTTTGTTTTCAGTGGGCGCTACCTAATTGATATTTAAATCTTATTGCTTTACACCAAAAAATTACACAAGAAGTCCGTGATAGTTTAGTGGCTAGAATTACCGCTTGTCGCGTGGTAGACCGGGGTTCAATTCCCCGTCGCGGAGTACTTTCTGCGCAAATGGTTTAGTGGTAAAATCCAACGTTGCCATCGTTGGGCCCCCGGTTCGATTCCGGGTTTGCGCATTTTTTTTTGCATCTACATCTACAAATGTGAACAGAATTATACTGACCACTTCTACAATAATGCAAGTGTCATTTTACCATATAGAGGTAAGGAATTCAGATCGCAGCCTTTTAAACCTATTAATATATTTTTACATGAAGCTCAAGTATCGCTTATGTTGGTTTTTGCTCATAGATTTTTCCAACAAAAAATGAAACATGACCAAGGCATACAGGGTTCTTGCATTGAGTCATTTAAATAACTAGATTATCCACTTTATTAAGTTTTTTTCTGACTAAACATTTCTTTAAAACGAGAACTATAAATGGTAGACATAATATTAGACCAGTGGATACCATTTTTTGCAGCTACTTATGATGTTTATTGAAGCCAACATTTGACTTCAAAGAAATGAACCTAAGAAGCCCGAATATCCAACTTAAACCAATAAATAAATACGAAAATAAAACTTAGCATAAAATTATGACCTGTTTACAATAATATAGTTGATAATATGTCATATTTCATAACGATGTATTCCTTTCCATATCTTAATCTATAAATAAATCAAACTATAAAGAATCACAGCTATTTCCATCCATTGAATTAAGCTTATAGTAACCTTTGAACTAATTTATTCTTTGTATTTTTTTTGAGTTATTCAAAGATTTCTCGTATAGTCTTTTCTGCTACTTTATACTCATTTACTCAATCAAAATCGGAATCAAAACTTGAATCAATCTTTTTTGAAAATACCATATATTCGAGGGAGAACCACTTAGGACTATATAACAAGTACTATAAAGTGCTCTTTCTTTTCCTTTCTAGTATAAAATATACACAGGCATACTGTTGGGAGAAAACTGAGCATAAAACATCAAGAAGTCCGTGATAGTTTAGTGGCTAGAATTACCGCTTGTCGCGTGGTAGACCGGGGTTCAATTCCCCGTCGCGGAGTACTTTCTGCGCAAATGGTTTAGTGGTAAAATCCAACGTTGCCATCGTTGGGCCCCCGGTTCGATTCCGGGTTTGCGCATT